TTTCCGGGCCCTGATTCATTAAAAACAAGCATACATGTACATCAAATCTAATCATTTATATTTGCTGATCTCATTACATGTAAAGGTACCGGTGCATATGTACAGATAATTTCATTTTTATCCTCAGAAAATAAAAGTAGTTTAACTTTACGAAAGTTATTTCATGAAGGGTACATCATAACATGTGACTTGAATTTGTGTAGTGTTCTCCTTTGTCCCTGCCAAACGGCACACAAAAACAGGTGCACACATTGTACTACATGTAGCTCCCAGGTCAAGGGGAACCACACACACGTAGAAATACATGTAGCTAGGCATAATGGGGACAAACAACGATGTGGAGGCACAATTTTGTCCTGACAACTTGGTTCTGACTTTCTTAAATGAAATTGTCTTCTTAACGTGGTGAAGGCCTATCCACATACGTGTGCGTGCACAAACTGTCCTACTGGGGCGACACACGTGTTCAAATATGGACGTTATGGGGACCAAAATGTTAGAGAGACATATTTTTTGTCTTTGCACTAAGGTCCTGGCTTTCCTAATGTTCAAAAGAAACTGTCCCCTTACTTCAGCCTGGCTTCCCCACAGACTCACTACTACATACATGTATAAACAGAGCCTCTCAAATGGTTGTACCAAATTTAGTCTGCGCATTCAACCTGGATGTGTACAGTATGCCTGAAATCACAGCTTGGTGTTCCTAAAACAACATGGGCATGATGCCATAGTCTACGCTGAGCTCAGCACTTGCACTTACTATGCAGTGATGTGTGTAATTGATCACAGCTGAAAAAAATCAACTAATTGGTTGCACTGGACTCAGAGACTGCAGTAAACCCTCCCAATGTACAGTACATGTACCTCTGTACCACATCAGGGATTCAGGGTACCAGCCGAAGTCCTTGGTACATGTACATGGACTTATTAAAATGCATATTTCTGAAGCCACGTTCTTTTCTATCGAAATGCTACCGGTGCATGTAAGCTTGTTTTTTGGGGGTTTTTTTTGTTCTTTTGTTAACCAGTTACTCAGAATTATAGCTAAAGACTGGAAATATTTGCCATTGGTGACTGTGGCGTCTAACAACTGAAACCCTATAAAAAAATAAAAAAAAGAAGGCACATTTTTGGTAGCGCTATTGATGGACACTTGTGTACTAAACTGGCATGTGCACAAGTTCATGTAACTTGTAGGCTTAGTGTGGACATTCTTTTGTTCTTGTGTAATTAAGAAACTTCAGTGAAAACGGTCAATTTTTCTTGCAGAGTTTTCTTGACCGTTCTTTCTTTTGCTCCAGATAACCATAACCTCAACTGCCTCTAAAACTGCTTCGCAGAAAGGAGGTACATGTAACTATGTGTGGACATGGCTCAGTCCACACAAGGTTTACACCGCCTGCATTACATACATGTATATCGGTATGTGGACCTCTTTTGTTCAAGAGTCTACGCAAGGTTCAAATTTCACTGGTACTGGTGTGACCTGATACCGGTATGCAATGCTCTACGCAACTTATGAGAGCCAAGGACAACTGCATTGTGTGCAAATGGCACTGATTGATGCTTGAACAATTTTCAACTAAATGTGCACAAAAGGGTAGCAACTTTGCAAAGGAGTAATACATATTGCATAAAAAATCTATCACTGACAACATTTTGCAGTTTTAGCGTTGGAAGTGCAAGCTGAAAAAAAAATCTGACAAGTGTCTTGAATACAAACTTCATTTAGAACGAATTTGCATGTTTCAAGATAGGGTGCCCATCTATTTTCAAGATAAAAACCTCCCAACTAAAGAGGCACAGAGGATGAAATCGACACAATCTGCACTGTTGTCTGTACTATAACTTTCTTCCTCTTCGTCGCCATGTTTGTTTCACCTTTACAGATCTATCTCAAGATGGTAGGGCGGTACCGAACAGCACACGTAAATAATGCCCAGCACTCTCCATTCCTTTACTCCAGAACGTCATTCCTCCAGACGGACTGATCCTCTCTAATCTTATCAAGCAGATGTTCTTTGCATCGCATTGCACTGACCATAAAGTGAAGCTATCAGGATTCACATCGCTCTACTGCGTCATATCTAGACATGTTTGATATTATTCAAGTAAGTTGAAAAGTATACCACTGCACATGTACATATAGGATATGTATGTACCGCTTCAATTGAACATGAATGTGTGCGTGACTTGTCTGGCCCTTGCAATATCTATTTAAAGTGAGCTACAGTAACTTTGTTTCTCTTTCAAGGCAGTGCACAACTGAAATAAACTAGATAAACACGCACCTGCAGTAATCTCAGATAGTGTCGAGTGAGGCAAATGGCAAAAAATAAACAAACAAACAACCCTTCTGAGAGACGAATTTGGAGTTGTAAAACTGTAATCTTTCATAGACAAGACATCTTTTGAGTGGAATTTCACTGGCTTTTGGACTTTAACATGTCCTTGGCACGTGCTGCCGCATCGCTGGAAAGGAGTCTTTCGTTTTCACACAGAGGTTTTTGATGAATCACAAACAATTGAATAGTAGTCAAATGACTGAATTGGCCTAATGGTGGGGCCCTTAGGAAATTAAATAGAAACAATGCCAAAGGAAAAGATCAATTCCCAAGACTCAGAGCATATAATCTGAACGTAACATTCTGGCTACAGGGTAACATCAGGAGTCAATTCCACATCACGTGGCCTCTCCCCCCACTGTATGTAATCTGTGAACTCAGGCCAAGTGCACACGGTCCATTCACACCTGTCTGTAATTTATCTCCCCAGGCAAGATGGTGCTGCCTGTGAATCCACTGGGCCCGCACACTTGTCACAAGCCTTGTTCCAGACTCAACTGGCACAGGCAAGAGAGTTGCAACAATGGGCCGTCTGGAAAGCAATCCTCGAAAATTGGATAACTTAACAACTGTGTGGTGTGGTACAAAGTGGAAACAGGAAATGAACATGTACTGTACATACATGTCCAATGCAGATGCACACTGTACATGTAATGTAGACAATTTACATGGCGCCCAATGTTTAATCGATCTGAGCAACAATCACATCTGCTCACAACCAGGAAGTGCACTGCAGTAATTTATCAACGTCTGTATCGCCCAACTGCAAAATCGAGACACAATGCCACAAAAAAGGAGTCTTTTTTAAGGACTTCTCTCCTTTACCTACTATTCTCATCCCTTCATTTCGAATTTCCTCAATCTGACATGCCAAACAGAAAGCAGAGCATCATTAAGGGTGGAAAGATTTTGAGCGCGTCTACTGTAATTCAACTGTGTGACAGTTGACAAACGGCTTGCATCAAGCTCATACACAGTACATGTAATCGCAAGCAGCTAGGCTGGCTGTTTTTATCCATTCTGGGGGGTTGTGCCCAATGGGCTCTCGCAGCAGCAAATTGCTACAGGGAGATGTGTCAGATACCATTTAACAATGCCATAGTACAAATTATAATCAAATCATTTGAATCTCAAAGCTACACAGCAATTTGGGATGTGACCTCTCACATGCACATTGTATCTCACAGGACAGTGCCCAAGTGGGTTGCATGGCTGTTTGACCAACTGGGCCGTTGTCATCATGGGTCAGGGGCTCACATCCTGCCAATCCTCAAGCACAAATTCATTTACAATGTAAGTCCCAACCAAAGCTTATTCAAACCCAAGGCTGCTCAGTGTACATTTTTTGTACATTCCCTAGGGCCTTGAAAGTCTGAAATAATCTTAGAAGTTACAGAGTGTACAGGACATTGGTACATGTACCACCCGATTGGCCTGTTAGTCAATTGAAAAAGTGATGGTCCATGTACTACTGGTATTTATGTATATTTACATTCAACCATTTTTGTTCTAACCATCAGCACTGTATTTTTCAAAACACCACTAAGATGGCGCAGCTGTATTACAAAAGCCAATAGCACATTTTATCCCACTTGCCTCCATCCAGGAATGCAAACTTGTGTACATGGGTACCTGTAAAGGGGTCTTTGAGAGATGGTGGTTGTTTTTGCACCAGAAATGGCACCACTGAGCTAGGAACTGAGAGGATTTTAGGAATGTTTATAGGCAAGATGAGTAGGGACAAGTGCCCTGCATCCCTTGGTAATTTTGGTGCTACATTTATAGAATATAGTCACTATTATGCATCATTCATTTATACCTGGGACAGTTTTTCCTATTCTTATTGGTCAAAACGCGTCACGTGCCGGTGTATTAACATTTGATAATGCCCAATGCAAAGTGATAATGCCCGCTGCATAAAGCACGCGCTGGTACATGGATACGAGACAGTTTAATTGGGTCTGGTTGGTCAGGAGTCTGTGTGCACGCGACATGCCACGCGCATGCAAAGTTCATTAAAGGGGATTCTATTGGACAACTTTCAAAAGGGATATACATTTACCATAAAATAGAGGGGAAGTTCGGGAAAATTAAAGTAAAATTTTAAAACAAACTGGTTGGAATCTATCATATGGTGACTTCTTTTAACCCTCTGAATAAAAAGGTATTTATGAATGGGAATAAATATGTGCTTGACCGGTCTCAAACGTTTATGCCTGAGCGGTATCCATTCTTCTGAGCCGGTCTTAAACGCACACTCCAGACCAGCCAAGCACATATATATTCCCTTACCGTAATTTAAAAAAGAGCCATGCCACCAGTAATATCACACAAACCTGGAACAAATCACTTATCAAGTCTAAAGTTTTGCCCAAATATAAGCCCGCGGCTGGAACAAGTTCTGCCAAGAAATGATACTGGCCTCAACTGGTTAAAATGGATAGGATGTACACGTACGGACATATTCTCCTCAATCTAAACAGTCTGCCAGGGTTTGGAACGTTTGGAAGGATGTCATGGGATTAGGGTTACATAACAGACACGGATAGCTCCATAACAGACAAAAGGCAACAACATATTGATGTCACAGTTGGAAACTGGCTACTGTGTTATCAAGTAACAAGTCAAAGAATGAAGCGCTTCCAAAATACTGACCTTCAGGGAGTCATGGTCATACCAGATGAGAGCATGGTTCCGCGACAGCACCTTACAATCGAAGATTCCATTGTCGGAGGACGGTCGGGCCTTGGCCACCGACCGGCCGATCTTGACCGGCTCCCTGAGCGGTATCCGTCGCTCCTGGAAGGGGTGGGAGCTGGAGTGGCACGTGAAGACAGCAATGGCCGTCATGGCGGGCAGCGCATCACCGTCGGGAGTAAAAGATAGCCAGGGGGGAAGGGGGAGAGACGGAGGGGAACTGACGACTGACGTCAGGGGGGGGACTGCGAGGAACTTCTCGGAGAATCAACCGCATTGACTGCAACTTACAGTAGCAGTACAGTGAACGTCACCAGGAAAGTACTCGTTATATCAAAGTCTGTGTTTGTCAAGGTTTTGGCCGGCTTGGTAGAATTTATGCGTTCATGGTTCTCTTGCTGACTGATGAAAAGTCAATTCAGAGCATCATCTGGAAAATTTCAAAATAATAATTACACAATTAATATGTATATAGCACCATGGTTCAGCGGTTTGGGTGTCTTCTACATCTACAGTACACGAGTTAGAATCCCCTGTGTATCACATAGTGCTTGCGCTCCTGGGATGTAAAAAAAATAAATAAATAAAAAAATAACCTCAAATACCAGACGGAACAAGTACGCTAAAAATTTTCTTAAACGCACATCCAACTTTAGGCCAGGCAAATACAATTATGCAATGCATGCTTGCATGCTGAAAAAATTACAAATAGAAATCCTCACCTGTTAAAAAAGGAACACAGTTTTTTGGGGGGGTGGGGCATTTCTTTAAAGTCTTGCCAAAATCTAGAGTTGGATTTCAACGGATATTAGGTAGTTGGACAAAAGAGCTGTCATAATGTCCCAATGTGGCTGGTCTATCCGGTTTGTTAATGAGATGTCACTGTAGTTTTTAACCACACCCACTCACACAGTGCGGTGATGGAACCGTCAGAAATGAAAATAGTGCAAAGTTGGCAGATAAACCGATGGGCTCGTAACCAGTAGCACCCATGTGTCACAAACAAACAGGATACTGCATATGGCTTGCCCGACTGCAAAGTACCATAACTCATCCACAAGTACTTTTGAATTCAAGACAAAAATATGTATATCAATATATCATTATTAACCCTCCTATGCTGAAGTCACTCTTTGGGTCACTTGGTAAACACCTCAAAGAAGCACAGCTGTGTCGTGTTGTGCACTGCACCAACGTGCAAGAGAGTGACCTTGGGCACTTGCGCATATTTGTGCTGTAAAACTAAAGGAGGGTTTATGACAACATCATCACGAGTACTGAAATCATGTAGGGATTGCTGATGTCAGGCATGCCTTTACTTTGAAGTACATGGCATGAACCTTTTATGGCCATCTGCTACTCATCTCAAGCTTTTTAAAAAAAAAAATTACAAATCAACATGTAATCTCTCTCTTTCCTGATGGAGGTTGCATTTTACATGCGCAGTTTGTACCTTAATATTTTTTTCTTGCATGTAAACAAGAGCCTGCGCTTGTTCCATTCAATGAAACCTGCTGATGTTCAAAGGACAATTATTTATTTCCAAATGTGTACAAAATATCAGAGTGTCATTGTTTAGTTAAATTTTTTAGTTTCCATCTCCACATAAGGAACGAATTATGATGTGTTTCATTCAAATGGTGGTGATGAAATGCTGAATCATATTCACGATAATAATCACTTATAAACGGAAACACTGCCACATGTACTGCAGCAGCTTCGAACAGCTTTCTGTGTTATCATCCAGTTTTGTTTGAGTTACCAACACTTTGGAAGGAAAGACTTTGATGGCTTGGGAGATGCCACCCCTCCCTCGCCCCCAGTGGTCAATTTAGATGAGTGCAAGCATTATTTCCCACCTTGAACATCTTGTCACAAGTTCACAACAAGGGACTGACTTAGTCAATTCAATATACACGTAATGATCAATGTCGGAGGCTGGCAAGCTGAGGAGTCTGAAGGCCATTTTACAAACATACAATCAACAGCCCTCAACGGTACAGCATGATGTCAAGTATACGTGCATGTGCTATGAGATACAGCTGGCTTGTGGCCTTTTTATCAACACTTTCTGTGTTCACGATCTGGCTTCATGCAATTTGCCATCTGAATGACACACACCAGACCATGAACAGTGACTGAAAAAAGACTAGGGCTGTCATAATTGAACAATTGGAAATACACCTGGAGGAAAATGTTGTACATGTATGTTACATTTGTTGCTATGCTGATACTGGTGTTACATGTAACAACCAGAAAATATTCTGACTGGTCGAAAGTAAAATATACATTAAGTCTACTTGCATATAAGAATACACATTTTAATACCACAAATACGGCCTCCATGTACCTATTTTTAGGTTATGACTTGCGCGCACACTTTTTGTGCATGTTATTTGTTCTAAATTTGCCCCTACCCCCCAAAGGAAAATCTAACATGGCTTGCCAATGCTAACATGTCATGACTAATGGTCATGTACATGTACCACAGCATACATGTCTCGTGAGACAGTTTGTTCAATATTGGCATGACTGGCCCAAAATGTTTTTTTTTGCTGGTTTTTTTAAGTACATAAGGCCAGGGACTGAACAATTTGTACATGTTGTAACTTGTGTCTGCAGTCATGTTAACTGACAGCATCTCGGCTTGTATTCATTATTTCTTTTTGAACAAGACAGCTACACCGGGTGCCTGACAATGTGGCGTACAAGAGGACACCAACACTGAAAACAACTTGACATGCTTTGATGACCAAATCTACGATCAATCATGATAATAATTAACAGATCTGACTAAATGTAGTATTTACATGGGTCGTGCTTCTTTCCAGTGAATAGTAAGCATGGTAACAGATTCTCTTTAGTTTAATTATAAGAATGACAAAACCATGACATACGGGAAAAATGCTTGAGGTTTAAAAAATTTACATGGTATGACATGACGATTGACAATGACAGTGAATGCGCTGCTCAGTCAAACGTTTGCAAATTCATTGAAGCCGGGCGTTAGCAAAATTTGCCAGGTGCATTTTCACAAGGCAAGGATAAACTTCTCCAACCAAATTATCGACACCTGGAGATTGGAATTCCTACCTTCTAACTTGGATGATAATATAACGCCAACAACTAAACCGACTATGATCTTTTACTGAATAATTCGTCACAAGAAAGTTCATCACAGATTGACATCGTCGCCATGTTGATTTACTTCCGTAACTGACAAGGTGACCAAAAGAGGGCGCTATTCCGGTGCTAACGTACGCGTAACTCAAGAAAACGGTGATTTCGAGAAAAATGTTGGGGGGGGGGCGATTCCGCCCCGGCTCTTTTAAGGTTAAGGAGACTAGTTCTTATTACGCCACTCTGAAACCTTTTGAATGTTCCTCGCGTTTTGACCAGGAAAAACTGGTCGTCCCCACCACACACTCGCTGGTGTGGATTTACGCCATTATCTAATTACATGCTATTGGCTTTTGCAAACTGAAAAATGGGCAGTCGCGGATCCAGGGAAGGGGAATTTGGGGGGTCGACCCCCCCCACACACACAAACACTCTGAGAAAAAAAATGGGGAAAGTAATAATAAAATAACTAAAGTAACTTTAGAAATAAGATGGCATTCCACAGATCCTTCTTATATGTACAGGATGAGTGTTACAAATGTAAGCCATGTAATGTTTCATCATCGTTTCTCCTTGTCCGCAAAAATAAGACATAAAATAAAATCTCCGGTCTGACCCCCCCCGGAAAAATTCCTGAATCCGCCATACTCCACTAACTTGATATCTACAGTCCAGTGATTTTGACAGTAAACTATCTGCAATAAATTTGAAGTTTCAAATCCACATATGACCCCTCCACATCTCAACACAGAGGAAGGAAGTACCATATATTTTGCACACCCGCCGTCGTGAACTATTGTAGTTCTAACCTGAGAAGTCGAACATGCCCAATGGTGTCGTGAAATGACTCATGAGTCCGAACAAAAGCAGTATCGGGTGTTGTTAACGGTCGACTGTTTGGCTACAAGAAATTTGCAGAAGAAAATCTTTTCGCGGCACGTCCCGTCGCTAGGTTTCAAAAGCTTGTTAAAAGTATCACCAATAAAAAGGTTGTTTTTGCACAAATACAAATGCTTCGCAGTCTATTTCCAAAAACTTATATTCTTGTTTCAACTTCCCGATGAAGGCCTTTCATTGAGCACAAGAGCCATAACCGGTTTTCAGCTTTATGACATCTTTGTTAGATTAACACGGTGCATTTCATTTCATCTCAACTTTAATTGGCGATTGTGCACGGGCAATCACGGCACCACTATTGACTCTCTGGAACATTTACTGGACCCCTTTCCCCGTAAATCAGCTGTGGGCTGAAGACGGCCCGGCGCAGTGAACATGCCCTGACGACAGAGACCAATGACCTGGCGGTCGTTGAACTCCCATACAAGTTAGTAATGTTCAACGCGAGATCAATTCTTGTTGCAGGTTGCAGTTGTGATGGCTGAAATCTGGAATGGGGCTGACAAACCCTGCTAGGAAAAAAAAATCTTCAAGAAGTTGGAAATCGTCTGAAAACTACTCAGAGGCCATGTCCGAGACGGGCTTCCAGGGGCTACGGCTAGGTCTGTTGTTTACGAGTCTCCCAACATTTCCAATGAAGCGAAGACCTAGACCTAGCTTTAGACGACAAATTCGGATGCAGCCAGAGTCTGAACAGAAAAAGAAGAGGCAGAAGCAAATAAATGGAGCAGGGCGGAGGAGTGGACATGGAAAGTGGGTGACAGTCAGTTGGGGATCTGCTGGTAGAGGTTCCTCTTGCAGTGAGGTACAAGTGATACTGTCTTAACTCTCCCCCAAAACATGACTGCTCCACACAAAAAGACCAGAGCTGACATCAAGGGAACGAGAGACCGTGCTTATCTAGACTTGGCTAACAGTGTTTAATTGAGTGTTTTTCGCACGCATGGCATTGGCTGCAGAAGGGGAGGAACCAGGGGAACTGTTTCGACTTGGGGGCCATGCCCACCACTTTTTGCATGTCCTATAATGGGGTGGGGCTTAATGGATTGGCCAATTAATGGCCGATACATGATGGTCTCATAACTGCCCCCCCCCCACTTTAAATATTGTTCCGCAGCCGCTGACGTATGGATACTTCTGGGGTAGCCTGGAGCGAAAACATGTTTCATTACGGCTTCGACAAATTCTTTTCAGGTTTTCCCTTACCCATCCCTCCTGTGGTTGCACATTGCCTATAACCATCCTCCCTCCAACTTATCCAATCCATATACACAATGTCATGTTACACCACAGTGCAACAAGTTATCATTTGGGTGAATCATCACCTCCATGGATGAGTGTTAGGTACATTCTCCTTCCTCAATGAATGACAAAGTCACCCTAGCGGAGATGGGATACTTGCAAAGATGACTCGACACCGCTCGAGACCATTCAACTCTGAGCTAGGTCTTTTGTCCTTGGTTGTTACCGAGGAAGACCCCCAAACGCCGCACTCTTCGGGTATTGGCTCGTAATCTCCCCAGTACGGTTCCGCAAGTAAACCGCGGCATTCACCGACACGCCCGCCTGCTCCTTTGCTGCCGCAGTTCAAAGTTCCGAATTGTAAAGGTATCGATGTCAGATACCGCCCTGCCACGTGTTTGAAGGAAAGCCCCCAAAGCAGTTGCGTTCTCTATTCTCTGGTCTCTTCGGAACGATAACTTTGAATTTCAAAAGACTTCCATAAGATGCTCAGCACTTGGAAGGGCCTCACATAAAGACAGTGTTTCCTGGATTGGAGTTGACAAAACCTACAAAATGTTTCCAGCTACGCATTTTCGATATAATTGATATTATTTCCATATATCTGAAAGGCGACCTGCCATTCAACGATAATTATAAAACATTGGACGAGACCTCGACAGCTGCAGATTGAAAGGTTTGAGGAGCGAGGGACCCTGAAGATCCAGAAAAGAAAAGAATGAAAGAATCCCAACCTTTTTATTACGTGAAGAATTAGCTTTTTTTTTGCACTTTCTGCAAAACTATAAATCCCTTCCCGTGTAATGCAAAGAAGTGTTTGGACTGTGAACGTTTTTAAGGTTGTTTCTTTCATTATTTAGATGTTGCCCTCATACATTATTTAGATTTAAGGATTGCGTCTGCAACCAACATGAGAATGTATGAGGGCCTAGTAAGTCTGACCCTGACGGCCAGAGTTTAATGGGAGAGTACCATCTTGGGAAGGATGGATGTGGGGAAGGGGGCATTGTGAGCCTCAGAATGTTCAGAGACTATATGTCCATATTATACATTGTAATATTGGCGGGTTTAGAGTCGGCTTAAACTAGGCATTTGTCTTTCTTATTTTTATACGTGCTGCGTTTGCTTGAAGGATTATCTCAATTTTTATTGCGACAAGAGGTGACAAAAAACACGGAGAGAATAATGCGGGCAAGTGCAGCTTCTTACATTCACGGCTTTTGCTTTGTATTTAAGTAAATAAACAGTTGATGAAGCCGTTTCAGAGAAATTGGGCAAGCTAATTGCTAAGATAGGGCATGCTTAAGACAGTTCCTCAGGTGGGGTTGGTGGGGGCAGTCATTAAACTTGTTAAAAGTCCGGCACGTCTTATCCAATTAATAGGGCTTTCTGGGTAAGCTACAGTTCACAACTTCGGCGATTACGACGGGCGGGTGTTGTAAAGTCTTTTAAGGCACACGCCGCCCGACCAATCAAAAGTCGCCCCTGGCGGCTCAGGACTTTGATCCGCCGAGGCGCTTTTGTTTCCTCGCCATCAGATCAAACGCGCATCTCGGCCAATCAGCTTGCAACCGCCGATGTAGCCTTGAATGAATCAAAGGTAGCCGCCCTATCGGGGTATTATTAGAGCCCACGCGTGGTGGAATGCTTCTCATTCGACAACTGAACTCCAAACTGGCACAATCTTGGAGCGTCTTCTCTCCTCCTTGTAATTCTGCAAAGTTTCTCGTCTCGTTATGCCTGCCAATGCCATGGAAAGTGCCGTGATTCCCACCCAGAGCCGGGCTGTGCGAACTAGCAGACCCGCAAGCCATCTCATTAAGGATATCCTCGGACCTTCGCTAGGTGAGTCTGACACGACGGCAAAAATCCTTTTATCCAGAACTATTGAAATGCAACTCTGAGTAGCAATTACATACAACTGGCTGAATTTCAGCCCTACGTTCTGTTTGTGGTTTAATACATGCACATAAGCATGCACATGCGATGAAAAGTGGTGTATAATAACCCCATTTTCGAAGAAATACTGTAAGGTATTTCACTTTTCACTCTGCTGTCATAAAATTCCAAAGGGTTTACTTGACAGTCGTATCGTCAGACAGCCAGCAGAGACAACATTTGGATCTAATACTAGGCCTTGGTTGGAGAGGATCTCGAGACCCTTGCAGAATCTATGATGTCCGAAGACATAATTCTGCCATGCACTCTTTGTTTGACATATCTCTTAACTTCGCGTCTCTTTCTTTGCAGCTCCAGCGCGAGCGCCTTGTACCGTCAGGGGTGCTAGTTCTCCGGCCGAATCCACTGTGCGAGGGCCGCTGAGGAACCGCCGCCGCCGACGTCCCCGAACCATCTACACCGCGGAGCAGAGAAAACAGCTAGAGGAGGTCTTCGCTGTGAACCAGTATCCAGACATTGGCAATCGAGAGATCTTGGCTGACGCCATTGGAATGACTGAGGCTAGAGTTCAGGTTCGTTAAATTCAGGTTCTTCGCCTATTTTTTTTTAACCTTTTTGGCTGAAAATTCCCTTTATGAAAAGGTAATGCAGTTTTCTTTCTTTTTGGCCTTTCTATGTTTTGTCGGCCCCCAAAAACATGGATACGTCTTTAGGAGATTTGAATGGTCACTTCTTTTTTTCTCTTTTTTACTGGCGTCGCTATTTTGAGAGAATCGATTATCAGTAAACAAACCCCGTTTTAGTAAGAATCGATGTCAGACACTTAGCATATCTTGTTATCTCGTCTCAATCCTGTTGTCACAACTAACACCTTGGAACACTCGTCTGGCACGTTATCGATTTGCAGCCTTTTAAAATGCCTCGTTTAGCAATTCGACAATCACACCTCAGGCTAAACGGATTATCTTCGGCTTGTAAAATCCACAGCGATCTCCTGGTAATTTAGTTTACCATTTCAATCAACAGGTTTGGTTCCAGAACCGCCGTGCCAGACACCGTCGCCACGGTCGTCACGCCGGAGGTATGACCCCCGAGCCGTCGTTGTCACCAGCCCCAGCGGCACCCTCTACCCCATTCCTGTCGCCTCAGACGAAGACCGAATCGGCAGTAAAGACGGAGCCAGACGGAGCCGACACACCTGACGACCAGCCTGCGTCATCCACACCGGACAGCGCATCATCCGCCCCCGCTGGGACTCCCTCTTCCCCCCACTGCTCCCCTTCGAGGTCGTGCCCAGCCCCCTACCCCCCGTTCTTCCAAGCTCCGCAGGTTCCATCGCCATACGCCGGGTTCTACGCACCGCAGCACTTCGGGATCTGTGCCGGGTCGCGGAGTCCTCCTCCTGGCTACGCGGTGGCGACTCTTCCTGGTCGCTACACTTGCGCCTACTCGTCTGGGTTTCAGGGGGCGTTCATTGGTGCTGTGGCCACCCCTGCGATGTTTGATGCTTCTGTTGTACCCCAGTCTACTCCGATTCAGCTCGGAGCAGACTCTACGGGTCTTTGGGGATACGAAACCGCCGGACTCCTAGCAATAGCTCGTTACTGACTCTGCAGAACATTTTATATTTGCGATAATGTATTCTATTGTCTGTCCAGCGTTCTTCCTGGGTTTATAGTTATTTTGCATTCTTATATCAAGTGTTTCCTATTAATTATTCATTTGTTTCACTTGATTTTTCGCTGGTGTTGGACTGGAATGTTGACCTTTGCTGTATATTTAAAGATTCACTCTGCCTTTTGCACACAAAACTGATGTTTAATGTGGCTTTATTATAGATCGTACAGGAATTGAAGTTCTATTCAGATGGTGTCTTTGTAATTTTCTTGCTCATTTTTTGGAGAATAAGTATACATAGGGCCTATAAGTGAATTAAAAGGAGAGATGATTCATTCAGAAAAAGCATGTTGTCTTTATTTGAATTTATGATGGGGATTGGACTTTGAGTACTCAAAACACTTGATGCAATAGAGTAGACCAGTCTTCAAAATAACCCTACTACTATTGGACATTGTATTAGCTGAATTTGACATCAATTTATTTGCGTGCACAGGCACAGCAAGATTAGAGACAGAAAAACATGTGCACTGCAGTAGTCAGATGTGCAGTCAAGTGCCCACTACTCGTGGGACTCGTGGGCATCATGTATGGATATCAATCGGTGGGGAACATGTCCCCCAATGTTTTTTATCATTTGTCCCCTCCCCCTTTTTATATAATTCAGCTACTCATTATTTCAAAAATGAGATAAATCTTGCAAAAGCAATTGCTATAAAAATTTGATAAAGCGGCCAGAATTTACCTCGGATCGCACCACAAAACATGTAGAATCCCGAATATCCCAGGATCGATCTTGAGCAGGCCTTGGACCCCACGCTTTGAGGGCTTCGCGCAGCAGTTGCAAAAGTTTGAAGAAAATTCTGTCTTGGTTGGCAACTTTCTTGCCTCAAAATGTATATAGCATGCTTCGAATAGCTGCGAATTTCAGTATTTTATCACAAGCAATTCTTCTGCAGTGCTTGTAACACATGTACCGTGTATTTGCAAGAAATTTCTTTGGAATATTTCACTGTTTTTGTACTCACAGGCAATCAATGTTTGGGCCAAGCGGTTGGTGAAAAATGCGCTTGCGACGCGCCAAAGAAAGGACACCCGTGGTTAAGGTTATTCGTCTTTGGCGCCCTCTATATATAAAATTTATAAACACAGTACATAGCATCATGTTACTTTAATTGTCCTTTACGGGCAGCTGTATTTTAAGAATGTGTGAATAGGCATATTCTTTTATCCCTTTGTCTTCCGCTTATGAGTTGTTTATCGCATTTTGACAAACGAAGGAAGGAAGGTGTTGCCTAAAGTCACCTAGTGGTTAAATAATACATGTGTTTGTAAATAGGCCTAATATTTCATTACAATCTAAATATTGGGCTCCATGTACGCCTACACCCATTTTCAATGATCTCAAATCAGTCGACTTATTCTAATACAAGACTTGCGGATACATTAGGTTTTAACAGGTGTTTAGCGAAAATCAGCCCTACTTTTTCTCCTCTCCCCTGTCCAGAAATAGAAACGTTTCAAATACACTGAAAGCAGTTATGCAAGAGCCAACACCTGGATGACTTAATGAAATCTAAATACATGTGTATTTTGTCGCATGACAGATCATCCCGTTGAATAGCTTAAAAGCATTTCCGATAACCCGAAATGCATATGGTTTGACACCCCCCCCTTGATGCACTCATTGTCAAAGGGGTGCCTTGTGTAGAGAAATGTAATCTAATAGTGATAAATCAATAACAGGTGATATTTGTTTTACGTCATCGTCTAAATCATGTGACTCATTTTCAAAACTTACAGCTCGTCATGACTATGCACTGTCGTGCTATTTCCTAGACGTGAAATATGTCCTCGGAAATCACAGGAATACAGTCTCATAGGTCTGCTGATTGGTCACTTAGTGACGTGTAAATAGACAAAGACCCAACCACGACCTGCCCACCCAACCAACCATCCCGCAGCGATGACCGGCGTATTGGTCTGGGACTTCCCCGTACCTTCACCGCAGTGGACACAGCCACTGCGGCCGGGACCTTTGTATCCGTGTACCCTTCTTCAAATCTGTGCCGGAACATTTAGCCTGATAATTATTCATTGTGTGTTGTGAGGAGCACAACAATCACAATGACATTGTAAGAATCGATTCAGCAACCAAGAAGTTTTCTATTCAGATGAATAACCTCAGAGTGAAATGATACATCTCAACAAACAATTATCTTTGTCAATAATCCGGACATATAGGCCTACCCAAAAAGAAAGAAAGGGGGAAAAATGCTTCGCCCTTCCCGTCCTTTTTTTGCAACAAAAGCAAGGCTGAAACTAAAAATCTGCAAATTTACAGAATTTCTCTGGGTTTAATGTCCTCTTTGTTAGCTTAATAACCCAACGATCACCATCTCAAATGTGATGAAATTATAGACCGTTTTATCTGGTAGGCCCTACCTAGATACTATTCGTATGAGCGCCAACGTTGCAGAAATATTTTCCCTAGTTGTCAGAATCTTACCACATAATGTTCATGTGCCCCATTACTTACCAAACGGGTCGTATTTTCATTTGGTGTTCAGTAGGCCTAGCAGTATACATCATTTGTATTTATTTTTGAAACCTGCATGGGACTGATTTTTTTTTAAAACAGTAACCATTCAGTTCAAGGACCTGACCCGACATCGGGCTGATTTTATCCTTTGTCAAAAACGAAACTTATGCCCAACATTCTTTGGGGCAACACAGAGAATGACTTAACCCTGCAGATATTCGATAATCTAAAAGGAAAATTGCAAAGAATATTTTTAAGACACTGGACTTCACGGTTTCCGCTTCTTTAAACAGACCATTACATATTTATGTACATGTATTACTTCAAAATTTTTCCCCATGTGAATTTAGTCGAAACTGTCAAACGGAAATGAGCAAGTCTTCAAAATTGTCTTCCAGGTAGTCCCATGTCGTTATAAAGTCATTCAGCGTTGCAACCAACCAACCTTTGCAGTTGTCTGTGAGTTCTTCGTTTCCTGAAATGAGCAACACCTCCGATTCTATTACAGGCATATTTGTAACTCGGCAAACACTCGTGTTTGCAATACAGAACCTTTCCTTTCTCCGAAGTCAACCTCCGTTTGACAATTGCTTACCTTAACCGTACTTCCTGGCTCGGAAGCAGCTCAGCACAAACTCATAAACCGGGAAAACTTCGAGCAAACTATAACCACAAAGAAGAGGCAGGGTCGACAGTTCATTCTGTTGTCATTGTTGACGTTTTCTGTACAAGAATATTTCCCATTCGGTTTCCTGTATTAACCTTGGGGAAATATTTGTTGACTTCCTAGCTGTGTGTTTGTAAACGGAGTCTCTGTAAGGACTCAGACTCAGCTTGAAAACATCCACGGGGAAAACTCCCAGTTTACCCGCGCAGATGTTGTAAATAATGTGTCACGTGCTATTTGTAAAGCATAATTACAACAAAGTGGAGTGCATTTCTTTTAAACGTGCACAGAATTTCACAGCTGAGTCACATACATTACATTAAATTTCAGGCTTATTGAAAATAAGATATATACGACGATCATGAACGGTTGGGTGTGTGTGTGGGGGGGGTGGTTTATAACACAAAATGCAGCTGAAATTCTGTGATTGAACCATAATGTTGGTTCCCCAAATTCTTGTTCTTAAACCCCTCCCCCGTCACTCGTCGTGTTTGTTCGCTCTTAATTTTGTAGAAATTGACAAGATAACTTTACAAGGTGTGAAGAGGATCACTGCCATACAGTCTTGATTGCTTGGTTAGACTTTTCATCAGCATTAGGACAAACTCCTTACATTTTTGTGGCCGTAATACTTTCTTCAACTGATATCCGGTAAATCGACGCTCTTGGAAAAAGTTTCTAGAATGTCTTTTGCCATTCAGGGACGTTTACACAATTGTTCAATGATTTAAGCAAAATCAACCTCTAATCTACTCATTAAAATTGCATCTTATAAGAAATTATTGCAATTTCCTAGTTTTAACTCATTCCAAAGGTCCAGTTTTGCATCTAGGAGGGGGGAGGGGCGAAGGAGGAGGAACGTCCCCCCTCAGAGACAAGCTATCATTTTTAAAGAAACGATACCGGTATACTACGAGTACTATCTTTCGTCTTTGTGGGATTGTGAGGATTCTTTTGCGGACGGAAAAAAGGACCGTCTTTTTTTGTTGCGAAAAATTCGATTGAGCACCCCGGACCCAAACCTGGATATGCAGTCGTAGTAACTAGAATCTTGTATACATGTACCGGACATTCCTCTTCACTTTGTAAAAGCTATCTTGATTTTATCACATCTCAGGACCGGCGTGCCGGCTTTTACACCCCCAACATGTAAGAATTGGTAACACCAAAGAGGCTGGCTTTTACGGGAATCCGTAATGCAAACAAGACCCTATTGTCCATGGGTACAGTGTGGGCCGTCCGTCGTGGGAGACTTGTACTTTGGCCGCCCAAACAAATCTCGGCGGGCATGATTTGCACCGTTCCATTCTTCCTGTCGCAGTGATTCGTTGAGTTGGTGCTTTTATCCAACTGCAAATACACCGGATCAGGGAACTGAGACATCAAACGAAATGGTCGAGTTCTGACAAAAAATTTGAAAATTGAAAGGTTGCCGTCCACATTTGGCCGGTCACTGTATGACACGGGCGAGATTCATCGTTCCCGCACAATTTAATGGGGACATTTCTCAAAGACTCCCTCGTCGTACACAGTTTTTTTTTTCGAGGATGATATTCACAATTACATTCACCTTATTAGCAATTCCAGATTCTTCGAACTTGTCCTCGATTGTCGAACAAATGTGACAAGCACACCCCAACACCTTGCTTTGGGAACATTACAATACCAGCGTTCTTCATAATAGGAACTTCGCTTGAATGACTTTTCAGCGAGCGGCAGTTCAACCTTTGACAGTCACAAAATGGAGCCGGAGCAGTAGGTCTACATTATCATGACCTGAAAAATATTCCACCCGGTTTCGTTTCTAGGTTATGACTTTGTTTGCTTATTTTTTTGTTTTTGTTTTTTTTAACAAATAAAAGGATAGGAAACACTTGGGTCTGGGTTCAGTACCCGTATCAGATCAAAGTTCTCTGTGCAGTCGTTCTCTTTTTAAATCCACCTGCTGACTAACACCGGTTGTCAGCAGGTGTTTGCTAAGGGCATACGTGGTGGGATATCCTTGTCGGGATCCCCGGCTAAATAATCATGCTTGCGGAAGGTCCACTATGATTTATCAAGTAGTCAGGTATTAAAAATAGTTGATGTGGTCTAGATCTGTGCAATGGTAGTGTTGTACGGACTGCTAGAACGATGTGTGGAGAACTTTCCATATTAATTTTTTGGGGTAAATAAGAAACAGTCTAATGTTTATGTTCCCTATTGAACCTCCAGTGTTTTTTTTTTTAAAGTTACACGTCAGTCATGTGTGAGCATTCTAGGGAAAAGCTATTTAACCGAATACATGTAAATGTCAACTGGCAGCAAGTTCGAAGTACATGTAAGTCATGCGTCAATTTTTGCTAGTCCAAGTCCAGTCACAAGTCAAAGCTGATAGTCAAGTCGACCTGATTCTGATTCGAGTCCAAGTCACCCGACTCGATTCAACCACTCTAAAAACAACGTCTACAATCGTACCTAGCGATGAAGAATACAATAACGCATGCGCGGATGTATCATAAATAATTATGTTTGCTTGACATACATGTTCATGTGACAAGATGCCCCTGATCCATGGCCCGAAGGGGCCGTCCCAGCACACAGGAAAGCAGTAAAAATTAGGGCAAAGTACATGTACATGTAACATTGCGACAAGTTTCCAAGAAAGTGTTGCCTCTGAAACTGGCGCAATGGCTTGTGACTCAGGCGGAACTCAACCACCCGGAAGTGAGAAGTGTCATTCCAGCGTGCACGGGCTTTAGATAGGCCTAGATAAAAGATGACTTTGACAGAATAGAAGCAGTAGGACCTTTACAAGCAGAATGTGCTGAATTTAAATGAATGAAATGAATTGATTCTCGTGATATTTTATGACACACAGGCAGGGCTCAGAGTTAGGTGTGCACAACATCGTGTAGTATGTGCAAGAGCACACATTTTACCGGCCAGAGAGCCTCATCAGAACGTACCACGGGCTCTCGCCGCAAAGCAGCGGCGGAGATCACAGACTACCGAGGGCGGAGCGCGCCAAATATTATCAGCATGACGGAGCTCACGACAGCTGTCAAGAAGGGAGATCTAAGCTCCGTGCGCAGGGTGTTCTCCCTGTTGACCTCGGAGGAGGCGGAGAACGCAGTCAGGTACCAGACACCGGAGACCAGGGAGACGCTGCTCTTCTGTGCTTGCGTCACGGGGCAACTCGAGACGGCGCGGTTCCTGCTGGCGATGGGACGGGACCAGAGAGACGTGTGCACGGCCTGGGGGGCCGTGCCCCTGCACGCTGCCGCCGAGCGGTGTCACGAAGATATTGTCAGGTAGGAACACAAGCTCGTAATGATGGGATAGGAAAACATGGTAACCTCTTTTAAAGTTTAGTTCTAAGCAGTTTCATGTTGCATCAGGATGATGTTGTAGGGATGTAGCAAACTTGAATTTTTCAATGTATTATCAAAACTTGTACTTGTTATCAAGAGTTGCTTAACACTTCACATCGGTACCCCAACAACAAAATGTAGGCCGTGCATCTTTCCAAATAGGCCTACGTAGTAAGAAAATGTCTAGAACACTTTGTCGCGGTGAAGCGGTAATGATATTAACTAATCTTTCCAAACCTTAGCACAGCTTTTTTGTAGATTTTTTTTGCCATAACGAAGCATTCAGTGTATGCGTCCATTATTTATATTGGACATGCAAATTCACCGACGCACAGGGAATTATTTTTTGCACGAATTTCTGATCATCGCCAGTGAACTGCGAAGGTGAGCTGGGTGCTGACGTTTGACAAATTCCGCGAAATAAAAATGATGTGCGGAGAGTGGAAGAAATGAATGCAAATGATCGAAAATGTCTCTTAAAAAAGAGGGGGGAAAAGAAGAAAAAGAGGCTGGGGATTAAAGAATTTTTGCTCGCTGGGGTGGAGCTCTCACCTCACAGACCTTAGTCGTGGCAGAAAGAGGAATAGCTCTTTGGGTAGGGAGGCAAACAAGAGTATAGCAGGCTGACAAATCATCACATAGAGGGGTCAAATTTCTCCATCTCCTCTTTCTTTTCTTTCCGTTCGTCCCATTTCTTAAAAAAAAATTCCCATTTTCTGGGTTTGTGGAAAGTCGTTATTAAGCCGGTGAAAACGTGAACTATCTGAAACTCCGTGAACACCCGTCCTCCATAACGTGTCGCTCGATCCCCACGTATGTGACTGACCATGATCCCGATACTGTGGAATGACCTTTCCTTGTGTAACCGAAATCTTTAATGAATGCGTCCATAAACAAGAATCCCATGTGCGACACATACTGTGTGAAATTTTCGTTCTTGTGGAGGCTTTCGGAACAAGGCTTGAGAACGGCCGTGATTTTCAAGTTGGCCATTAATTTGTTAATTCTACCAAAATGAAGCCAACACCTCGGCTTTTGGATTTGTAAAGGGTTAGACTGCTCACAAAGTAAACCGTAATTACACAAAACAAGGCTGGCCTATCAAAAGAACAGAATGTATGAATCAATTAGACACATTGTATTGTCTGCACCTTTTTTTTTTTTAAAGTAAACTAAGCTTTTTGATTGTTTCCTTCAAAGAAAAATTAAGTATTCGTATCGGTGAGCCCAGTTTTTCTCTAGACAGACAACTATGGTTTCAAGTCCTTTAACTGAAGTTTTGCGTAAATTGTGCCAAATTTACAAAAGCTATGAAGGAGGAACTTAACCAAGTTTGGTTTTGTATTACGTTCAGAACTGCAAATGGCCAAAAGGTCACACGTTATTGGAATTTGTATTAGATTCATGTCATGTAGGGTATAGGTCATGCGCAGCAAAGATTAAGGTCACCATATATATTACAGCATCAGTAGAATCGAATGTGCCTTCCGCGTCAGGAATGCCGAGCGATGACGTCATTGCAGGGACTGGTCGATGATGACATAATCCGGGAAATCACCTTCTGTGACGTGCCGCGTGCTACGAGATACTGCCTGCCACCCGATTTCGCGTTCTGCTGTCACCCGGTTAATCGAAGTGTGTAACGCTGCATGTTGTTAGCTGGGCATTAATTTGTGCTTCTTCAAGGACAAAAAAGGTCTCCACGACTTTTTGCTGTTCCAGTTTAGAAACGTTCGAGCGCGTGTTCTGATGATAGAAATGTGGGGCTTTTATGCATCACTCGTGGCTTGAAATGTATAAAACATGGTGCGAAGTCTGTGGGAAGGACAACTTCTGCACAGGTTAACTTTCAACAAGTTTATGGGTCTAGTAAAGTCGAGAACAAGAAATAAACTCACTCAATTTTATGTGGCGATTTTGGTTTGTCGTTTATCATCCGATGTCAAGTGCAAACATAAGGAAATTTCGATGGGAATTTCAACAAGACCGGAAAGTTTATTCCCCTATAGCTTTACATTGGTGAATGAGCATGATGGGGAAGGGAAATAATTTCCTGAAGGTTATATGGAGATCTCTGTCCGGCGAAACAAGGAAATTCGATGACTTTAAAGGATTTACTTCTTTCTGCAAAGAGAACTTACGCGTGCGAAGGAATGGTGCAATTAATGTATTCTAAAAGTACACTTGACGCAGAGCAAGCTTTTATTGAGAGAACTTCCGTGTGACCGTAGGGACGGAAATTTCGCAAAGAAACGTAGGAGCAAGAGACTATGCATATAATAACTGAACAAAACTGCTTGTGCACAATCTAGACGAGAGACAACAATGCCGGAACATTTGTGGGCAGAGAGCCGGTCTTAAACAGAATCATTTTGAACTCTTCTTAGATTTATCCTTCAAGCGCGCTGGGTCACATATTCCCTGACCTGTTCGAAAGGACGTCAGAACACCCGTCCGTATACATGACCCACACGAGTGAGGCAGGATATCTAAAGCTCTCGTCACTGATCTACATTTAAAAAAAGGCCTCAACAATCTGGATAGGGCATTGGTTGTTAAAAGAGAAACCAGTATCACTGCTCCGATCCGCCACAAATGGGTCTTTTGTTTGTTTAATGAATGGAGTTTAGACTGGTTCCATACGCACTTGCCAGTGGAGGGATCAGGAAAGAGCTTTGCACAACTCGGAATGGTTGATAAACTGTCTATATTTTGTACAAGTGCACCAGAGGCTCTTATTGGACCATTCTGCTCACGCTAGAAATCTTTAGGTTGCACATGCTCCGTGCACAAAAAGCTGCAGAGAATCACAGAATTTCTTCGCGGTTTCTGGAGATATCTATTTTCGATGAGAATCCCTAACCGCATGCGTGTCCCAGTACAATGACAAGCATGTGGTTACCCGCGTAACTTAATTTAAGGTAAGGGCTGGTGACAAAGACTAGTAAGGAGACGGAGTAGGTCCGCCATATTCCTGGCGGGGCATTGTCGCTGCTGATTCTTTTGATGGTGGTGCTCGAGTTCAGTAGCCGGATTTTCCCCCGTCTGCCGGTATTTACTTTCAAACAGCGTCCTCGTGTCGTAGAACTTTTTACTGTTAACCCGGTACTTCAAACCAGACAGGATGTGAACTTCAGAGGTGTTTTACAGGGCACAAAAAAGTTACCAATCCAGGGAGTCTACCCCTTTTGATCATGTGCTTTAAAAAATGTTCACAAGGCTCCGACTTTAAGGCAGCAGGGAATGACAAATCGTCCACGCAAACGAAGCTCACGCTTCAATGAAGAAAAATCCGGATTTCTTTTTATATTGGATGAATGGAGTTGTGGGTGCAAAGCCCGGATCGGAACGTACTCATTCGAAATCCCAGATTATCCAAAACCAGGATATGAAAACGTCGGTAATTTTGTGGTTTAACAGTGCACCGTAACGTGAGCTCATTCCTGTCCACTGGACAAGGTTTTGATCACATCCAACTCCCGGTATTCCAGGGATTGGGTTCAGGGCCCAGATATCGCCTGTTACGCCGGATGAAGGCGTACCAGCGCTTTGCCTTGTCGGTCATCCTTGACAAAATAATGAACTGTCTGTTTCATTTCTGCGCTTTGTTTAAAATTTTCGAGCTTGACAAACAAATCAAACTAAAAAACAAACTGAAACAAAAGAAAGAAAAAAACAAACACACCAACAAAACAAACAGCCCCAAAAGAAAAGCACCTAAACAAAACGGGCAAACTCAAAACAAGAGCAATAAAGAAAAACAAACAGCAACGACAACGACGACGACGACAAACAATAGCAATACAGCAACACAAACAGCAACAACCTCAGTTAAATCAACACCAGAAACAGCAGCAACGAGAAAGAATCCATCAGGAGGAAAAAGCAAAATATGAACTGCTATCTTATCCCTGAAAACAACCCCCCTCAAAAAATGCTTCTTCATCCTTAAAAAAACCCTGCTTCTTTGAACCCATGAAGAGGAGAAAGGATTTTTTTAAAAATTGCAACCGGGAAAATGAGGTGATTCATTAGGCTCTTCGGCTTGAATTAAAACACAGACAAGGGAAAGTGAAACCGTTAAATCTGATTGATGAAGTTTGTGATGAAACTTGAATGAGAGTGCTTCCCGTTTCGCTTCCCAATTTTACTTCTGCATCGATTTTTTGTTACCAACAGCTGTTTCGTTCGTTGCTGCTCAGTAAATGTTTCTTCTTGTTCCTGCGCCCTTGAAGCGCCAACTTTCGAGAGTTTAAGGAAAAGGAAAGCAGAAAATTGTATCACTCTAAAATACAGGAACAATTACGCAATCCTATATGGTATGTCCGTGTCAAGGGTATCACGTCTTTACTATTTCCTTCAGTAATCCTTTGCCAGGAAGATCTTTTTTTCTCTTTACTTAAGTGCTGTTGCTCGATGGAGCCATCATCTTTTCACGAGAGATGATACCCCCTCAATGCTCACAGCACACCCACCTCGCACATGCATCACAATGTCGCCTCTCATTCCCTTGCAAAAATTCAATGACTGTTTTCGGCAACGTGAGTGGTGTTCCGCATTTGGTTACAAAGACTGATGCTCTGCAAGGGACCGTTACATCCGTTTCTTTATCCATCCAATAGCCAGTTTTTACTTTTGATTTTTTTTGTTTGAAACCAGCCCGTTGGCTCAGATTAATTCGGGAGGCTGCCGTACGCAAACCATACGTGCCTGGGAAATTGACTCTTGATAACACGAAAGGAGTCACTTCGAGACCCGGATATTATGACACGATTGACACATTCGAACAATAGAAATACCATTCCATTCGTAAGAAAGTTCCGCTTCCTTGTTGTCTTTATCATCCCATTGGGACCCAACATCATTAACGGTTGTTTTAGAGTTTAAAGTGGGCGATGTAAATCTAGGCAGTCACGAAATTACCTTTTAAGAGTCGTCATTGGTACGGAATCAATGTTACAAAGCTGCTTTCAAGATAGCGGCTGTATATAATTATATTCAAGAGAATATTGAAATCTTCCAATTTGATTTAATAAGTCATATTATTAAATCAACTCAAAGGAGACGATAAGCTCCAAGAATTTCCCCCCATTAAAGCTGTTGTCTTTCTTCCCCTTTTGATGACATAGGCTGCTCTTGAAAAATGGCGCAGACATGAACGCCCAGACAAGCTACGGGGACACGCCCCTCCACCTGGCGGCGTTTCGGGGCCACTATACGACAGTGCGGTGTCTAGTGGAGGCCGGATGCGACCTGCACATCGTGAATTCCAAGGGGAAGACGGCACTGGACGACGCGTCAGCAGCCAGGCACCAACGCATCGTGCAGTACCTCGGAGCCGTAATGTATCCAGGTGTGTATCTTCCCGTAGAATTTCCGGTGTGCTGCACTTGGTCTCACAACAGAATAATTAATGTTAAATGATTAATAAAACTGAATAATAAAACAACGTCAGAAATAACAGCAGAGACACAAAAACCACAGTAAAACGAATTAAAGTGTATATATTTGCCACCCAGACTTTTTCATTCGACGGGCTTTTTAAAGGTCCCGAATTAGGGATGCATTTTTCGTGATCCTATTGCATCTCCACGGGATTATTGTGTCCCCTTTAACTTAAGGAATCTTTCTCTATGATTCTTAGCCAATAGCAGTCTTTTAACCGCCATGCTCTTCCCTTCAACGAAATCCCTGCTCTGATCAGCATTTCGGAATAGGTTTCTTCTCTGTCACTTTTCTAATAGGAACTAACACGAAGCAACAACTTCAATTTTTGATGAGGTAGCAAAGAAGGATGATGTTGAATTTGTCTAAGTATGTAGAATAAAGTAAAACTTTCACCGAAGAATTGAATGCGGTGCCATAAATGTCTTTGTTCTTTTCTGTCTTTGTTTGCAACATAAATCTAATTATAATTATGTGCTGACTTTTGGTTCAGATACTGATGACTGCGCCAGGAATCATCAGGAGAGGAAAATGGCCAATGACAAGATAGATTTGATGAAGACGCGGCCGCTGGCCCCACCAATCAGAACCATACAAAAGTTGGACCGTTGCATTTCATGGCACAGTTGTCCCAGCAACATCCTCCGAGGGAGTTGCTCGCCGGACGAAGGAGCCAGAAATTCTTGGCAGAACGGTAGAAGGCACTCCGCCGCGTCGACAGTGGCGTCGTTAGAGTCGAGCGTGAACGATCTCAGCATGACGACGGCTTTTTCTCCGCGGCGGGACAACCACAGGGGCATGAATGTCATCCCAGAGGTCACCAACGACACCGGCAACCAGCGGCATCAGTGTAACCATCGGGAGCCGCGTCAGGAGCATGCTGCTACCCCCGTGACGTCAAGCCCCGTGGCTGCGAGAACATGTGCTGAGAAACGGCGAGATTACAGGGACCGAAGCGCCAGCGACTCTCGGGTGGAGTACCTGGAGAAGATGGTGGAGCATCTTCGGCAAGGGCTCACGGCGACCCAGGAGGAACTGGGGAGGACAAGGGTCGAGCTGAGGCGAGCCAACGACCAACTGCAATTACCTCCATGCAGAATGAACACAGGGGACGGGCCTGGGTGCGCCTGTGGGCCAAAAGGCACAGTCAGACTGGTTCTGAATGTACGGGATCAGGATTTGGGCCATCTGTATTGAAAAACCATTCAAGCACTCGTTTGTTACCAGTGGCGTAACTAGGGATAAATGTCCGCGGGCACACAGGGGTACACACATTTTTTCAAGAAGCACCACAAGAAAATAAGCTGCATCTGCATAACTTTATAAAATCAATGGAGATTTCAAATGGGGGGGGGGGGACATCCACGGGGGGGGCACGTCCTAGTCACGCCACTGTTTGTTTGCACTAAATGTTTTAAATGATCTTGTTTGGGTCCTTTGTACGGTTGGATGGAAAGAGGGGTTAAAACTTGAAGTTTTAGCAAGTTGCAAGTTGGCAAGTTGGATTCATTTGCTTAATAGCTGAGCAGTTTGCACGAGCAACGACGCTATAGAGTATTTTGCTTGGTAAGTGTGGCCTCCCTTGTGTCTCGATGTGGTGCTTCGGGTAGACTCGACTTATGGTTTGGTATAAGCCTGATGGTTGTCAGATTAAACAGTAAATATAGCATGCAATGTGCAAGGGAGCACAACTTCATTCTCCGCTTGTTTTGTCTAAATTTGGAGTCCATTTTAATCAGAATATTAGTCGAGAGAACTAGAGAATTTGTACTTTCCGTATGAATTTGTAAATTTTGTAAATGATTATTGGGTCGAAGAGCGATTACACTTACGCAGAATACACCAAAGCTCTCACAAAATTCGGATTCGAGAGAGCCAGGCATTTCGAAGCACTGCTGCACATTATTACTCCTCGAACTGCAGCTTGAAGTTGTATAATGAAAATTGCAAGCCATTCCACAAATCCCGGCACTTAGTTTTTGCAACATCATTAGGCCAAAATGCTTCATATCCGTTTCAGCGCCTTTACCTCACTTCGTGGGCATTATATTTTCCTTCAGTCGTTCAAAAAATGAGATTCCTTCGCTTTGTATTCAGTTTTCAGTAACCGGAGGCCTTGGATAGGGCAACCAGTCGTTATTTTTTCCCCTCTTTCAGAGGAGAACTTACGTGCGTGAAGAGGTACTTTTGACACAGCACTCGGCCTTGATTGTGATTTGCAATTGTAGACAAGAGACCGATTGCACCTACTAAGCCACGTGACCTAAAGTGGGTATCAAACATCCACAAACCTGGCGTCCTCCCATCGCAAAGTGTCTCATATTAAGTGCCATTTAGCAAAAATAAAGCCGAGGGTCAGTATAAAAGCACCCAGACTTCTGATGTATTGAGTATTTGACAGAAAAATCGGCTTTGTTTTTTTATAACACGATTTGCTATGGGAGGACGCCATTAGTGCTTGATACCTAATGTAGATCACGTGAGTTAGCGGGTGCACTCGGTCTATTATCTTGCTTTGTTTTTTGTCACAGTTTTAAATCAAGACAAAGTTGCAAGATTACTTATTTTCTAAGCCACTCTTGGCCAGTAAAATGCTTTTATCTAAATTATTATTATTTTTTCGCAATGGGCAGTTGGTGGAAGCAGGATACTTTCCTTGTAACGTTGACTAGGCCTATATGTATATTTTGGCAAATGTTAATTACATAGCACACTTTTTATTTTGTCATACTTTTATGTAATAACATTCGATTGTTATCACTATTCTTTTTGTGGGAGATGTCTTGGGAAAAAACAGTTTCCCCAAGTATTTTATCATCGACAATACCGGCGCTGGACCGGTTTGAGTCAACGATAATTTAGAGGTTTATTTGCACTGACAGAGTTGACAAATGGTTTAGGAACGCGATTGGTGAATATTAATGCTTGCAACAAACTTTGCTTTTGGTACAAGAAAGCGAACAAAACTCATTCTCTGTGAGAAATCAAGTTGAGAAAACTTCTCATTTTACAGAATCTTCGCATACAAAATCAAACGTGTATGCCACAAAATAAATCTTATTATTACACAAATTTATTTTCTTGAAGTTGTACTTATGTTCAGGGGAACCTATTTAAATCTGGTGAAAAGTTTTATGTTTGTTTATGTGGGCTTATAGATTATGACGTTTTGGGTTCTGTCCCGTGCGTATTTCCCTCTCGTATGATAATTTACGTCACTGTACACAGTATTTACTCAGTATACATGTACATACGATGCTAATGGCAACCTGCCACTACTTGCACTTTAATTCCGGCTTTGTTCAATGACGTCAGGCAACGGGACACCTCCCCGATTCACTCAGTGGAGGCAAACACATTTTTTGGCACGTAGGCAGTTTCGTGGTGCTTGCGGTCGTTCACATAGCCTACATTCTCAGCATGCGCCGCCTCTGAATTGCTAGCCGACATTGATCACCGAAATTTGTACTATCTTCTTTGAAATTTCGAAGCATGAAATACGTCAAAAGTAAGAATGTCAGACAAGACTAAGACTCAAGTAAACAGGTGAATATAGGCCACGATTTCTGTTTAAAACGTGGATTTTATTCAGTTATTCATTAAAATAACTATTTTAAAATCTTGGCTTTTGGTTCAATTTGTAAAATTGTGAAATGGTGTCGTTAATTAATTTGTGGATGAAATCGAATACAAATAGACTTTGAAATATACATCAACCCAGAATAACATCTCTGTTGCAAGCAGTTATTTTACAATTAGCAATAAATACCAGGAATACTGAGTTTCAACTGACGACGAGAATTTTTTATTTCGGCGCCCGTAGCACAACACCTTTTTGCAGTCTTTAATAATGTTGTTAGAAAATATCGTGAACTTCCTCCTGCAGCAATCGATTGGAGATGTTCTCTGAATTGGCCACACTTCACATGCATGGCACAAACACACAGATGCCGTGACCGACATATATCACGTGTTTTTATATTTCCCAATCCGAATTAAAAATCAATAGTTACAAGTGTCACATATTTAGCTGAGAGCTTCAAGAACAATTAAAACAGGAATAATCGTTCACCGACAAGATACGTACCATGTAAAAGGAAATCACGATGTCGTGTTCCTTTTGACCGCAAAGCATCAAATTATAAACCAGAAAGCTTCCTCCCTCATTGAAAACTATGTAGGCCTACAACCAAAAGGGCATCTATTCTTCAAGGGAGAGAAAGAGATAGAGAGAGGGAGGGAGGGAAACCAAAACGGAGCTCACTTCATGCTTGGCACAGCTGGAATCACAGGCATCGCTAAAGATCATTTTGAATGGGGGGGGGGGTGCCACATGAAATTTGCCGACGGACCGTCACACAAAACGAGTGTACTGTAGTCCGAGTCCCTCGCCCCACACCAACCTGATATTTTTTAAATTTTACCGACAGACCATGATTTTGCCGACATAACTAACCAAATGGGGGTGTGACCCCCCCCCGGCGACGCCTGCACAGCTGGTACAGATCCCAGGAGTCTTAAGGCCAATTTCCCAGTAATTCCGAAATCAGAAAGAGCGATGTAAGCTCATTGTTTCGACGTATCATCTCGTATCTTTGTGAACACGTGAAGATAATAGCAGGAAACGCGATACTACTCTGCTGTTTTACATGTATATTGAACAAGATTATTGAACAGGCAAGAAAATCAAAAGGCCCTTGGGAATGATCCCGACTCATTTTGGCCGACCGTGGCATGCCGGATCTTGATTCAGCAAAGGTGAACAGTTCACGAAATAATTCAACTCACACATGAAATACTGCGAGGGAGGTGCGTTGAGACGCCACTTCAGATGGCAACTGGGCACTGTATGGGAAGCCTAAAAAAAACAAAAAACAAAACAAAAAAAACCCCAAAAAACACAAACAAAAAAGCCAAACAAAACTGACGAAAATTTTGCAACTAAATATGTAAAATAAATGAACTGATTTGACGGTACAGAATTGAATGCGGGTAGACAATAATGGTAAAAAGAGTAAAAAGGGAAAATCAATCAAAATCAGTAAAGTCCATTCTTTCAAATGTATTTATTTTCTCCCAACATGGATGACATTCCGGATTAAAATATGTCAAGGTCATTAAAAACGTGACACCACAATGTAACAGCAGCGACAAGTTTAAAACAGAATCGCACAGGCACCGCTACTTGATATTCAATGCCACTGCGATGCCCCCCCCCCGTTCTGTCAAGCTTAAATCATATCCAGAAAACGCCACGGGAACAACCAACAGGAAAAAGAGAGAAAATTTATCAACTCTCTTTGACCTGATTGTCGTCACAATGAGGCAAATCTCTTCCTAGGTGGGGGCGGGGGAGGGTAGGATAACAGTTGGCAGCATCGTAGGGGAAGCTTCCCTATCCATGCTCCTAGACCATGTTCACTCGGCGGACCTTTCTTCTCTCAAATTTACCACTGCGTAGAAACTTACCAAAGATCTGTCAAAGGCAGAGCTGCACATAGAGAGTGTTACGCCTACTCCACATATTGGAATGGTTGTTTGTAACGTGTGCAGTGCAGCATGCTACTGTTGTTTGCTTTTTGTCAGATGCATTGACGCGTAATCCACCATTTTGGTTTCAATAATTGAGACACTCGTGTCGCAACCCTCTTTGGTTAACGGGCACCCCCCCCCAATACTCTGAGCCAGTTTTGTTTCGCCGGATCTGGATCACTATCAGGTTCGCGCGATCTACCAGGCGAGTTCTGCTGGGTGTCAGTGAACCAACGTCCCACCACTGATTGCGATCCGGATCCGCGTGAAACAGAGGCCGTGTTTGTTTCACACGGATCTAGATCGCGATCAGCGACCCGTCGTTGGTTTACGGACACAAAGCACGCAGAGTGGACGGTTAGGATCACTGATCGAGATGCAGATTAAACAAACAGGCCTAATCTGGCCGGGCCCTCAGCCTCGTTGTCGCCTCAGGCTCTGACTGATTCTGAATCCCTTCGCTTTGAATTTGAAGGCTTTAAGTCACACCCCGCTACCAGAATATCACACTTCATTGATGGGGACCAAATACTTAAGTAATGTATTTCTATTTAATTTGAACACAGCAGACCTACATTCGGGAACCGATTTCAGAGACGAAGCCTGAGAAGGAGGCAAAGCCCACACTGCTTGAGGAAAAAAAATCCAAGCTTCACCTTCCCTCAATCTGTCCAAATCTTCCTGCAGATATAAAAGTGCTGGCATGAGAGTATTGCCAACATTCATTTTAAACAATAACAATTCCCATTGACCTCTTAAACCAAGCTATGCGTTCCAAATCACCACGAATAAAAACCTTTAAAATGTCTTAGCCCCCCCATACAAACTGCGAAAACAAACTAACCTTTCCACACGACAAACACCTTTTAATATTCATAGTATTGCGCAATAATATGACTCTTAAGAACATTTCAACAAAATTAATGCCACACACCTTTAACTTTTATAAGATCTCGACGTTAACCATAGTCTACAGTGCCTGTTAACACAAAAAACCATGGCGTGAAATTTAATAACAGGAAGGCAATCAGGCACAAGAAAGAGAAAAATAGTAGTATTTCTAGGACCCAATCTTGTTACCACAAAAGACAGTTAATAAGACAAAGGTGTGTACAAAGAATATGCATCAAAAACTTGATAAACAAGGCACTCTCATATCACATGCAAATTTTATAGAATGGGAATGATAAGATAATATGAATGAAAGATAATCTATTTGTTTACTTTTTCATTCCAGACCTCCCAACATTGGCTCTCAAGAATTCGGAATCCTTCTCGCCTGAATTTTTCATGAAAAATCGGACTATTCTCCGTATTACCATGAAACAAGTAAAAATCAGTGCTGCATTGTAAAAAGTCAAATCCGCGTCCACGATGATGTACAGTACCGCACGTACTCACCAATTCCATACAATTTTGATTCCCACAAGAGTTTACATCATCTGAAATGGTCTGCAATTATTTTTCATTTCCTGAATGTGTTGATTCAAAGCGAAATTCTGCGAAACATTTACCGCGTTTACACGATCGTGGTCGAATTCACAGCAGTGCTTAGTCTTGAATCCAAACGTTCTTAGCTGTGGATCCATGCGAAACCGGGCGCCGCAAGCAATGTACGAGTCAGAAGGGCGCGCTGCCACGGACGCGGCACACAATGTGCACTGCCACTGACCGCTCAGGTAAGTCAGATAAGTCGTATTACAGAACATGCATAAGATCACAAGGTCTGTTTCCAGTAACACACAGGCGTGTCAAAATTGCAATTTGGCGGAAATTTTAGGGGCGAAATTGGAATGGCGGAAATGAAGTGATATGAAAAGGGAAAATTTTCCGCCAAAATCGGTTGGGTTGGGAGGTCTGCATTTCCCTTCTGTCCAGGAGCATGCAAAAGTCTCAAAATTTGGCCTCATCCTTCAAAAAGGCTGTAACAGAAGCAAGTCCCACTTTTTTGGCCTCAACCCCCTCCCCCAATTTTGTTCTGGAGCCACCTTTGCGTTCAATGTATCTGGGCATTCAATGTATCTTAGTGCCGAGATGGTGTTCTCTGACCATTCCCCAATTTTGTTAAACAGTACATCTCGGACTGACTGGCATAGTTGAGCACTTCCTAGACCCGAGTTCGAATCTTTCTGTGGGGGCACTACTGTTATTGTGGAAAGTTAGTAACCTGATGATTTGTATACCAAACAGGTTTCTGACTTGTGTCTTGTGTCAAGGCTATCTTGTCTCTGCTCGTCAGCATAAACAGGCCCTTGCACTGATGGGACACAAACCCATATCTTCCTACTTGCTGGTGCAGACGCCTTCATCCGTTCAATCACTGCACTTGATGGGGTCAGCTGGGTGGTTTGAAATGCTTGGCGGTCGAGTGCTCAGCATAGCAGGCAGAATTTAAAGGTGCATTTTAGTTGATTTCACCAGACTGCCGTTTCTTCAACCATGATTTCTTTGTCGGGGTCAGGTTCCACAGTCAATCTTGAAGCTTTTAACGCTCAATTCGGGCGATTCACAAGAGTACACCTCAAAGAGTTTGCAATGAGTTGGCAAATCACAACGCGCAAAATCTGTCGACCCCATGCCGTTTGGAAAGGGCCGACAGATTTTGCGAGTTATGATTGGCCAATGTGTTGCAAACTCTTGGAGGCGCTCTCTTGTAAATCGCCTGTATTCAAATAAGAGCTCACTGAAATGACTGCCTCATATTAACAAATCTAAAATTCCTTTCAACTTATGAGCCAAAGAATAGGTAAAAATTCTTACAATTTATCAGCTTTTTTCATAATTTGACAAACTCTTTACTTTAGAAATTCAAACCTCCCATAATGAGCTAATTTTTTTATTTAAAAAAGGCAAGGTCATTTGACATTGATGAAAGCCAGCCCGACCATGTTCAGTGCGTGTATAGGACCAACATCACACTTTTCTCGGATGACCTCCGACACGTTTTTTTTAGCGTGCCCTGTTGGGTTACCAGACTGGATCGTTGATAGAGACGACCCATCAGTTCTGTAGGCATTACGATTAGCCCTTTGTTTCAATATCTTACTGACCTTTAAATTACTACCAAATGAATACTGTTACGTACTCGTAAGATCTGCCCAACATTCTCAATGAACTTCTACTGACAACTTTAAAATTACATGTTAGGCTGCAAAAATAGACTATGAAATTTATCTGTTGGCCTTTCATGTGAACAAAAAAATACAAGAGAAAATGAAACAAAAGAATGGATAAATATATATCAAGCATCGTTGGATTGCAAGGTCGATGGGCTTCTGACGGAACCCCCTGAGCTTTTTAATCCCCCACATCGCTGTCTCGGTCTCCTAGCAACCAGGTGAGGTAGAACCCCAGGGCGAGCAAGGCTGTGCCCAGGAGGTCGCCGACGGCAGTCAGGTAAGGGATGGAGAAGTTGTCCGGGTCCTTGGATTTCTTCCACAAGAGATGCACTAGCCAGTTGGCTGTGAACAGAAGGATACCCACCTGGAAAAGGGATGGTGGGGCCAGAATTGTTAGCGGGCATTTTGACCACTCGCTGACAGTCTGATTCCACAATGAATCCCTGCCAGGCGTGGTAGGGGCTAGGGTTACGGTTTAAGACCGGCCAAGCACATATTCATTCCCTTCACGAACCCCTGCCAGGCACTATATTAGTTTTGGCCAAAATACAGACTTACTCAAAGTGACAAGCTACGTCAAACACTGTTGTTCAGATTATGACTTTACAAATGCTGACCTTTGGTGGTCGTTTCTTCAAGACTTGTTCAACATTTTTTACTACATTGTCCCTTTTTTAAACCCTTCAAGACAATGTCGTGAGACGACATTTGCTACTATGCTTGTCCGTGGCCCATAGCTGCTTGAGGGCTGCACCTCCACTGACTAGTTTGAGCGTCTGTGTATTTACAAACTCAGTGGGAATTACTCAAACATGGGGACAAGTGCTGACACCACACAGAATGGCATACAGACTTGGCCACTCAGCGGTGGGTGGGAAAGTGAAATATCCATGAAATAATCGCCACAGGTTTTGAGGGCCCCACAGCAGCATAGGGTTTAAGGAGTAAATGAATTTGCGTTTGGCAACAAACATCAGCACCTGTTACAATACCATGTTTCTTGTGCTCAACCTCAATGTTTATACATAAAACACCTTCACGGTAAACACAGGATTTTCCGATTTTTAAAGGGGTTGTTTGGAAAATCCCAGAAATCAGGAAAAATCCTGATATATCTCACACCTGTGTACTTAAATGTCCTCTGTGTTTCAACAAACGGAATCCAGGCATGTTTCTATGACCCATTAAGCATCCATTACGAACCTATTTCATTAAGGCCTCAATCTATCCATTCATACTGGATGAGAGTCCATCAGCTGGTTGGTTTCAAACACTTGACAACATTAACACCTACTTTTAAACACTTCTGTGGCAAGTTAGAGAGTCTCATGTGAGATTTCGACTCCCCATATTATGGACTCGAACCCTCGCATGACAATCACAGACCTCATTCTTGCCATGTCAACATCTGCGTTACAACCAATGCGTCTGCATTTCTCAGAGTCACCGGGAACGAGAACAGCTGCGTTCTGTACCACACTGCATGATACGCCCTGGGCGTGCCATCTCCGTCCCAAAGGATTTAAGCATTGTAAGGACAAGCCTATACTACAGATGTGGTTGGAAGGTGTTTCACTTGTGGTGACACTGATGAACAAGATTCTCGAAGAAAATAATACTTTTCAACTTTGATCTGAATTTGTCAGGAAGAAGGTATGGAAATAAAAGTATGCTGGAGCCAGGAGCCTGGCACCCATAATGGATCTCTCCTTCTGTTCAGTCTATTATCATTGCCGGGGCCGGGGACCCAACCAGTTTTAGACACAGTCCAAAAACACTCTGCGACAATTTCATTTCCTCAGTGGGCAGTGAATTCAGAGTCAAAAAAACTGAGAGGCAGCACAACTGACCTGGATCAAGGCCACCGTCAGGTACATGATGGTGACGCGGACCGTGATTGACGTGTGGCCGGCCTTGACCAATGAGATGAAGAACAGGAAGATCAGCTGACCAGGAATGACCATCAGGAACAGCACACGACAAGATCGAGAATGTTCATCTATGAGCGGGTAAAACAAAACCACAAAAACAAAATTTGGGTATTAGTAATAACCAATATCTGCACAAGGTTAGATGTGATTGTTTGGCAAAGGAGGCATAGACGTTGTTGCGTGCAGGTTTTGTAAGTGAGATGGCCACTTTAGATCTTGCTTCCGGAATACACTGTATCTAATGAACACTCTGGAATGGGAATGTGACTGACCATTTTGTGTAATTAATGGTTCCACTTCATCTTGAAAAACATATTTCATTTTGGCCGGAAAGATGATATACATGTAAATGAATATCTCAATCCAGAAAATGGATCTGCTCATTGAAGCACACAGGCGGTGATCTGTAACTTGCATCCCCTTCATGTCCACAGATTGGCCTCGCTTTCATTTCAAGATGGCCCATTCATGAATAAGGTCGAATTGGGTAAGGTCATTCGCCCACTGTCATTTGTGTAGACACCAAGGGGTGGTCCTGAAAGTCGTAACTAAGAATTGGTTCAGTTGTCATCAGTCAGAGATTTTCTTTGATAATTTTGATTGGAAAGAATTACAGGTGATGGTGTGCCTAGTACTCAAATCCTCAAAGCAAACAACTGAACAGAGAGAAAAGAGCCAATACGAGAGAATTGAGGGCGCACTTGAGCAGGGAGCAGCTGACACTGTCTGGAACCCACCTGAGCCGAAGAACGCCTTGCAGGGATTCAGGCACGAGCCCTTGCGGCCAGGGGGCAGGGTACCGGGCTGGCCAAGCCGGTGCAAGTGCGTGGATATCCGACTGGCTTGGACGGCCACCAGGTTGCCGCCCACGCCGTTGATGACCGGGCTGAAGACTGCAACGCCGGCATTTTGTCGGATGGCAACGTCCAGAACAAGGCCCCCGCAGCTGATACAAGTATTACAGCAAAACCAATAATATCAATACGACAAATCCAGTGCCCTGCACTCTCTGATGTGGTTCATATCTTATTATTTCTGCTCACTGGGTACTCCCTGGGGTTCATACAATCATATAGTTACTACCACGTTGCCCTCTGCCCTCAAAGGTACCCATTTACACTCCTGGGTGGAGAAAGGCAAGTGGGGTAAAGTGACTTGCCCAAGGTCCCAACATGTGTTCCACTGCAGGATTTGACCTGGGGCCAATTTCATAGAGCTGCTTAAGCAGAATATTTGCTTAAGCATGAAAAAAAACGTGCTTGACAAATCAGGTTACCAGCCAAAACTCCATGTGATGTATATTGGTTTGGAACGGTATTCATCTGTCTTTTGGTTAGCATGACAATCACATAGATTTTAAGCTGGTAACCTTTGTTTATTAAGTGAGGTGCTTTCGCGCTTATGCAAATTCTGTGCTTAAGCAGCTCAATGAAATTGGCCCCAGAACCCTTGGATCGAGGGGTACAAACCATAACCACAACCACTAGGTCACATGCACCTGACGGAACAAATGTTCAGAATATAAGAAAAAGCTTTACCATTCATGACCATTTCCGTAGATTGAGGTGTGGTCTTGTAAATGACTGTATCCAAATCAGAACCTCTTTGGATAATTGTACATGTGTGTTGCAAAATATTCCGGTGAATTTATGTCCAAAAATTGTTTGAAAGCCCGTACAAAACAACACAAAGCCGTACAAAAAACTTTCCCTGCACCAGTTGTCACAAAGCCCTCAGCGAAAGCCACTTTCAAGCCCGCAACCTTTCACCTCAATCTGGTCAGCCAATCACGATCGGGATTCTGCGGGACTACCCATTACGTCAGGAGCATAAATCATTATCGTGCTCAGTAATGTTCAAGATCGCAAATTTCGCTGCCTTGCATCGACATAAACGAGGCTGTACATGTAGCATACATACCATACTGTACGGATGCATATTACAATCACTGGTTGTGATGTAAGCTTAATCATTTCAATACTTTTGCACTAAAATGTTTTATATTCAACAGAAATTTGACTAAAAATGTGTTTTATGTTTCTAATTTCCACCAATTAAATCAAATCTTATACACAAACTCTTTGATATTTGTGCAGGTCAGATTCTGGAAATTTACTATCAGTGCTGGTCAGCCAGCTCAAGAATTGATTGCATGTAACCAGCACTGAGCAGTGTAGTGACAACCCTGCTCAAGAGGACAAAGCTTTTGTGTCCACATCTGAACAAAAGAATCATTCTTTCAAGTTTCGTATTACAAATTCTGACAATAAAACTGTCTTTACTGAGCTCAAACAGGAAATGTGGAACATGCACCTGCATTTAGTCTGGCATGGGAATGGTACAGAGCACGCAACCGCTTTCTCACTATCCATAAAACTTTGCCTACATTGTGAGTGATGTACACAGACTGGTACCGTAACAAGCCGCCTGCCAGCATCGTTTTTATTTCAACTCATTCAACTCTGCTCACCTGCTAATCACCATGGCAACGATGACGGGACTCCAGCCGTGGTACAGCACATCGTGGGTGTACTTGTTGCGGTGGGACAGCCACACCCACAGGGGTAAGAGGAGAAGGAAGAATGCGATGATGCAGGGTGCCAGCCAGAGACGCCTAACGCTCTCATCTTCACCTGAGCACAGGCACAAAGGTTAAATCAACCAGGAAGTATTGTGACTTACACGGGCTGATCGCACATACCAATAACTACGGTTAAAGGCAGAATGAAACAAATGAATCTGGAATTTCAAGCCATGCTAACTTAATTATTAATGTTGAGATGTAACACTTCAGAGTAGCATCACTTTCGCTAAGACAATGAACACTGATGTGAGACATGTCATATGTTATTCACTGGAATGCTTTCTGAAAAGCAGAGAGAGACAGCGATAGTGCCTCTTAAGCAAACATAAAAATAACAACTAGAAAGATTTGCAACCAAGTGGGCTTAGCTGCAAGAGCATGGGCGTTCAATTCCATGAATTACAGGTTATAATCTCGCTCTTGCTCCGATTTTCTCTCAAACCGAACGTATCACAATGCCACTTTCGATTTCCATGCACATGACACACAGACACGGATCTCATCCAAATGATTTGTTCCATGTTGTCTGGGTTGTCCAATCACTACATTTTCTCATATGCTTAACTTAATGGACGACAAATCACATTGAGCAAAAGCTCAAGAGACCTTTTTTTTCTTAAAATAAGCGACCTGGTTGGATTCAGGTCATTGCGTTCAGCTTCACTTAACCTATTGCCCTGTAAAGCAGACTAGTGATCCAGGACAGTAGTGCTAATGTTGTGAGGTCGCCCAGGCTGGCTGCGATGGGGGTGGCCACGTTGTCTGGATTAATGTGGCACTTTCGGGAGAGAAGTACGACAGCTACCATTATAGAACCTGTACCAAAGAAAAGACAGACAGAGGTTGAGAGACAAAAGGCTCAACGTTAATGCTGGGTTCACATGCGTTACTCTGCATACTTGAGGGGGCAGGAAAACGTTGGTAATGTGTCGCTCTCGTGATGGTAATGCACTGAGGTAAAAATTACAAAACATATTGAAGACTTCAGACATTCCCAGTTTTGTAAAAGTTAAGTCTTAAGGACAGATAAGTACTCAGAAAGTACCCGGCCAAGTGCTTTGAGTACTTTCGTCATAAAATCTTAATTCTTATTAACACATTGACTGCTACGCACAATTTCAAAGGGGCACTCCCATTTGCCAAGCGTTGTATGCATGCATGCATGTTTAATAGGTACCTTTCAGGTGTCTATTTGAACATGAGCATTTTACAGAGGTATGTCGTCCACGCTGCCATCGGTGCATTTGTTGTGTTCTTAGCGATGCCAGTGTATTCCATTTACATTACAATAGCCGTTCATTTCCTAGGGTATACTCGTGGCAGAATCCGGTACATCTGTGACTATGAGTATACTCGTAGTCGGCAGTCAACGTGTTAAACAGTCATATTGTACTTTGTACCCTTCCCTTTCTGCATATACAACCAAGCGTTCATGTTCCTCAGCTTTGTTCCCTCCTAAGTAGTTAACTACTTGACAGAGAACTTCGCACTCAAAAAAGTGCTTGATTGCACACTGGCTGGAAAACATTTACCTTTCTGGCATTTTTGAAATAACCACGTACCGGCAACATGAAGGCATGCATACCCTGCTTTGATCAAGAGTAAACTCTCAGTTACCCACGGGTCATACTCCTGCTGGCAGCGTATTCATTTTAGCACGAGTAACACAATCAAATGCCTCCGAGTCTCCCGGCTGATAGTTTCAACTGGTCGTTCTAGATTGCCTGGTTATGTCAATTTCTGTTGTCCATCTGCTAAATGTATTAACCAGACTGTGATTGACATTTGACAGCGTCAGCAGCTTAGCCATGATGGCTGACTGAGAGGTCTAATGGGGGGGGTGCCCCTGCAATAATTTTTGTTGGGGGGGATTTGTTTTAGGACTCTTTAAATCCTGACCTTCCAACAGCGTGTACAAAGATCCTAAATTCAGCTTCACCAGTAAGAAACGCCATCAAAGCATGTACAAGCTTACATAGAGATATTTCAAAGTTTTGACATCCCCCAAACAATCCTACCACAAGAGACATCAAGGGCAAGTTTGGGTGTTGACTACAGTTTGGCCAATTGTCGACTGCCTCTTACTAATGCCTACTTGCAACACAGTTCCAGTCTAACGACCCACAATGAACCATTCTGCCAAATTATCTCTTGCATACTGCCACGAGTTGAATATCTGGTTGCAGCTATGGTCTCAGCCGTCTTGTACGATCATTACCGTGTCCATGGTTTCCTCTGTACTCTCTTTTTCCTCTTACTGACAATGGGCTCCTGGTAACTGGTAGTGCTACCATACTCCTCGGCCTGGGCCCAATTTCGTGGTGCTGCCTACCACGAGCGAAAAATTAGCACTTACCATAGCAGAAAATTCTGTGCTTTCGGCAAGCGTATTTCACGGGTTAGCGAGAAATTTTGGCTTGTGCGCATGCGTATATCCCTTTAACTGATGATTCTGTGCTTGAAAGGTCAGCGCAGAATTTTTCTGCTAGCACGGTTAGCGCAGAATGGAGATCATAAGTGCGGATTTCTGCAGTAAGCAGCGCCATGAAATTGGGCCCCTGTCCCAAAACAGTCCACTAGACGAGTCCAATCATCGATAGTTGGGGGTGACGTGGGTGGACCTACAATGAACTTCAGCTGGCATTCAACCTTGCCCTGCTGGGTTCCAGTGGTCCAGCACTTACCCAGAATCCCGCTGGCTAGGGAGGCTGTAACTAAACTGCTTGCGCTCAGCAGTAAGATGTGGTAGATGTTAATCTCTCCATCCGGAATGTAGCCCATGATGGCAGCAGCGACAGACGCCAAAAACCCGACCACTAGCGCCTGACACTGTAAGGCACAAAAAAAAAAATCATTGCATTTATTTTATTATGGAAAGTTACCTTGAAAACGCTGACGAGGACAATTTCTGAAATTATTTTGGGCTATTATGGACACATGAAGTTAAGCTTTAGCTCAACTCAATTGCATACAAATTAGTATGTGTTAAAACATGCAAACAAGATTTAGATACTTCTCTAATCGGAAGTGACAAGAGGGTGGTAGTTTTCTGTTCTTAGAAAATCAGTTCAAATACTTTTAAGAATACTTTACTTTTACTTTTGTCACACAAATCATTCCTTGTCAAAAGACCATAAGCAAAAACTACCTACCAAACCTTTGAAATATTGGTTATTTCTATAGTCCAAAGAAGCTGCTTAACACATTAAACAAGCAAAAAGAATACATTTGTACACCGAATTATGGAGACCCAACTGTTCTTCCTTGGATGACATCATGCTTTGGCTCATAAATATGGCATAATATGCTCATAATATTAGCATAAGAATGGAAAGTTGTGGTTTCTTCCCTTAAAGGCTTCCAAGGAGATAGAAATTAACATTGTACCAAAGCTTTCCTACATGTATTCAAGTAAAAAAATCCTCCTTTAAATGCTGAGAAGTTAATTTCAACCAACCGTTTGTTTTTCTGGTGCTATATGGGGGGAGGGGAGGGGACAACGGGATGGGGGGGAGCTCCCCTTCCTGAGACATGTTACCTCATTTTGTTCTTTTTTTTTAAATTTAAAACTCATCAACACTTGCAAAACAAACCAGCACTATCCTTTGGAAGGGGTAAATTCTATTACACATGTAGATAAGCAACAATCAGGATAAATCAGTTCTGGAAAATTCCCATACTGCTCATCCCCTCTGCCACCCCAAGGGAAGGTTATCTCTCCCCTTTGCCTCTGCACGGGACATGCAAAATGTTTTCATTATTTTCCTTTTCAAAGTAGCTGAATGAGCCAACACTTAAGAAATGATATTAACACCTTGCTGGAGGACGTTTAATTAAAAAAAAACCACACAACTGTGAAAAAGAATCCTGATTTTTCCACCTTTTGAACCTCAAAAATAGATGAGACTCCACCCTCTAACAATTTCACTTTGCACTATAAGGATAATTCTGTCTTTAGTGAAATGTGCGTTGATCGAAAGTGTTCTGAGTTGTCAGCAATGAAACAGGTACCTGGGTCAGCGCCAAGTTCCCACCAATCATTTGCCACTGTTCTTTGGTGTCGTCAATACTACCCAGATTGGCCTGTAAAGAGCAATTCAGAAAATGTCGCTCAATAATAAAACCCTTTCCTTATCTTTACTTTGTCTACTGGAGAAAAACAAAATAAATTGTGTCTTCATCATCTCGATTTTTAAAGCTCTTACAATATGAAGTGAACCTGTCACAAAACTGCTTTTTTTCAACAATTTTTCTGCAAGGCTCACCAGTACTAGAAATAGGGAAACAAATGAAGATATTGTCTCCCTTTTGTTTCATATCCACCTGGTCAAAGACACGGATGTCAAAGTAAATTGCATCACTTAACCATAGTGTTTTGCATGAGTCTAAACTCCAATTTATTGATTTTTTGGGGTACTGGAATACATAATGCAGAGTACACATAGATCAATCTTTGTCTTCTCACCGCAGTGGAAAGTCGAGATGCCAGTGTCATTTCTAGATTCCCTTTCAACCCCAGCAGGGCTGGCACCAAAATAAACACTTCTGTCACGTCGATATAGACAGGCCAATGCTGTGGACAAATACATATATATATACATTCAACGACTCCAAGGTGAACAGATGTTTACTTTGTATCGCTGACATGCACATTGGTAATGTCAAACAGCCTGTTACAATGCAGAAAGAGGGAGACAAAAACATCATATTTTTACATTCGTTTGTACCAGACACTGGCTGTCAATAAACAAAAACAACAGCCATAATTTTAGCCATTTACATGTATGAATATTATAAGACCTAATTCGATTTTAAGCAATGTTGGTAAATCAACTGCTCAGGATCACTGCCAAGTTTGTTAATTTTTGTCATTTGCCCGAAATAACAACTGATGGCAGGAACCCTGGTTATCTTAATTATGCTTAGCAAAAGCACGTTCAATGCAAAATGAAAAACTTATCGCTTAAGACTATTGACTAAGGGTTCGCGGGATATTTCTGGTTTGCATCAGGAGACATTTATAAAGTGCTTTATTGTCATTTATTCAAATTATATATTACTTAGTAAATGAAAAGCAATGGGAAATCCTTAATATATGGATGAGTATTGGTGGCTACTTAGATGTTAATGAAGCCAACCCAAATAATATTAATAAAAAATACCAAATACTCTTTTTGTGGAGATAGGAGAAAATTGAGAACTATTTCAAAGCAAATTCAAATTCAAAAATTTGGCATGTTCTTCATAAAATGGACCAAAATGCAACTCTGGACGTCATTTTTCAAAACTTCTAAAGTGTGACTTTGATTTATAAAAATGATTATTTGGGGATAATTTGGCATAATATGTACATTTGGTTGGTTACCACTCAAATGAAGTTGAATTCATTTTAAGTTTTATGTTAAAGTATTTGCACCCGAGGACTCGATTTCAAAACCTCTCTCATCAAGGAGAATTCAGTATATTTTGCAACTGATCTATTTTAAAGCACCTAAGAAATAACTTTAGAAAAATATAAACCATGAAAAAAAGAGCACAAAATTGACAGAAAATGAAAATTGACAGAGAAAGTTTGGCTCTCTTCGTTCTGTTAACGTTTACAATCACTCTCACTTTACCAACATATCTGCCACGTCTTATACCTTTCAACTACCTAAATATCTTTAAGTTCAGCTGCGTCAAAAATGTATAATGAGTACAATATGTTCCTTGCAAACGTCATATTTGACAGAATTTTGATGAAGTTCCAGAACTTTGACAAAAAATGCATAACGTTCGAGAATGCCAAAAACGCTGTCACACGTAGTGCTCGAAAATTCCATGCATGATGTTCGTTTTGCCACTTATTTTGGAGATATTCCTGCTGGAAATTACATTAAAATTAACAACTCTGCGCATTCGATTTTCATCATGAATCGTATTTTATGTCATTCAGTTATTTGAACGTCCTTCAGTATGACAGATTTTATTTTGAGAGACCTTGGTACAAGGAGAAAAATTGCGGAACGTCGCCATTCCGTGGAGGGGCTCATGAATATCAAATGAAAAAGAGGGCACACTATCTGGGTTGATGTCAAAGGTCAAACAGCCAACGATGCACCAAAACGTTTCTTGTGCTTTTTTATGTTCGTTTTCTCAGAATGGCGCAATCTACATTCAGAATCTGCATCTTGGCATGAACAGGAAAAAGCCCCTTTTTGTTTGTTAAAGATGACCTCTGAAAACAAACGACACTGCATTCGAGTTGGAAGCTTCATTTATTTGAACAGATAAAAATCAGAGAAAACATGTTTTCCTTAGAGGTGCTCGTTAAAGTCATTTACCTAAGAAGAAAAATGCAAGGTATACAAACAAGGGAGAATTTCTACCTGAACAATATCAAGCACCAGTCCCGCTCCCACTGTCCCAAACCCAGCGATGATATATGGCAAGAAAACCTGGAGGGCGATGCTGAAAGAGGATTCCTCCCTGTGGTCGACTACGCCCACTTCGTGGTCCCCCGCCTCCTCCTCGGAGTGTCTATGCAGGAGGGGCTCAGTAAAGGAGGTCTCAATCTCAGCATCCTCGTCATCGTCGTGGGCACGGTTGCCGATGGCAATGCTAAGTTCTCCTCCCCCTCCTTGGTCTGTGTCCATTTGGCAGCTGACAGCACCGTTCCACAAATGAGTGCGGTCCATCCCGGCACTTTCGTTGTCCTTGACGGCCTGCACCATCCCAGGGACTTGGCTGGCGTCGCCCGGTGAGGGAAACGTCTCAAGTTCAATTCGGGGAACCATGGTCTCTGAGTCTGTGCCAGTCACCTTGGCCAATGTGCGATGTCTCAAGGCTGTTCCCAGTTGACTACTCCCCTGCTTGGTCACAGCAGACGGTTTGCCAGTGGGCATTTTGTGAAGGGGGACTGCATGCGTGCGAGTGTCGTTTACGCGGGAGGCTTCAGGGAGAAACCAAAGTCTTCATTCACCCAGAGGCATCATAAGCTGTAATGATGAAGAACAAAGCTGAAAAGGGTGAAAAAGGCGGAAACAAGGACTCCAGTTAACAGCTCTTAGTACTGACGACATATCAGAGTGTTTACCACATTGCTTTGGTGGGACAGAAAGACGCTCATTGGTGTAAACATTGCTATCATAATCATGTCAGAATAATGATCTTCATTTCAAAAGAGTGGTTGTTTTCTGTGACCACTGTTTTGAATCAGTGAATATGAGTTCTACCATTACACCTCGTAGCCATCTGCAGGGTAGGCCTGGTCCGTTTGCACTTTAGAATTATTTCTACAACAACCCTCATTTGGTGTGCAATCCTTCAGTCTCAAAAGAGCGTCTGACTTGGTATGTCCGTAGCAGTGTTGTATAATTTTGTTGAAGTGTAACCAACTACGGAGTACACATACTCAATTCCACCTGTTAGCCAGAGATTCTTAGTCGGTACGTTTCATGTGGCAGCATGATTGGCAGTTACTCCATTTTTGTCTGCCTAAAGTAGTGTTTCTTCATAAGATTAACACTTTAAGTTTAGTTTATATGGAGTGCTTGGGGCCCCAAAAGTCTCTTGATCCACTCTTCCATGTATTCAGTACAGTATAGAGTCCCTTTATGTGGCGCACATCGACGTTCACTTGACTTTCCTCATAAAGTGTTGTCAAACCTCTTTCTTGAAAAACTCAAAACTCATGTGGTTATAAAGTGGTACTATTACCTTCATGATACATGGTGCTGAACCTTTGTGAACAATTTCAGTGTCGTGGAATTTTGTTTGAAATCCAAAACTGTCGGCATCCAGAAATTGGGCTTGAAGTGTTCCCTACTTTCAAACAAATCTCAGAAAACCCCACATCAAACATTTACAAAATTATTTTAAGTTGATAAATTCTTGTAAAGCATTACTACTTCCATTCAAATACCCATCCACAAGTTTGTCAGAAAAGTCTTTTCCTATTTTTTGTCACATTTTATAAGAGTTTGTTTCGCACGTTGGAAAAAATAGGAAAATCGAGCCGAAATAAGATTTCATCCAAACTTTCAAGAAGGTAAGTGAAATCAAGACTTATGAATCAGAATATGAGGAGCTTAAGAAGTTTCACTACGCGTGGCCCTGCATTCTGTAGTTACTCCTAAAAATATTGCTCCATTAAGACACAAAAAACGAAAAATAAAAGTGTGCCACGTTAGGGGCCGTCCCACGTTAGGGTACATCAACAATATACGTGTCAACAACAGGTCTTGTTTATGTGAGTAATCCGAATGAAGCCCCAATTCGGCCGGCCTATCATCCATATGGAAGTCCTGGCCTACATGTAAAACTAAGGCCCAGAAACACGGAAATTACAGTAAAACTAAAGTTACAAGTATGTGTCTAGAGGGGGCCACGTCATGTGCCTATCGTGCATTTGGTCGTCTCACAAAAAAGAGTAAATTTTAGTCACAGGCCCTAGGCCTAATCATGGTAAATGGACTAGCGTTAGCGATAATCCTGCTGTATTTCACCATCTTTTCCTACCTCCATGATTTCACTGTGTCGATGTGTCCTCAGTTCTACGTTATGCCATAAGCCGTATCATGCTTATTGCGGATACCACATGTGTGATTTTGTACAATCATGACAATGGTAGAAAGGCATTATGGGAAGGAAAAAGGAGCAAACATTGCCCCCTTTTCCTTCCCACAATGCCTTTATACCATTGTGCAAAATCACTTGCAGTATGTATCAGCAATAACTTGCTTATGCCGATGCTGATTATAAAAAATGGAGAACATTGTACAAACTACATGCAAATCAAAACACAGTCTGACGTGTGTGCGGAGTTAGTAGAGTCCAAGCATCATAAGCATATGGAGGAATAAAACACCTCCATGGTCCAAGCTACTCGGACCATCATCCTCTCATGCTCGGACAAGCGTCTGAAGTGAAGTGTGCAGTGTGGTTTTGCTCCCCTTTTTTATCATGATAGGCCCCCTATATCAAGCCAAACAGCTGTCACAGGTTGACCTACATGTAGCCCTAGCCTCCTAGTGTGGCGCTGGCACGGACTCTCACTCCCGATCCATCCTTAAGGATAAAGGATGGATCGGGAGAGAGAGTCCGTGCCACACTAGTGGGGCTACATCATGTAGCCCCAGACTTGGGGAGGGGTCCGACGTCCGCCCCGCTCCCACCCCAGAGTTATGGGGGTAAGTCTGACCACGGTGACCTAATTTAACTTACCGAAATACTTGTAACAATGTAAGTTTGATCAGCTCGAGACATACGGGATACGATCATAAACCTAGCGATCACATGAAGAACATCATGAAAGTTCCACCGTACATACATGTACTTAGGCCAACCTGCCTGCCACGTACATGCTGTCGTTCGATCAAGCGGCCCAACTCGTGTCTTTTGCCCAACCTCAAACGGGCCGATCGTAAACTGGGAGATGTTACAGGGTAGACTGGTTGCCAATCATCCTACCAGCGGATTTTTCGCTGAAGCCCCCTACAACTAGCCAGTGAATCAAGTATGTGTTCGCATTTCTCAGAACTAGAGTTGGAATGCAAAGAGATGGAAACACTAAAAGTAAAATCGTGTCACAGACGAACCCAAATCGGCCGGGTAAAGTGGATCAAATGTTCTTTTATGGTCGTTTTTACGCGAATTGACTTCAACATCCTCTGGTTAGCGGGACAACGTGAAAATCTGAGAGATTCTTTGAAGCAAAACAAATCATGGAGGAATAAAACACATTTCCTCCATGAACAAATGGACATTCCAGAGATTGGCGGCGCGGCTCTACCTATGGATGCAGACCAGTAAATAGTCCGAAAACTGCGTGCGCGGGCCAAATCACAATTTCTATGCACTCAAATTCTCTACGAAACAGAGCATTTTGTGGCCTATGAACTCGAAGATTTGTAGAAAAGACAGAAATAGGCTGGCAAAGAGAATACCAGCTTGCGTCTGAGTGAGATTTGGCAGAAATCGGTGTCCGAAAACGGCCTATTTTTCCGAAAGTGTAGGCATCGATATTTCAAAACGGCGATGGGCTTCAAGACTGCATTTTAGGGGTGACCTTCCATGGAAAGAAATATCTTCAGAAGTCGTCGGTTAATGAATGGAAATTTGAAAAGAAAATAAAAAATCATAAACTAGGCTTTAATTTGACGTGCGTTTCAAACTCCTGAGAAACTCGTGAGTATTTTTCCTGATTTTGTGATTTTCGGGTATTTATCACTGTTGGCTAGGGCAGTTTACTTTACTGACCAGTAACCCGATAGTCACTGGGTGAGGCTAAAAGCCAGGCACTCCGTGTATGACGTCACTACGCTTGTGGCTCCGTTCAACCGCCCATGTGCGAATACCCAATTGTAACTCATCGTGCACGCGTGACCTCGTCGTGAGCGTGTTGTTCCTTCCTCAATGTTTACAGGTGCAGTCCGAAGTCGGTCCACCATATCTGTGTTAAGTAAATGGGTTTTCATGAAGTGATGTTTTGCGTAGTGACGTCATGCACGGAGTGCATCTAGCTTTAATAGCCTCACCCGCTTCGTCATGCGGCATTCATCATGAAGCGTGCCCTCAATGTCTTTGTATGCATATCAGCTTCGTGACGTCAAGGTGCAAAGCGAGGAAATAACCGCTACGCTAACCCGCTTCCCGAACTGCCCTTCTGTTGTTGTTTTAACGGCGCTTTCAGCAACTCAGGCTATTTGCTCCAATAACTGTTCGTTTATTCATACACTTTATTAATCAGCATCACATTACGGAGTTAGGAAGAAGGTCCAGTCTTAGAGGCAGGAGGAAACTGGAGTACCCGGAGAAAACCTGCGAGAGCGAGTATGGACTGGAAACCAAATGCACTTAAAGCCTGGGCCAAGCCGGGACTCGAACCCGGGCCTCATTGGTGAAATGCGAGGAAAGAACTGCTACGCTAACCCGCTCCCCCAACTGTCCCTCTGGCCGTCTGTGCGCGTCTTTGCGAAAGTTGTACAGGCAATTATAGCTCGTAGTACCACAAGTAGCCAATCAGCGTACCCCGGGGCGGTTCTTCTCCAGCAAGCTTCCGGGGAACACCTTGCTACGCCCTTTACGTTAGCCCGCGAGTACTCAAATGTTCCTCTGTCGTGTTACATGAGTAATATATATTATTCAAAGCTCTGTTGCATGCTTGGTAAGCGATGTCCCGCTATGTATTCTGTTCCATTAACGCCATCAAATCTACAGCAAATCACGAAGATTGCTTACATGCTGTGAATGACGGAAAACGACGCGGGCGAGTTCCCCGTGACTGTCAAGTTGTGAATGAATGTCAAAAGAAATGGCGTAACTACACACGAGGCGAGGGGCCGTCCATGAAGTATACGTCCGCACGGGGGGGGGGGGCTGCCGTTGCGTACACCATTCGTAAGGAGGGGAGGGGGTTCAAGTCAGTGCGTATCGTATGCAAACCGAAAATTTGCCTGTAATGAATCTTCATCATTATCAATACACTTTCTCATCCAAATATATACCATGTATTTCAGCTATATTCACGGAAACCTGACCGTGTTTTAATACATCATTTTTCTAAGGTGCTTTATAAGGTGTTTTATTTTTCCTTGTTTCATTTAAGCATAAGGTGCAAAGTAAATACGTGCATAAGAGGAAAAGGGCACCCAGATTTTTTTCCAATTCAACAACATCTTTTTTTAAGCTGCTAAGTAAATATTTTCCAGGGCCGTTAATAAAGAAATACCTTTTTTCGCAACCTCTCGGACAAAGCACTGAGCATACAGTGCTTATTAATATACGTTGGATAAGGAAAAACACGTTATATAAATTAAAATCTTCCCAACGCAAAAATACATCTTAAAAATAGTTCGCGGTACCTGCTGCTTCACTTGAACGGCCAGCCGACCTCGGCGGTCGAATGGACTAAGACATCTGCACTAGTAAGCAGGAGGTCGTGGGTTTGAGTCCCACCCGAGNTGTATCGTATGCAAACCGAAAATTTGCCTGTAATGAATCTTCATCATCAATACACTTTCTCATCCAAATATATACCATGTATTTCAGCTATATTTACGGAAACCTGACCGTGTTTTAATACATCATTTTTCTAAGGTGCTTTATAAGGTGTTTTATTTTTCCTTGTTTCATTTAAGCATAAGGTGCAAAGTAAATACGTGCATAAGAGGAAAAAGGGCACCCAGATTTTTTTTCCAATACAACAACATCTTTTTTTAAGCTGCTAAGTAAATATTTTCCAGGGCCGTTAATAAAGAAATACCTTTTTTCGCAACCTCTCGGACAAAGCACTGAGCATACAGTGCTTATTAATATACGTTGGATAAGGAAAAACACGTTATATAAAGAAATACCGATATAAAGCAAGGTACCCGGGAAGTCAAAAGATATAAGGAATGCGTATGCGTACATGGGGAAAGGGGTGGAGCCACGGAGAAGTCGGCATTTCGTGCGTACATGTACACAGGTCCTACTTTATGGACGGCCCCTAAAGGAAGAATCGTGGGGGTATGTCCCCCGCTCGACCCGGGCCCCTCTGCTGATTCCCCCGCTCAGACGGGAAAAATCTGGCCTTGGTCAGTTTTTCAACAGCGACCAAACCCACTTTAGGGTTCCTTCAAGAAAAATTGGACCCAAAACGTGTCACCCTGGCATGGACGCGAATCGGTTACTGAGTTAAAGAGGGCACTATTCGATATTATTGTTATTTGCTATTATTTCAAGATGCTCCTGATCAAGATACCTGCAGGAGGTTTTTTTATCCAGCAATTTTATAAACAGCCTTATTGAAAAGGAATACTTATTGAATGTTTGTTATTTCAAACACAATATATTGAATTTATTGCTCGGTGTCCTCCATACCTGCTGCGTAGAGTTTTAATCCCGGTGTGACATCAATTGACCTGCATTTCATAATTCATTATTTTACTAGTATGTCCAATTAAGAAAAAATCAAGTAAATATGCCAAATTCAAAGACTGAGAAAAAGCTGGGCAGTGTGAATGCGACTGGTTCGTTTGGTGGTTTGAAGTCTTTACAGAGCCATTATAAATGCCGTTACATAATTATACATGAACAATACACAAGGTAGCTACACTATAATTATGCAAGTAGGTGTACCATTGTGTACAGCACACATAATTAAACTGTGCGTAGTGGTGTGGACACAAACTTGCACAAAACCGTTCCAATTCAAGCACCAATAACTGCTTACTACATAATCTTTAAACCTCAGGCACTTTCGTTAAATTGCTGCCTTCCTGAAAATATAAAAATCCTGGTGACATAAAATTTTTCATATAGAATGCTGAGATTCTTAGAATTATGTTCTCACTGTAGGTTTTAAAGGAATTACGTGGCAAGAAAATTGATCAACAGAAATGTCAAATTTTAAATGTTCATTTAACTACTTTATATCTACCAATACACATACTTCTTATCTTCATTTCCAGTATCTGACATTTCAACACCGTCATTTCTAAGTTCAGAACATGGAATTCATAATGCAATTAATTTTGCCTTCCTAAACATTTCAAATTTCCTCTAGAAATACTTGATCAAAATTATCGAGTATGGGGATTTGGGAAACTGACAAGTGAAATCCCAAACAACAAATTAATCTGATATGGAAGTAAACCTAAACGAGTGGGATAAATTGTGTTCACTTCACCTGTGTTTAAAATGTCATTAAATACATTTCTATAACTCACAGCTGCCATCGAAAATTTCGAAAATAACAAAGCTACTTAAAATTAATTGTAAAAAAATAAATGACAGATGTTCTTTGAACTTCACAAATTCTTTCAATTCTCTAAAATACATATTTGAGTATATAATGCCTTTTACTTTTATTCAAAGTAAGAGATGGATAATGCCATATTGCCAAGGAATGTTTGTAATAAACCCATGAAAAGACATGATTTCGTCGTGTGATGAGAAGTTGGGTTTAAAAGGAATCTGGTGGGTAACATGCCACATTTCAATCAAAAAATTGAGAATATTACAATAAGTTATTAATAATCCTCAGGACTCACATCCTCAACAAAAATTCGAATATATTTTGACTAATTTGAAAAGCTGTCCATGCACAATAAAATATACGTTACTTTCCAAGTAAAATAAACACAAAGCTAAAATTGAAACTCCTACTAGGTCTATGGTTGGTTTTCAGCCGCAAGTCAGTTTACCTGCCCTTCTTTCTTACAATTTCATCATTTAATCCTCACTGCGCCACTCAGGGTCCTGCTGTTCAGCTACAACGCTCACTCCCTGCAGACAATCCTCAACCGGTTTGTCCACTGTGGAAAAGGACAGAGAAAGGGTGTCAACTACCACAGCATTTACGGTGATGGCAGTTTGGCACTGCATGCTGCGGCCAGGCAATAATCAAGCTTATGTCCATGAGCAAGACGATCCGTCACAATTGACTTTTCTCTGCCCACAAGGAGACGGGAATATCTTTTGAGGGCAGTTTTGGGGCAATACTGATCATGGACCGGACACCTGAGACCAATTTCAGGGCTCGGTTAAGTGAGGAATTCTTCACTTGTGATCAGCAAGATCTGCGCTAGTGCTTACAACCCTGGCTAAGAGAATTCTGACCTGACACAGCAAGCCCAGAATTTATTTATTTTTAAATGCTAGCACTGAAATTTCTTCTGTAGTTCTGTGAAGACTCTCGGCCTGAGGTATAAAGACATTTGGCCATGGCCTATCCAAATGAATACATGCGGTTTCAATGTTGCTGTGTGTTGTAATGGTTGAGTATGAACTGGCTGGGCAGTACAGTGCACACGGATAACTATTTCAGTGAACTTAATTCCAGGCAACAGATATTATGGCAAAGTTAGAATAGAAAAAGTGACCATCCAGTTCACTATTACCAATTAAAGGTGTTGATAGTAAGCCAAAAACAAGCTCAGGAGAAAGTTCACATCTCCTGCATAACAGCAATCACAGCACTGAAGTCCCCCAGATTGTTGGCTCTAAACCATTTATTACTCAATGAGTCTTGGTTCGGCATTGACCGTAACGACAGAAGCAAACTAACCTCAGGAAATCATGGGAATGATCCGCAATACAGTGGACTAATAGTTTTCTTTGCAGCGCAAAATGGGGAAAATAGGTGTCAGGCAAAAATACATAGAACGTCCAATGAGAAGCTGACATGGATGTTGTTTGCAAGACAATTTGACACCACACACTATCTTCCTTCTCAATTCCATCTAATCCAACTGAAGGCGCTTGTCAAGTTCCTAGAGTGGTGTCTTTTTCTTACCCAGGTCAGACGTTATCTTCAGTTGCTGAAACTTCTCTATGGTGTCTTCTACTTCATCTTCCTCATTGTTAAAGAAGCATCCTGTGTAGGCACTGTTCTCCAAGCAATACTCCAGGAACCTACAGAATTGGCATTCCAAGATTTCACGAAAATGTTGGATGAATTCAAGTACGTCTCCTGAAAACAGTTGAAAGCTAAAGTATATGTAACAATCGAATAATGGAATATTTCATGGATTAATCATCAGTATCATACTCTGAATAAATATCAAAAGTTTCTTCAAATTTTCAGTTATTCCATTTGTTAAATATCTGACTGATAATCTACTCTGCATTCCGTTTAAATCTCCCAGTCAATGAGTTAAAGAAGGCAGCTTTTTGTTTCACTTTTTGCGGTATATTCTCAAACAGAGGCAGATCAAGCGTTTACAAAAAAGGGGTGCTTGGTGGCATTTATGAAGGGCGGGGCACGCCCCCAAATAGAGACAAACCTGTACATACAAAAAGTGCATATTTTTGTGATAGTCATTGTCTTCAAAATTACTTGACATGTAACCAGGTGAGACTAAAAGAAAACAAGAAAGATTGGGAAAGGGGACAGGGGTGGCAGGTGTGCACCAGGTGCATCCCCTGGATCGATCCACTACTCACTTATGGTGCAAAGCATGTTTTGATTGTCTCATATCCAAAAATGATGCGTTTCGGGAACTGACGAGCAATTACTCACATGTTCCAGTTGGTATCCTTCCTCAGCATGAAGGGGTTGCCCACCAGGATCAGCAGGGCCTTAGCTCGCGTCACGGCCACATTCAGCCTCTGTTGGGACAGTTAATCCATAAAGTCTGATCAGGAGTAAAATCAATTGAAATTTGGAAATAAACTGAGAGAAATGGTTAATTATTTTTTTTTTAATTCTCGGGTGTCAGACAAGGTCTGCTATATGCAGAAGTCAAATTACTTCAAATGATATCCCCAAAAAACTTATTCAAAATCAGCAGAGACAACTAGGACCTGCTTATCAACAGGTTAGCATTCACAATGCAAATGGACAAGATTATGACCACAAGCTGTCAAGTGAAACACTTCCATGATTTGAATGTGACTCCCTCTTAGTTTTCAGATTTAATCATATGCTTTTCTGATAGTTTTATAGAAAAATCAGTTGTTCTCATACAAAAGGTTCCAAACACACTTCTGGCTTCATGATGCGTGGAATTTCTGTTTGAAATTACACATGCTGGTGCTGTCATTAGTGGGAGAAATACTGCGGTTATACAAACACTTAGACAAATTTTGTTTATTTGATAAAGAATTATAGTTTGTGCTGTATTCATCTTCACTACTGCAATTCTCCTCACTTTGATATCCTGGCTATCAAAATTGTCCTTTTAAGAATTAGCGTGTCATTTTCTGATATTTTTACTTGGTTACCAAGTAAACTTTTCCTCTCTCAGTAGAAACCCTCATGAACAAACCTTTGGGTTTTTGACGAAGCCCAGCTTGTAATCAATGTCCATCTGGATGTGTTCTGGTTTGGTGCTGCGGACGGTGGACACGATGATGACTAGTCTCTCCTGACCCTGGAACTCTTCCACCGAGCCCACCTTGATGTTGGTGATTTTACGCTTCTTAAGTACCTCCTTGATCTTTTGCACCTGTAAATACGCAGATGGAGAAAGATATTGCACGGTAAGATACTGGACATGGCCTAAGGTTGTACAAAATACTGTTTTGTGACAGCACTCAGGAGTATTTTGGAGCAAACCATGAGGCATTTACCAGAACTATGTTTGGGAATTGTTTGAGTGTGTATCTAAAGTTGGCCGTCGTATCTGACTTGAAAAGGGCCGTGTTGGTGGGCAGTGTTCATTTTGTTGGTAACAACGCGACTGCAACGCATGCATTCCATAGTAGTTCATGAACGTGCAAAGTGCAGTTCTCATCAAAGGAGCCTCTGTTGCTAGGGAAACTACACCCTCTCTTGACCCTGTTCAAGGCAGCTACATCTTGCTTCTTTTGAAAGTCCAAAATTTCTGCCAAATGATACTATTCAAAAGTGGATTATAGCCAGACCAGGGTTCTGGAGGTGCTGCTTGCATTGTCAGCCTGTATTCTGACATTAAGGGATAAACAGAGCGTCACCTGGCGACGGTAGGGTGAGATGATGCCTATGTCTGCCTCCTTGACGCGCTTGCCACCTCTTTTTTCCAGCAGGTCCTGAGCGTACTCAATGACAATCTGAATCTCGGCTTTGTTGAAGAAGGATGGGCTCTGTCCCTCTCGTTCGTCTACTCCCTCGACGCCGTGGAAGATAATGGGAAAATCCTAATGAAGAGAAAGGAAACCAGTGATCCTCAGCAACCGAAGACATCTATGTGTTGCCTAGGATTGTAACAGAACCTGTAGCCACTGGCTACATGCTACTCATGTCATGTCAACTTACTGGCCAGCTTTACTCTGGTCCATGTCCTCAGCCTTTTCTTTATTCTGATTAAAACTGATAAAGACAGTTTCAGAAAACTTTAATAATACATGTACAAAATAGTAAAATGCAACAACCTTTTGGGGTAGCTTTTCCCAACCGCAGAGTGACTCCCTAGCGAATTTATCAGCGTGGACTTCTAGCTCATTTGCATAGAACAGCTGATTGGGCAGTTTGAGGATGGCCGGGTGGGAGCGGTAGTTACGCAGCAGCTTGGTCAGCACGCGGCTGTCGTAATGCGGCTCCACCTTCCCGCGTTTGTATACCTGGCACTTTGTCATGAGGCGCTCCAACAGTGACAGCTCTGTAGGGATTTTAGAAGACACGAGACACTTTAAACTCAATGATAAGAGGTAAACAATGTCGTAATCAACATGTCGTGCTTGAGGTACGTGCCCTAAATTGAAGCACCGCCTCAAGAGCAAAGAAGAGACACAATGGTGAGAATTGTTTCATCTGGGCACGTACGTGAAGACAACCATTCAACATAAACTGGTCACGTGTGCATAAAGTGTCTCACATCAAATGTCCATAGACCTGTGCTTGCATGCGGTGATTTCCCATCAACATGATGTCTGCTACGTAAAAGTAGGTACTCATCCCAGCACACAAACTGATATGTGCTGGCACTATATATACATTGTACTATGAATTTGATGCACCAGCCCATTTAAGGTGAAAGAATATGGAAGACAACTTATACATTTAAAACGACACTCCCCACCCCCAAAAAATTCTACATTAGTTGTTCATTCTAAGAATGTTTTGTCAAAAACCCTACCCAGTCCGTGTTCAAGGGCCAGTGGTGACCTGAGGATGGGTCCTAGCTGCTTGGGATCACCGGCCAGAACCACCTGACCTCCTCGGGGGTTGTTTGGGTTCAGGAGGTTGGCCAGGGATATAATGGCTTCTGGCTCCACAGCGTGGCCCGCCTCGTCGATGAAGACGTGGGTGAAGTGGTCGTAGGGGAAGTCCTTTGCAGTGGCCAGCCTGACAAGAATTAGATTACAAGATGTAAATTGTTCAATATTGGGGGGGGTGAGTTAGTGGTATTGGCTTGTATCTAAGAACAGTCACAGAAGTCAAGTGATCACTCGCGATGATGTGCTGCTGCATGTATGACTCATTTGCATCTGAATGCAGTGCAAACCTAAGGTGGCTTTGTGAGGGGAGGATAGTATACAGCATTGAAAGGTGTGTTGCATCTCTTACGTTATTCTGTCACTGTCAAAGGGGGGGGGGTTACCATTGTTTTACGCAGTACACGAAAAGGATGAGGCACATACAAAGCCATGTCAGAATGTTTTGACTGTGGCTGAAAATGACACTGCACCTCTGAAAGCCACTGGCTAGTGGTTGGAACTATACTTCCCACATACTACTGACCAAATAGTCTACTGACCTGTACAGGAAAAGTGGGCATCCAGTGCAAACAGAATCTTTTATTCTTTTTAATTAGACCTTCTTTATTAAGGGTAACCCATCTAGCAGAAACTGATCATTTGGGGCCCTCATTAAAAAGAAAAAGAAATACGTCAAGATTGTAATATAAACATTACCACAACTACACAAATGTACAAAAATACAAATACATCAGAGGAGTCATCCACAGAAAAAGATTCCTCATTCTTAAAAATACCTGAAAAATTACATTAAAAATCCAATAAAAAATCAAACATCGAAAAAAGAAAAAGTTAAAATTGGAGGACAAATAGGTATAGATACAGGGAAAAGATATAAAATATTGAGAGAACATTGAGTGCCTCCCTACCTCCCCCAAGAATTAATATTAACCATCCAAAAATGCAAGTACAAATGAACTGGCAGAGTACAATTTAAAAAAATCTTCAATTAAAAAAAAGGTGTAAAAATTGATGATACAACATTACGAGAAAAAAATCCTGAAGGCTCAGGACAAAAAATAAAAACTACACTTTGACAATATCTGGGAAAATTTTGATGGAGGACGGTTTCTAAACCCCCCCCGATCTGTCACCAACCAACCTTCCAGCTGTACAGAGGGTGGTCACTAGAACACGCTTCTCCATAAGCTCCTCCTTGACTGGGAAGAAATTATCCCCTGTCATCTTGTTGTAGTTGCAGCAGTTTTTTTCCTAATGGAACAACAAATCGGCTGGAGTTGACCTCAAGAGTCCAGACATTTTACGTGCCATTTTGAAAAAGTTTTCCAAAATGCACAATACACACAAAAGCGCAGGGCGCATGACCAATATTTGTGGGAAAAAAGTCTTTGCCACTGTTTATTCCCTTCAGTTTCCTTTGGCATGTAACACTTGAGAATATTTCTAGTCTATGGGATACCAGTCCATTGCAGATTTCTCTTCAGGCATTATGCCATTACCCATTTATACATTTTGGATGGAGAGAGACAAGTAAAGGTGAAATGGCTTGCCCAAGGCCACAACTTATGACCTACCGCTGGAATCGAACCTCTCACCATCTGATTATTAGCCATGAGCCAATCCCACTGGCCCAGCCAGAACTTGCCCTACAGAAATGATCACCCAATGGCTTCTGCCTTCTTGAGGGAATACTTGGGCAGGGAAAGGATAAATTTACTGGTTCTCAGTCTATGTTACTTCACCTCTCTCTCTTGACATGTTCACGCACCTTCAGGGTTTGGTCCACCGTTTTCCAGTCTCTGCTCAGGGCGTTGACCCTGAAGAGTGTTGTCACGATGACTGGGGTACCGGTGCCAGTCAGAAGCCGCTTAGCGATCAGATCAGCTGCGCTGTTGGAAGGGGCGCAGGCCAAAATGCGGCTGCTGGGCAGATTTTTGTAAACCTATGAGATATTCAATGGAGCACACAGAAGCAACTTTAGTGTATTGAAGTTGAATGAGCCATTTTGGTAATTTCAAAAAGCCAAGGTCTTTCGGGAACAAAGTGCATGCGAGTCAGTGTATAGCTCTACGCTGACAGCAAGAGACTATCAATCACACACCTAGCTGTTCCCCGAATAGCCTCATACCGAGCATGCGGTGTTGGAATACTAAACTGGCTCCTCAGAAAAAAAGAAAAAAGAATTAAAATAGATGTTTATGCAAATATGCTATTGTTTATTTTTCACTCTTTGTTGGCAGAAAGTGACATGATTATTTTACTTTAAAAAAACGGGCAAACAACGTTGTGAAAAGTTGAAAAATGATATTTTATTATGAATTAAATGATTCTCAAGAGCCAAACATTTGAGCTTAATAAAACTCAATTCAATAAAAACCACACAAAATCTCTTTAACTTTGCATAAGTGCAGAAACAAACCCTTTTCAGCCGTTTGTTCTGTCAATTACCTGTTGATTACTTTCTACACATGTAATCTCTCTGCACCAAGTTCACAAAGGTCACAGATTCAAGTCTGATCTTTCTCAAGGGTGTATTTTGGGCTTTCTAAGATAAAGTTCTACCTGCTTGATGGCCTCAACAATGGTAACAGTCTTGCCGGTGCCTGGAGGTCCAAACACCAGATATGGAGCTGGGCGAGAGGTTCCTTGTAGAATATGCTGGATGGCCTTGACTTGCTCTGTATTTGAGGCTAGCTTCTGGTCATATAGACTGTGAGCAAACTGACTGTGAATGTAAGACACATAAGACAGTACTTCTGATTCAATTTCTTACAGGTACTAATTGGTCCGTGCTTCCTCAACTGTTGTCAACTTTGCACAAACTGCATATAACATGGACTTGCAGCCATGGCGATGCCAGGCGCCACTAGAAACGTTGTCAAAATATAATTTTCTTTTCAGAAATTTCCGTTATGCTATAAATGAGAATTGAAAATTGCATCTCAACACCCCCATTCACTCACCGTCTAACCTAAGATTAACTTATAACAATCGTAAATCACAAGACTGTCACTGATGTGACAACAGAACATCAAATGTTTTGAAATGTAAATTACGTGACTTTGAATTTTTATCATGGAAAGCTCCATTCTGATAAAGACACTGCCCATTCTGACTGTCAGTTAATTCCGGACCATTTCAAGTGAAAAGGGGATATATTTTGTATATATATACAAATTCACAGGTATGAATAAACCTTGTCAAGTCAAAGATCCTCTTTTTTCAATCAAAATCCACATAAGCTCATGGCCCAGGGGATGCTCGAAGCTTATTTTCCTTAGAGTGCACTGATTAATTAATGGCCTTATCAGCTATAACAAGCACATTTTCAGCAATAAAAAAGGCATCTTGGTCACATGGTGGCTTAATAGGTACTGGCCATAAAGGTTTTTTAAAGTATCCAACTTGTAAAATGAAGCAATCGATGCACGCCAATACCTTTCATTGGTCAGGGAGCAAAGCAGGGGTTTCACTCCAGGGGATTCGGGAAATAGCACGCTCTGGATGTCAGGATGCTTGGGTGCCTCTTCCAAAGCAAAATGCTGCAGGCGGAGGGGAAAGCGATTGAAGGTAAACTCGATGTCGACCTTGATCCCATTGGCATAGCGGTTTAAGAACCTGGAATACAAAGATTTGTTTTAAAAAAGGAAAAATGTAAAACACTACCGAGAATATTACAGCTCCAGACCTACGTACCTACACCTGTAAAATGTGTTTCTTGACATAACCACTTTGCGTCAGAGGACAGATAAAAACGATCTGTCTGTCTGCATGCACAGGCATAGCTGGCAAGTCTTAACATACTAATCCCACGTTTGCTTTGTAAAGACACACATAGTTTGAGAAGTATGCAGGATCAAGCGTTGAACTTGAACTTAGTGGCTGTACATGGCTTGTTGTGGTAGCATATATCGCTCTGTGGGTGCACCTTAAGAGTGTTATAGCAAGACTGTCGTAAGAAATATCGTACAAATACTGTTCAAATGACTTTTTGGCATTTGGCTATACATCAAAAGTTGGCAGCCCTATCTTGCCTTTTTTTTAAATTGAAATTTCCGGCCAAAAATAATGCCATTACCAAGTGATTAAAATGGCATAGAACTTTCCTGCTCAGCAGCACATTGAAAATAACCCCTATGGGCTGACAGCCAGAACTACATGTAATTTGAACATTCATCGGCTATGGCTAGGATTAGTGCACAGGTATGGAAAGTGGCTTCACTTGCTAGCCAGTGGTTACATAGGTGAATATGTTATTTTCAGTTGCAGCCACAACATCTAGACACAGGCTGAGAACAGCCATGGGCGTTGAGTTGTCCTGTAATTATGACATTATATACAGGTCACACATTACAAAACCAATGCACACTCGTAAAGTTGCTGCATACCCATGCAGGAGATCCAGACAAATTGGCCTTCAAGGTGCAAAGCAACCAACAGCGGCAGATCCAGCATTTAAGGAAAAGGGAGCTCCCAGAATTCACAAAATGGGGGCACGCTCAATGGAGCTGAGCATGAATGGAAATGGGCCACATTCTGTTAAGACAATTACCAGTCAATAACAAACAAAGAGGTTGGCAAAAACGAAACCGCATCTCTTTTAATAAAGAAGTGGAGGTGCCACCAACAAATTTGTCTGTCCTCATAAGGGGCAAAACTGAGTCAACGTTAATTTTGAAGAGCCCAACTCACATGGGCAAAATAATGCTGTGAGGTAAGAACACTAACTTGCTCGAGACATTCTACTACCAAAAATCGGAGGTAATATATACTACGAAGTTCATGTCCATGCTGTGGTTTTAATGGTGAAGATGGCGGGGAGGCAGGGTCAAAGGAACAGGATACAGAGGGTGGTGATGATCGAGGACACTGTTTCTACGTGACGTACTCTTTTGAAAAGCCAAGCACCAGCTCCTCCAATTCTACACGGTGGACATAGCCCTTGTAGGTCTTGACCTGCTCGGGGTGTGGATTAGATCTGTCAATCACAAAACGGGCAAAGAGGTGGTCCCCCCTCAGAACTGACGGACGATTCTCAGCAAGCCCTGGAACCTGCAGAGAGTGGGGGAAATGGTGAGGTATGGACACTGGCAGGTGATGAGGGCTATGCTCGGGACAAGGAGTGGAATTGGAGCAAAAACTGAAGGAAGAGATGGAAATGCAAAGATTAAAACCCATCTAAGATGAACCATGATCAATAGGGAGCAATGACACATGTCATCCTCCAATCCCTGCTAAGAGAATGAGTACCTTCTCTCAGTCATGAAAAGCTAAATAGCGTAATTCCTAAAACATTAAGGGACAAGTGGCTACTGCATGTATCATTTAGCTCTCAACGCCGTGGCTGTGGGGTTTGATTCCCGACCATGGCCATTTGTAGGTAGAGTTTATTGATTTCTCCCATACCACAAATTTTTCTCACTCAAATTATCATGCCCAAAAGAGTCTCTGCACACCTTAATTCACCAAATAAGGAGCCCCCCAGTACAAATTAATATGCAGTTGGGGCAAAAACTTTACAAATGCTTGGTAGAAAAACAGTTTTCCTAATTTTTTTGCTGCTCGAAATAATCTTGCCAACTTTTACTTTACAGGGTCAGACAAACTGTGTCTCAAAAATGTCCATAGTGTGTATTTCAATTGAAAATACTCAGAGGCATTTATTATGGTTAAAATTATTAATATTTCTGAAAAATCATTTTGTGAACATTTACTTCTACTCCCTTATTGTCACTTGAAAACACTTCAGGAAGTGGTCCACTGCGGCATGAGATGTGACAAAAATACAGAAAGTGGCACTAAATAATAGGGTCAGAGTATGTAAAATTTGGATTTTTTAGTAAATATAAATCCTATATCTCTGAGTGTTTTTATTTGATGCATACACCATGTACATTAAGTAGAGACCCATCTTGTTTGTCCTCGTGAAAAGAAAAGTTGGTAGGAAAGAGTGAAGTTGTGAAAATCAAGGAAAACTGTTTTTGTTCTGCCAGGTGTATGTAAACTTCTTGCCCCAACTTTAGATCATAGCACATGCAACTGTTTGAAGTAATGCCGATTAACTTCAAGAAAGCAACTCGAAACCACTTTTGTGCAGTTGTCCCAAATGGTACCGCTGCTCACTTTCAGTTTGAGGAAGGTTCCTTCTTGCTTCATGGTGGCACCGTTGATGTCGTAGCGTCGGATGTCCACCTCCATCTGACATTCTTCTATATGCAAGAGGTTCGACAGCTTGCGAGCATAGTTGTCCCAGCACAGAGGTTCTTCGAGGCGTTTGCTAAAAAACAATGAAACCAAATGATTATGAGAATGAATTTCCCTAAGTCACATTTCTGAATTACTTTGTTGTGACTGGCGTCTATGGAAAATGGCTGAAAATGACAGAACGGATGTCTGGAAAGTCTATGATTCAAAGTCATGTTTTCACAATGTTCTTCCTTCATTTGAAGAGACATTTGAGACACTGCAGCAAAACATATGCTTCAATATGCAAAAGATTAACACATTTCAACTTTGGAGACTTCCATGACAATTTCTTCATGACACCAAATTCATATTCACTTTCATAAAACAAACCTTTAGTTCATTACATAACCCTCAAAATGTATCATCATTGAGTCTTCAAAACAATCTTTCTTCTACAATTTTCATGGTACAAGAGAAAATTCATTCCATACTTGATATCTTCCATTTCGTCTTTGGTGTTAATCTGATAACGCAGGTGACTTGGCACAAAGTAGGGCTTCAGGTTTCCCATTTTCAGTACGCTGTTCTTGGTTCTGACAGGGATCAAAGATAAACAGAGAAAAAAACTCAGCTTTTCGTTTACACTGAAATCTGATGTGAGTTGTCACAAGATGATCTGTCTTTGAAATGATTTTTCCTGGTCAGTTGGCGAGAATGTATTACACCGGCCTTGTGCACTCTTTTTTAAAACTTGACGATGGTACTCTTCTACGTTTGACTTTCCCGGCACGGTATTGTTTTATGGTTAAAAATATATGACTTTTTAAAACGAAAAGGGGTTACAGTTGGCACTTCGCTGCTTCCTAAATTTAGACAGAGTCCAGCATCATTAGCTACAATCAACCTTGCATAATTAACAAAGCTGTCCCGTTAACGGCAGTGTCCAAATTACTTAATTGGCTGCTTTTTGCGATGATGCATAGCTCACTGTAGCCACAGCCATTGACTTGTGTGTAATTCCAAGAAGCAGTCATAGGGAAATATGACAAGCTACCACACCCGTAGTGTCTGACTCTAGGACATGTAAATGACGTTTTAGAAATGCGCTGAACTCACTGAGGAGGTGGCACTCCATCAACAATTTCTCCTGTGGCCTGCCTGAGTGACTTCCTTGATGGCCGCTCATAAGGCACTGAAGGGGGTATGTCTGCTGCTATGTCACCTATCACTTCAACCTTCAGGAATCGAAGAATCTGGAAAACCTAGAAGAGAAAAATTAATGTATTTTTAACATTAACAAGCTTGGCATAGTAAGCTCTAGATCAAAGCTTTTTTTCAGGGAGGGGGAAGCTTAGATCAATTTTGAACACTTGAATTCCAAAAATATTGGGACTTTGTATTTTTGTTGTTTCTGGGGGAAAAGGGATAATTTAAGGAACCGTCAAAAAAAAAAAGTTATGTTGCTAGAAATTCTGACCAAATTGAAAAAATTTAATTCAAACAAAATATAATAAAAAGATTTCAGAAAAAAATGGAGATGCCAGAAATTAATGATGAAAGGGATAATTTAAGCACTTTGAAGATGGTTTTAGGCAGAAAGGAATGTGTTTTACTGTGTTTTCGTTGCTAGGTTTGAAGGCCATCAAAAGTGGGCTTTGCAGCACGCCGAGGCAATCAGATTTGACCAGAACTTGAACGTAGCATTTCTGTCCTGTGGATTACAAAAGAAATCAATGTAATTCCAAAGAGCAAATGTTCCTTTAACGTCATTAGAAAATATTTCTGCGGTGCAAAAAAAGTTGGGCACTGCAATTCAGAGTTGGATGTGCTTCAACACTATCAAGCAGACCGTTTGTGGCTCGTGCGTTATTATGTTTTTTAAACCCCAATCTTAACAGTGCATAACACTGGTTTTGCATCAAGTTCCTACTCACCAGGTTGTAGAATTCCATTGTCTGGGAGATCTGTCAAGGTGATCCCAGGCTGGGCTTTCAGCAGCAAACAGGCCAGGAAACTATTCTGTGCTGAATCACTTTTCAAAGGGAAGGAAAGGGTTTTGTTTGTAACATCAAATGGGAGCACTATCATGCATATTGTCTGGGGCAGAAAATTTCGAATTCTGTGCTGTCACAGATCACCTACATTTGGAACCAAATGAATCGAGTGGTATGTCAGAGTGGATCTGGCAGAGTTAAAGTCATGAATTTTGATGATATAAGCCTGGCCCAGGTCATCATAATGCACACACACATATCATGGGGGATGAGCGTAAGAAGACGCACAGTTTGTGTATGGACTCATATTGCGGGGTAATTTTTCATGTCATGCAGGATGACCTCTGTCATGTTTTTCCAAGCAAGCATTTTACATATAAGAGTTTCTCTTAAAAGCCTGCCTTAGCCCCCCCCCCAAAAAAACCCAGTTATACTTCCTTCTTCCCCAACCTACCCTATTTTGAAGGCAAGATGCAAATTTTTGGGGAGAAAATTATGGGATAACGTAAAACTGGAAATAAATGTGTCCATTGTAGTTTGAAAGTGGTACAAAAAAGTTCATTGGTCTTATTAATTTTTTTTAACGTGTTGTTCATTTCAAACAAATTCCACCTGACCTCTCTTGTAATTGCTATTTTAACCAGTCCACGGTTAGCTGCACAATACATCAGTATAAAAAAGTGCCAAAAGTTTTTCTCCAACCAACCAACGCTGTTTTGACATGCAATGCGATAGGAAGCAGAACTATCATGTGACCTAATGGAGCATTTAACAGCTATCGAGGTGGATCCTCACTGACATACCTGGTGTTGGTAACCGTGAGAACAAACGTCTGTGTGGAGTTGATATCCATGCTGAATGCGATTGTCCCATTGTCATCGTCGTAGTCACTGGTCACTCGGATGCCATTGCGACTGCTTATCATTATATCCCTGACATTTATTAACAAATAACTGTCACTCTCATTTAAAAATGCATGTACATCAATATGACAAAGAGCATATGATGGAGAAAGAAGGAAGCTAGGATTAAAACTTGCACAGGTTCTTTTCCCTTGGAAAATCTGATAAAAATTTCGGAGTCAATTCACAGATGTACAAAACTGTGCAAACTGTATGACGTATCAAATTAATACATTTCTCTATTGTCGTGCCACATAATTAATAACATGTACCAGTCTATCTACCAAATGAAGTTACTTGGCTTCAATCTCAACTGAAAACAGAGTTCCTTTGAAAATACAGTTAAGACCATAAACTTGGCTTTGGAAATACTGAGGATCATGGCCCAATTTCAAGGCACTGTTAAAAATTTGTCTACACACAGAGGCTCTATGTATTTCATGAAGATCACAAGCAATAAGCATGGCAAAAGGCACGCTAATCTCAGAGGAGAATCGTGCTTGATGTAGCAATTACACAAATCTCTGTTTGTGCACAACCGTAAGCATAACCATGCCGAGCACTGCCATGAAATGGCGCTTACGGTAGGCAAAATTTCCTGCTATAGTGAGCATGACTTTTCTGCTAACTGTTAACCAGTGCCATAAAATTGGGCTCTTGCCTTTACCTCACGCAAGAATTTTGCCTGGAACTAAGAAGTGAGAAAAGTTGATTTTGTTTTACATGTTAATGCTCTAGCACTCTGCATAGTTTGTCACATTCCAGAGGCGCCACACCCAATAAATGTTTAAAAGATAGTTCCAGGTTCTCATGTATTACCTCTGGTTCTTCAAATACTTGAAACTCATTTGCTGAAGGTGTTTCTTTCCCATCAGGTGGCCTCGGAATGACAACAAAGAATTGCCCTTCACGTCACAGTCAGCACAGTAAAATGGGTGACGGGATGCAGCCGCCTTATTGGCTGTATCCAGTTCGTGCAATTTCAGTGTTGAATACTGGTCCCTGGCAAGGAAGCCGGGCGTGATGTGAACTTGGTCACTCTTGAACTTCAACATGCCGTTCATCCGTAGAGTAAAAAGGATGGAAGAAAAATTGACTCCTGAGACAGACAACAGAAAGCATGAAATCAGTTAATTTCATTTTCACAGCCATTATATGGCTACAGCCATTAGGCCAAACAAAAAATAGTTGTGTTTCCTATTACACTGAGAAATAAATTAGGGTGGTTAGTTGGGTAAAATGTTTTTACTGTAAATTTTGATGGTCTGTTTTTTTTTATGGGGGGGGCATATATTTGTAACAGGTTTTAAGTCAATGTCAGATTAATACTCTACATGTGCATATCAATATTACATATCAGCACTGTGATTGAGTAGTAAAGCAGCTGGTTGTTGAAATACAAACACACAAGAGCTGTCCATCTCATGCAAAAAAAAATTAAAACAATACAATGTACGGGTTGATGTACACAAAATTAGGCTTGGGGCAAGGCACCGTAAGTTTTTATCTGTTATTGATTTGTCGAATAAAAAGATATAGGTTCCACATGATTTTCTAGGTTGGGTTGGGTAACTGGAAACACAGCTATTTTTTGTTTGGCCTGAGCCACGTAGGCAAGTTGGTAAAGATTTCCACATAAGGACAATACTTGAGAACCTGTGTATAAACCTAGGACTTGTACGTCTCAAAAAAAGTGTTTCTAAATAAATGCTTCAGAATTTTCTGAGGTAAATTTCACTTTTTAGAAAAATTTCACTTTTTAGAACATGTTATCACTTTCTGATGGCTGTTATAACAGTTTAAGGGAAAATTATTGTTGTCCGTACATGGAACTCTTTCCGGCAAGTCTTTTAAATGCAGGCTATAATCAAATTTCAAATAGAGTCTCGTGCGTTTCAGTATCTGCCCTGAGTTGAAGTGTGCCCTCAAAGGCAAAGGAGAGACAGGCTGATGGCAAGTTTTTCAAATGGGCTGGTGCAGTGCAGGTGCGCACAGCACACACCCAGAGTCTGTACACTGTATTCCAACATAAATTGGTCGAGCATGGTAAACACATCCCATGCCAAATGTGTGCATACACCTGCATGTTTGCTAGGTGAGTTCCCACAAAGGGACCGTCATTTCCACATAAAAACATGACCTGTCTTGTTACCAGTTGGAGCAGATTATAGAGTGTTACTGCACCAAGGCAACACCTACTGTAGCTAGCTTCCACAAACAGCTTTCCTGTGCAGCCCTCCGTGACAACCTTCATTACCCTTGCACAGCACAGACAGCATCCGCCAGACTGAAACACACGACTGTTTCAAATTCCATGCACATAGACTAACAAAAGGATTATGCATTCCGTTACTCAAATCAATGCATTCCTGGGCCTTTCATGTGCCACAGAGCAGCTGTGGAGCAGGGAGAAAGGACTGATAAAACAAATAAAAGCACATGTCACATACACACACCCACACACACCTGTTTTGCATACAAAGTGTGGACATTCCTTTGTTCTCCCATGGTTAAGGAAACTTGAGGAAAACGCTTCTTTTTGTCCAACTATGATAACTCCTTCAAGCTGGATTTTTGACGATTTCCCGGACAGTTCCTAGATTCGTTTTGCCAAGGCTAACCCCAACCCCAAAATGCTTCTGACGATTCAGAGAAGGGGTAGGCATTCACCGCATTAAGGGGACAATTTCTTTTATTAGGCAAAGTTGAATCGCATGGTGGGGACATTTCTGTGTCCCAGTAACATTTTGGTCCCCATAAAATAGGTGAAATATGTCCCCACATCTACAGAAAAAGACTCCAAATCATTTACGTAGATTTCTTTTTGTGCGTAACTCCACACTATGTCATGTACACCACGCTTGGGCACACAAACACAAAAATGAGTCAAATCCAACACTAATTAGAAACAAAATAAAACAATGCAAAAGTGAAGACCATGTAAAGGTATACACCTTTGCAAGCAGCTCCATGAGATTGCTTGTAGTTATTTGCGTAGATCTCTGATAGCTCTCTTCTCCCAAAACAGATACTCTGATTGGTTTCGTTGAGGTATTTCAGGAAAGCCTTCCCCACGAGAAGTTTCTGAGCAGGCGTTTTCTTTCCCATTGTGACAAAAACAAGGTTCTTGATCTGCAAGCAGGGATAAAATTTGTTTTGGTAAATAAACAACAACAAAAAAATTTCTCTATCCTGTCAGTGGCACTGTAGTGCCAACTCTAGTGGCTTTTTACTGTTGGTTGAAGCATTATTGACAAATATGTGTACGTGTAAGCATGTTGTTAAGGATAAAGCCCAGACAGTTTTAGCAGGAACATAATTAGCCCTACTCGTGTGGCACGGACTCTCACTCCCGCTCCATCCTTAGGATGGGGCGGGAGTAAGAGTCCGTGCCACACTCGTGGGGCTAGAACATGATGCGCATCACGGTCAGAATCTGTTTCTTTGCAACAATGTATAGTAGCAAGTACGTGATGGTCAAATATCTCCCATTTCCAAAGGATATAATATACTTACTTTGCCGTGAGTATAGGCCCCAAACTGAAAGGAATATTTACGCTCCTCGAGCCTGCAGCCCGTTCCGCCAACTTTGCAGGCTACACGTCACAGCGACGGTATTTCTCATCAGATTTCTCAATAATACAAATTGCCAGAAGGGTACCAATAGACGAGTCCTTATGTATAGCACGGGTAAACGTCTAGGTATCTACATCTTGCAGGTATTAGGGAAATCCCCGACTTTGGCCGCCGCGGCTCGCGCCGGCGATAGTGGTTGCAGTCGCTAACCAGTGACTTCCCGGGGGTCACGTGAGTTAATTTAGTCTGGGAAATCGTCATCCTCAGCTCACAAGTTTTGTCGATGTGGTGACAAATTTTGTCGATGTGGTGTTAAAACCCACATGATGAAGTCGCTTGGAAGTTTCCACCTTAAATTTGTTCACATTATAATGTATCTCGGTCAGTGTAAACGTTGACATCGAAAGGAATGACGCAGGTAATTTGCCAGTGAAGACCGGCGCAATCAATAAGGCTCACAGATGTTTCAGCTTGATGTCAACCTTTGGTATTTCACTGCTTCATGATAGCATGTTAAACCTACTTAGACTGTTCATGTTCACCCTTTCAAAGCTCAAAGCGGGTATATCCTATGGATGTGATCAGGTCCCAGCCTAAGAACAGCGTAATTATAAACCAACTAACATCCGCATAAACTGGTGCTTGAACTTTACTAGGCTGGGAACTGTTCCTATCCACAGGGAAGACACTGTTTTGCCCATTTAGAAGCCGAAATGGGGTCTTTTGGCTACCTTCTTGTGTTGAAAAACTCAGGCCAATGTCTCTCATAACCAAATGGATGCTGACGGATATTGGTTTTAAGATTGACTTCGCCCCAATTTGGCTATAATTAAGGGGTGCTGGGTCTTTTGGCTACTGTTCAATCTATTTCTGGTGCCAAGTGGAACAAAAAACTCGAGACTGTGGTCCTCATGAATTTCTCTGAGGATGGATGCAGGATTTTTTGCTGAGGAGATGGCAAAGGAAATTTTGTTGGGGGGGGAGTTAATGATTATATGTTGTTGTCAAGGATGGTAAAGCCATTTAATATCTATGTTTAGCCCTGAACCGTACGCTCTAAAACAAGAACCATACTTGCATGGAGTCTTCTTCTTTGAGGTGTAGGCCTATAGCCCCACAAAAGGCAATGGGGTACGGACGGGGAACGTCAAACCATGGGGGTTGGGTGGGTGCTTATATCCACTTTTTTGGGGGGGGGATTGACCCCCCCACACACATACCTGTTTTACATACAAAGTGTGGACATTCCTTTGTTCTGTGGTTAAGGAAACTTGTTCATTTATGTGTGCAGTACAGCATGCAGCTATATGTGTGCTAATGATCCACATGGCACTGACGCATAATCCACCAGTAAGGTTCCAACAACTGAGACACTCATATCGCAACATGCACTTAAGTGCAGTCGCAATAGCTATCTCTGCATCTGACTCATCGAAGAACGCCCCCTAGTATAATATGGCATCCCCCATTCAAATTTCCATGTGAGCCATTGCTTTAATTAACGTCGTCACTGGCGGCGGAAGCAGGGAGAAGGGGTCACAGCCCCTCACTTGTCGACTAAACTTGAAGGGCCTGGTAACAACTGCCCTTCCCCCTTCGAAAACCATTCCGCCGCCGGGGCACGTCATCCCCCATTCTATATCCCTTAGTCCCCACCGCAAAATATTTCATCCCGACCGGCCATTTTAGGTCATTAAAGGTATAACTTTCATGGGCCCAATAATCAAATAAAATGTTATATAGGATTTTTAATTTTAGGAATGGAGGAGTTTTACAAGAAAATATAGGTTTAGACTACCGTGAGTGTACCCGTTAAGGAGGGGGTGGTTTCTACGTAATATTCTCTATATGCATACATGAGTCACGTTCCAACAAATAGGTTTGCTGCTCAAACTTGATTTTCTCCGATTTTTAAACACCTCGTGATCTTCACCACTCCGGGGGATAACCTATAGTACCCACTGAAGAACAGTGTCACTGTCATTGTCAACGTTACATCAGTCATCGAAACTCGTTGCAGTTCTGATCCAGCCTTCCTGTGAGTGTAGTAGCAGCCTAGCTTACGGTGGTTTTACATTGAATGGTTGCCCAGTTTTAACTTCAAGTAAAGACTAGGCTGGATCCCCGTACCATTACCATTGCGAACGCGTTTTCAGTACGCCAAGAACCAATGAAAAGCCCACACCACTGGTGCTGCCGTGGAACTACAGAATACACAGTAAAAACGCTGGACAATTTTTCGCCCAATGTTGGGTACCAGGTGAATCGCCTAATTGTTGGGCAAATACCCAACCGCGTTAATTCTCTCCTAATATATGCGCAAATTTGTCTCATTTTACCAAACAGTGGTTAAAAAAAATGTTATTTGTACTACTTTTTTACACAGTGGTTTTTTTTAGCCCAACAGTTAAGTGATTCACCTGGTACTCAATGTTGGGCAAAAATTGCCCAGCCTTTTTACAGTGCATGCGGGAAATTCTTTGCGAACGGTACTGAGCTTACTCGGTTAGCGGGGGATGTTTGTCTGCGGGCTGTTGATTGTACATATGAAATTCAGGTTGCAATTTGAGCACTGATTGGCTAAAACCGTGACTAATGACCCACACGTGACTTGGGGAAACGACTGCGGCCGCTGAGCAGTGGCTTTCATAAGCAGTTGTATACGATGTTTGCGGGCTGTTCCACACGACAGTGAGTACCGACACGAAACTTATACCTGGTTGTCACATCTGTTCAACCTCTTCGCCATGAAGCCGATGCTCCTGGTAATGCTAGCAGGTTTTGTTGTGGTGGTCGCAAATGATAGGATGAGACGTAATGAATTCGCTGCTACGTCAAGTGTTCAAGGGGTGAGTATATCGAAATCACAAATGGACGAATTCCAACAACAGGCACAAAATTTATTGATTTTAGTGTTTCCGACAGCAAACTTTCAAAGCTTTCTGCCAGTAGCACCCCTTAGGTTTTCCTTTTCAAACTATTTAGAAGACCATACGACAAAACATATCCCTACATTTTAAACTATACGGGCCCTCGATATAGCCGTAAATACCAGTCCCCTGAGGTGCAACCGGGGAACCTTAAAACTCTGCGATGCGTTTCAATGTTTTTTACCTTAGACTCCTGGGACTGCTCGGCAGCCTCGGCATCATTTCTTGCGGCTTCAGAGCCCATATTCCTTTCAAAGGGCATTTAAATACTTGAGTGGGTTGTCCTCTGAGCTTCTACAGCCAGTAAAACCCGCACAAAGTAGATCACGGTACCGCCAGGGGCCTTGTTTCCCAGGCTATCTGGATTTGCGGGGGGGGGTGTCTATTGGGGTGAGGCTAATTTCGATCCGAGTCCCCTCCGAAACCACAAGTCCTGGATGCACCTTGGATTTCTCTGCTCACGATCTATGAACGACGCCCAACAGATATGAATTAGGCCCTTATGCAGCCGAGTCATGGGAATGGAGTTATGGTTCGTGAACTATACGGTAAATAATTAACTTTCCTAAGATTCAAAAACACGGGTGCAATGTAACGAAATCTCCAGCAGACAAGGAGAAACAGGCCAGAAAAATAGACGAGCGTCCAACGTAAGGCTTTATTTCTTATTTCCATTTGAAGAGTAAAAAGGTTAAAGTTTTAGTATAAGGTACCTTTCTTTCTTCTCTGAACTCGAGCAGGCAGTGACAAGCATTCACGATGCCTGTTGTTGTAGTCTATTATGTTTATGCCAAGCAAAATTGTGACTACAATGTTACATGTAATCTGCGGCAGGTGCTGTGTAGTGATTTAAGAACTATCAGAAACCACATTTTGTGTCATGAAAGATTAAGAAAAACCCCGTCTCCGTAACGTTTTGGGGGTTGCACCTCCCACCCTGTTACTACGCAGGGAAGAGGTTGACTACTGAGGAGGAAAAAATTATTTAAATCTTTAACATAATTTCTGAACACTAATCCCTAAAAAACCTCAAGTTTGACAATAATTCCTGAGTTGTTAATTTAGTAAGGTAGGCATTCATTTACTTCGTTTACTTTATAACTAAGTCTCAAAATGCAGATATATTTCAGATCAATAAATATCTAATCTCAGTAAGTGACTAAAAAAAATTCCTGAACAACTTCTGTCTCAAATAATTTAGTTACCAAGAAAATGAGTTATTTAGTTTTGTAGGTTTTTGGATTACTATAGGCCTGTAAGAAAACTCCAAAATACGTACGATTTCAAAAAATCTCAGACAAGCACTTTAACCTATTCGCCTAAATATCTAATCTGCTCAGTGACTACAATTCTAAATATCAAAATATACATAAGTTTTTAAACGATTCAAGTTTCAAATACTTTATTACCTGGGAATTTTTGAAGAATTTGTGTGCACCCCATCGTATTTGCTTACATTGACGGTCACTTGAAGTTGAAAGCTACATGTGTGCCAGCCGCATTCGTTGAGCATCACAATGCAAAGAGAATGTATTTGTTACTAACGTAACATTTGAAAAAATATGCGCGTGGGTTGAACGGTGTATCTCATAAAATTGGTGTCAAAATGACGATAAAGAGATAATTCTAAACTCCTTAAATGTTTGATCTCTTGTAAATAATGCGCTGCTATGATATCAGAAAGTGTAACACTGAGTAGGGGCTCAGACCTAATTATTAAAACCGCCCATAGCTATTTTCGGGTGAACTTACCACGACTTCATTCGTTGCTAAAATGTATGATTAAAACGAGGTGTTGTGAGGAATCTGAATTGCCATTGTTCGTCTTATAAATGACCTGCTGGCGTAGTTATTTATGTAGACAGAAAATTGTATACCAAGAGACGTTTTCCTTGTTGAGTTGTTTAATTGTTTGAAAGAGACCAATAATTTGCAGTTGGCGATTTAAGGTACCAAAATTGTTTACAAGCCTCTCAACGCTCATAGCGGATAATGGGCGAAGGCAATCTGTGTGGAGAGCAGTGCCGAAAACCAATCCTTAAATTAATTGTGGATGTGTAACATATTCCCGAGTTTCCGCTTCTGTTGAAGCCACGGCTTTGTATTGTACACTGGGAGAGTTGGGGAAGATCGCCTGCGGCATTGTGCTAAAAGGGTGAGAAAAATGTGATTGTATGGGGGCGTAGGTATCATGTATTACTCACTGTGAGGTTTAACAAACCTGAAAAGAAAATTTGGCTAGGGTTAGGGTTAGGGCTGGGGTTGGCTAGGGTTAGGGTTGGGGATGGCTAAAGTACTGTACCAATTGAAGAGATGTTTTTCTGTTTTTATTTTCCAATCTCAAATTTATAAACATTGACAATTTTTTGTATTCTCCAGAATAAGCCGTGTCATTTTCGTAAGTTCACTCCACCATACAAGCCTAAACAGTACACAGAAAAGGTGGGATTAACGTTTCAACGATAATTATTGCAGTCGCCCACAATTGTCATCACACAGTCTTATCACGCGTAGGCCTATACTGCTCATTCCCGGGCAACGCCTTGTCATCTCGTGTTCGTTACTGGCCTTGGCGGACCGTGGGGACGATGCAAAGGAACAGCCGCAAATGCGTTTTATTGATTGGGAGTGGCTTTTTGTATGCGTAGTTCTATGACATGTTTGTCAGCTATTTTATGTAAAACGTCACCTTTTGTATTTTCAAATTCGTCCCGTCGAATCGATTGAGTGCACATGCACTTATTTCTCGTCATTGTCAAGCAATTTCAGATGTTGTAAAATCAAATGCAAAACATGAGCAAACATCTTGACTATTCGATTTTTGTTCGTCTACGCCCAACTGTGTTATTCGAAAAAATTCTTTTGCAACACAATTCAAAGATATGTTTTATTATTCTATTTCAGTTTGCAAAAATTTATGTAAGACAAATTTAATATCTGAGTGTTGTCATTGTAGTCAATACCGAAGACAAATTTTATTCCTTAATATTTTCCACGCGGTGTTTAGTTGCAGCCAGGTGCTTTGATATGAAAGGCAGTTTTTCCAATAGCACACAAATATCGTTCTGGACGACTTTGAATATAAGAAATTGTGAATAGGAAAAATGTCTTAAAATGCATGGAAACTCTATAATAATAGTAACAATAATTTTATTAGGCATAGGCCTAAATGTCAGAGATACATTTATACATACAAGTAAAATAAATAACATTAAAATAAAAAATACAAAAATTGTACCATAAGTAAATTTCTTTTAAAAGAATGTGCTAATTTCGCGTTAGATGTTGGTGATATTTATATTTTATTCCAAAAATTATTTAAATCTCTGTTCATTATATCGGTTGGCATTTCAAGCATTTGGTAACTTCATTTTATTTGCTACCCATTAAATTCCTGAGGTATAAAGACACTGTGGTGAAATGTCTTGGTCAATGAATAGTACCACGGTCCCTTTATGGTTTCAGAATCAATGTTTTTTCATTAATAAACTGTGAATTATAATTCACCTGGTTTTCTATGACAGAAGGGGAAATCTTTGCAGATTTCAACTTAACGTCTAACCTGATACACATTTACAGTATACTGTAAACTTTGCTTTGCATTTAATACAATTTATGTTACGATAATATCCAAATTTTGACATTTTTATCGAAAAGTACACCACTAGAAATACATCAAACAGCCTTAATAAATATTAACCCAGTTGATGAAAACTCAGCAAAACAACAATTTTTTATTAACCTCACTTTTAATTCTTTTTTATTCATTTCTCTTGTTTCTGAAATCTAAGTATTGCTAACGTCAACGCAAACGAAATTAAAATATTATCAATATCTTTCCATCCCCTATTTAAATAAACTATTTATTCGTGGAAGACTTCATTTTTTTGACCGTTATAGGTGCTGGAGGGTACGTACAGCGAAAGTGTTGTGGAATCCCAGGCCAGAGAAGACACACGGGCTGCTCGGATGGAAGCTGCACCGTCTCCCAACTCCGTCGAGGGGGACATGATTATGACCCTTGAGCAAGAGGAGGAGTACATGGTTGTGCAAGAGGCCACGGCAGAGAACAAGACGCGTATACGACGCAGTGGAGCCACCGCCTTTAAAGGTTGGCCCAACGGTACTCTGGTGTACACGTACGCGGCTGATGTCAGTAAGTTGGAAACATCTCTCCCAAGGGGAGACTTTTGAAAGGAAATGAAACAAGATGCAATGATACGAAATGGCTAAAACCTGCAATGGGTGACCTCTGACATACTTGATGGCCGCGCACTTACCAGTTCAACGTGATTGACCTGTTCGTAATTGTTGAGTCACTTTGAGCCTGCGCACATTAGCTCAAAATCGGCGCATACTGTGGCGGACCATTAATGTTCAGGGTGCACCACAACAAATAAATTCCCATGACAGCAATGATAAATCCCCATACTTCATAAGTATTTAAAAAATACTCACAACTCTCACAGGTGTCCAGGCTGCACACACACACAAAAATGATGATCGACATGTCCCCTTTCATTTTCCTTTCAGTTTTCGGGGAATTGACCAATGCATGTTTGAGAAATTTTCAACAGAAGCAAAATTAAGAAAATATCCCTGCCCAGAAAAGTAGCCATTTTGAACCCCCCCTGCAAAACGGCCAATTGGTGCCACTTTCGGACCCAATTGCACCCAAATTGCTCAGAATTGGAAGCCCAAAGTCCAGGCCAGAGTTTCAGTGCCATATGTCTCCAATTCCTCAATTTCACAGCTCTCTGGACTCTCTAATATAGAATATTTTGAGTCTATATCTTTTATTAATGAACTCGGCGGACATCTTTTGGACCTTTTTGCGTGCCGGGTGCACCCTTCAGTGAACCGGTCTGTTCGCCGCTACGAAACGTCCCAAAATGCTCCCATAATTTTCGTTTCGTGTTCTGTTCCGCTCCTGCCTCACTCCAACTTAGTTATATTTTTTTTACAACTATTGCGAGATGTATGTATATCTTTATTACTCTCACCAGGTTCACACACAAAGCTCTTATTCGAGAAAGCTATCAAGAAATACAAGGAGAAGACAGGCATACAATTTGTGGAAGCACATGATGGATCATACGTGGGTACGATCCAGCCATTAACGGTCCGACAAAGAGGAGCTGGGTAAAAATGATCATCGACAAGAAACCAGTTTTCAGTATTAACATTTGAATGAAACCAAATGCATGTATGTCTAAAAGTGATCCCCCTTCATGTTTTTACTTATAATGACGATGAGCTGTGTTGAAGCTCTTAGCTGCTACATCCAGGGCGGTTGGTAATCGCTCTCCAATAACTTTAATTATATCGACAAAGCATCTCAGAAAAACGTTGTTTTCGGGACGCTCGTAGGATCAGATTGAACTGTCTTTTGTGTACTTTGCGCCTTTCCGTAGATGCTACGCAACACTTGGCTGCGTCGGTGTGAACTGTGGTGGTTTCATCAACCTTCAAAAATATGCATGCGAAGTGGTATGAAGGCATCGTTTACGTTTTCCTTTTTTATATACAGGTAGTTCCATCCCTGTATGATTTTGTAAGCTTGTTTGGCGTGTGATGATATAAAAATGTCACCAAGGCCTGTTCCGACGAAATTATCGGTGCCACAACAGTGGACGATGGGAAAGCCTTTGAACGAAGGATCTCCCCGGTATAAAAAAAAATCCACCCCTTTATATTTTTTGTCTTCATTTTTAAAAGCTACAGTCTCTTAAAGCGTGTGGAAAGATCAAGCCCAAGTTGGAGTGTATTGGATTTCTTCGATGAAGAAATTTTAACAGCTGGTGTATAAAACAGCGTACTTACGAAAATTCTAAAATGCCTTTTTAACCTAATACAGTTTGTCTAAAAAAGGGAATTAGGAGTAAATCTGACATTTTGTAATAAAGACAAAATTGGGTGTCATGACATTTTATATCCCAAATGTAGATCGGGGTTATGCTTCATGAGATCGGACATGCCCTCGGCCGATTCCATGAGCACACGAGAAGTGACCGAGATAACCACATCTTTGTGATACGGAGCAACATTCGTCCTGGCTTTGAAAAAAATTTTGAGAAGCGACAATGGCCCATCGTAGCGCCTTACGACAGCCATTCCGTCATGCATTACGCTGCATTGGTAAGTGAAATTACCATTTTCCCATGTCGCGGTGGTCGGGGTTTGAATTAAGCTTGGCATTCCGACTCGAGACCTTGGGCAAATCACTTTATGAGCCCCAAACTGCACCTAGAGAGGGCACAATTTTCCTAGCAATGACTGCTCCTTTGGTCGGAACTGCACTTCACGACTATTATGAAATGCCCTCGTTACGGGCACGTCGCTACCAGCAAAATGAACACTACCAACCAACATAGCTCATTTCAACCGATGAGGGGGTGCTTCTGCTCAAGGTGGATATGGTACCTTGCCTCTCTCGAGTCAGGAGCTATGAGTGGGTACCTCAGTGGACAGGGAGGGTAATTGTGGGATATATCCTTGCATCTGAAATAGCCGCATTAATTTTTATGTTCCCAACAACTTTATGGGATATAAAGGCTCTTTTATACACACGTGCGGTACCGTAAGGCAGTAAGAGAAAGTGGTAATTTTGTGCGATATTTCATGCTCACACAAGTAGCAGCCAGACCATGACGTCATACCCAATGAGAGCCCCGATTGGTCAGAGCGCGCAGTCTCGGTATTTTGGAGAAGTGAACACAGCGGTTTGTCAGGCGACCGCTCAATTTGTCCGCCCTGAATGTAGCAACCTAATACAAAAACCCGTGTGTTCTGTATCTCCATGACTTCTTCTATGCATCGCTAATTTTGGACATTTTGGCCGAATTCCGTCACCGTAAATTGGTTTGAATGCTGAAGTTTTAGAGCATTGGCAGCAGTACAAGTGGATTGGTACACATTACCAGCATCCTTCGATTTGCCATTTATGTAGGCCTACTCTCGTGACGGCGTTTCGGAGACCATATTCCCTTACAACGCAAGAGACAGGCTCAAAATGGGTAGGCAGTCTGAACTGACCCGTCTTGACGCGTATTCCATCAACGCCGCCTACAATCTCTTTGGTATGTACCTATAGTGAGTGTCCTATAATGCTTCCATATTGTGTAAAGCTGGGAATTAAACTTGTTCAAAAATTTGTCAGCCGCTTCCCCAGTATACGTTCTTCGTGGAATGTTACAGGTCTCTTTGACGGCAGCAATCTGAGTGCCAGTTTTTGTTTTCGACAGAATGCTCCTCACCAGAGAACGTGTGGAAACGATGTCGCCGAGGTGGAGTACCAAACAAGCACTGCACCTGCGACTGCTTACCAACCTTCTCGGGTCCATACTGCGAGACCTTCGAAAAGCCAACAGGTACACGTTGCTTGAGGTGTACGTAACGGTAGTGCATGGAGACTTTCGATGGCCTTCACTCGCTTGAAATCCGTGTTCAGAGCCGATAGAGAGTGATCATAAAAGACAGGGTGTGAGAGACAAAAGTGTGTCCTCCTACCCTCCCCGGCCACAAAAAGTGCAAGCAAATGTATGCCTATTTCAAACATAAAATGTCAGTAAGTGGTATTATTAAAGAGTTACTGCTAATTACAAAGATTCAAAGACTCTTCTAGTTTGATTAGGCCCCCTAATAGGGTACCGTTTTTATTTCATCATATTCACGTCTGACAATCTACCGGTACTGCCCCGGTATTAGTAAATTGCCTATTAAGAATTTTGCCACCCAGGGGACTGTTTCGTACCCATTGATAATAATATGATGTGAGAATGTGCCTTTGGTCTCTTTAACCGAACAAACATCGCGTCAATGATGTTGACAAAAATAAAATTCTACAACCAGTGTTCAGAGCACTGATTGTATAATTATATTTTTTGTCAGCATTCCTATAACTGTGCTACGCAGCCCTGTCATATTGCAGTGATGTGTTTGTTTCTTGTGTGCCCAGACTGCAGCCAGATTCACACGAGGCGGTCGGGTACCATCACTTCTCCCGGGTTCCCACGGCGATATCCAAATAATGCTCATTGCACCTATGTTATTGAGGTACAAGAAGACTATTGCGTATTACTTCGTGGCACTGTCAGGAAAAATTCTTAAGACATTTTTATTGCACAACGAGCTGAGGAGCTAGTGGATGACAAAAAAGTGTAGCTTTTGCCCAAAATGCATTATTTGTTTATTGCCCAGCCCCACGATGCGTTTCGAATGTCAGAAAGGTTTGTTTTCGTGAAGAATGTGCTGAGATGGAGACCTGTGGTTCATGGGTTGCGTATTTCGACATTTTGATTTCCCTCGAAAAATACACCACCATTATGTGCATTATGTACACCCTCTTGCAGAAGTAGCTAGTAGGCTAAGCGCACATACAAAATTAATACAAAATAAGAATAAAAAATACAGTTGGACCCGGTTAACTCCTCGTCAACCATTACTAGTACGATACGTTCTACCACACAGTGTGCAAAAGGGTACTTCATTAAGCATTTTAATGAGAGACTACAGTAATTACAAATTTCGTTTGTTTTTCAAGTGCTCCGAAAAATCACTCGTTGAGCTGAGATTTAAGAACTTCCGGCTGGAAGCCGGTAACTGTTGGTACGACACTCTGTCCATATTTATGGGAGTGCTGGAATCAGAAACTTATCCAGACGTGTAAGTTTAATACCAGTTATTTCTGCAGACTTCAAGGTTCTAGACTTACGTGGTCTTAATGTCTCCTGGCACATTCAAACATTCAAACTTTAAAATATAGACGAATGTGGAATAGATGTCTTTCGGTGTTTGCAAGTTGATGTTTGATGCATGTTTCTTTACTAATTTAAAAGTGGAATGTTTCTTTACTACTTTATAAGCCGAATGTTGTGAAAACATTGATAAAGAAAGTTCAAACGAAACGATTACATTCACCATAGGTCTCGTGGTTGTGGTGTTGACGCCGATGGAGCGTACGATGGTGACACTGATAATGGTCGTCAGGATTATGGCATTAAAATTGTTTAACACCCCAGTACGCCCGAGATTCTCAGCTACCCGTCCTCCATGTTGACTCTAGTGCATTTTTTTACTCGCAGATATTGTGGCAACTTTCTACAGGGCCAATTGCTGGTGTCTTTTGATAACGTGGTCATTATGGACTTCAAGAGTGATTCCGGGATCAGATTCCCAGGATTCGAGGTTAAGTATCGCTGCGTCCCCACATATTATTGATACGCCGGTACCTAAGCTCTCGTACAATTCGTGCGCGCAATAATGTAGTGCGCAAAACTTGTATACAGTGTGGCCAACTTGATTTCAAAACTGTAGCGTGGCTGGAGTTTTGCTGAACCGTTGCCACTCTGATTTTTTTGGTCCCGTTTTGATTGAATTTACAAAATTACGCTCGGAGTACACTAATCAAATAATATCTATTTTGAGTACTATGTAACGCGGTATTCAATGCTTTTGCTGTTTGTTTTCACCATCTCGTATTTGTTTTTATGATCCAATTTTGCGCCAAGTAAACATCTGCCCGTCACGATTTTAACTCTATCAGCGTTCAAACTTGGCTTTTCAGTTCTCTGAGCCATTATTCTGCATGCTGTGTACCCCTTAGCTAGGCCTACGTATCCCAAAGAGCTGTTGGATAAAATACATAAGTGCCTTCAGGATTTATTCCCAAACAGTTTAGCACAAATGAAATCCATCTTTTGCATTATTAAAGGCATAATTTGGCTACTTTTTTCTAAAGGAAGAATAGAAATTTTTGTGAGTATGAATTTCAACTTAGTGTGAATAAAGTGACCCTGCATGGGAACTAACTTTACATTTGTGAATGTAAATTTAGATTTGGTGCGAATAGACATTCAAAATTAGTGGCAGTATGAATTGGAAATCCAATTTATTGAAAAGAAATTACATGCAGGCTGAATGTTACTTGCTTAGATTTTTTGTTTTAAACTTTCAAACTTTTGTTCAACGTAAATATGTTGTGGTGCAAGGGTCATGGACGACCGGTTGTTGTCATGTTTGTCTCAGGAGTTTTACTGGTTTACCGGTTTTCCAACTATTTTAACATCAATACATGTATGTCTTACAAATTGCCAAACATGCTACAGTTATGATACAAAATCAATCGAGACGAAGTTAACGCAATGAGGACTTCTGAGGACGATTTGGAATGCTACAGAAATGGACATTCGATGAAATCCGTTGTTGGCTTTTGAAATCGAAATTGGGAGTTGAGCTTGACAGTGTTCAACGATGAAATTAAGCACTTATTTCACACATCACAATCCATACAGAACGATACCTTAATGATAACTGTTTATTTGGCATAGGCCTTATAATTGCATGTGTAAGAATGTAGGTTTAGAATCTTGCATGATGGACTCTTTGGCCGATCTGCGTGTAGTCTGTTGTCTTTCAAGAATAAAATTGCTCTTGCTCGGAATTCTGGCTTCCAGCTAATTAATTCTTCGTCCAGATAGAAACCACCGTGCTATCCGGTTCTGTGAGTGTGACCCTGTATAAGCAACTAGACCACTCTCGCCCACACGGTGTAAAGCTGCACTGAAACCATGCGGTCGGAACGAGGAAGCACCAAGTTGCGCACAAGCCAATAATGCCAAAACGCACTCGATCGGCAAGTAATCAGCCTGCACAACTTAACTATTTCAACCACTCCATTGCCACACTGTGTAAAATTGGGTTTCCAATATCGACTTAAAGAGACGCATGAGAGAGTACTACTGATCGGTTTGGAAACACTTGATCGCTGCTGATGCTATTCAGAGCACGGCGACAGCAATTATTCTGATCACCGGCGGTAGTCTAGTAAATGAAGCCTTTAAAAGTCAACGGTTACAATCAAGTTCTGAAAGCTCGAAATAAATATGTGCTCTGGTATTTTCAGTTGTGTATCTAAGATGTACCTCACAGTTCATTTTGCAATAAACTTCAATTAGCATATTGTGGCGGTTCCTCCTCTCTGGTCAGTGAACCCCTGGCTCGCCGGGCCACTCGGCAGCCCGGTCGCAGCGCCGCTCGTGCATAATTTGGCCAGGGCCTGTATGATCCGTTTGGGTGGAAATACACCGCCCGTTTACACCGAGGACAAGGGACGCTGAAAGGAATGGTACGCCCAGCAAAGATATTTGTGGTTCTACCTACTTCTAGCTGGTTTATTCGTCTCCACTCACTTCCACAACGACGCGTGAGGTACCCCAACGAACACCAATGCAAAAACATTTACAATTGGCAAGGAGGGGGCATGAAGATCCATTGCGCACTCCCTCGCCCTGCTGAGATATACTGTCACAAACTTAAATAAAGGAACAGTGGGGCCTACTGGTCCATTTACTCATATGAACGAGTGCGCAAGTCGTACGGTTGCTCGACGCATATAATCACTGACGCCAAAGTCAGTTTAAGTACTCTTATGGATCAAAGAACCGTCGCAAAGATCGCTTTTGTCTAGTCTGGTTTCAGCTTTAACAGTCATCGGAAGAGGTCAGTTGTGGGATCAGCGATGAATTTGTAGGAGCGACTATCTGCGCAGGAGGTCTTATGATCAATTGTCGCGCGTTGTCTGATGGAACGCCTTGTCACTACTTATCAACCCGTCCCTGAACGCGCACACTATCAGAGGCAACGATGGAAAAGACGCAGTGTAAATTATGAACTGTATTGTAAATCTGACAAAATCCACTGAAACACCACAGGAAAATAAACTCACCAAAACAAGTCAAAAATACAAACCACAAATAGAAACCAAAGGAAACAACACTTAAGCCCATTTTGGGGATGGAATTTTGCGGTTCTTTTGCCCACCACTGACGTTATTTTCACAAGCACTGTATTTTCTGCCGTCTGGAGCGTGTGAGACAAGACAAAAACCTCCAAGCCACTCGGTACGTTGGGACTCTTAGCGACAGTCACAACCACAATACCGGCATGACCAGGGCTTTGAAAAGAGACTAATTCACAGCACCGACCACAGGTTGCAGGGATGCAAACCCCGCACCCTCCTGCTCATTACCCGTAAGATGCCGGTGACTTATGCGTGCGTTTTAAAAGAAAATCCAATGAGCCACCTCTTTCCTGACGACCAAGTCAAGGATCACAAAATGGAAAGAATTTACTCAACAGGACACAAAATCATGTTTTCATCAATGGTTTGAATTTAATTTCAACCACTTTACAAAATGTGCTCAGTTGCAGTGCCGCTCAATATTTTATTCTACTAATTAATATACACAATGTACACTTCAATTATGTCCATTTTTTTTCAAAACTTGTAGGCCCAAAACTGATGACAACCGAAAGCAAATCTGGGGTCGATAAAAGTTATTACCTTTCTTCTGTTTGTTCATGAAATAATCAAAAATCTTAAAAATGTCAGGCAAGTCGATCATTGATTTTTACATTTATGGAAAAGGCCGCGATATGGTGCCTTAAAAACACGGTCGGAGAAAGTATTCTATGTGGGAGGGATTGTGTGTCGTAATTTTTTTTTAATGCTGGCTGTGTGGGGAATGCATATTTTAAACGTCCGTAGTTAAACGTTCAGGAGATACGGCTGAAGACGGGATGTGTACATGTATGTAACGTCTCATCAAAACACCACGTATAAAAAGATGTGTGCCAGATGAACCTACTTTTATGCAGAAATAGCGAATAAAATTCAGGGATGGTATCTGAGATAAATTTGAAATTACAAAAGTTAAAGCCCCCTGAGTTATCAACATGCAAAAAACCCACGATGATAAGGCTAAACTGAAATAAGTTATATACAATTTACAGTGATTCAATGGGCAGGCATATTAAACTGTTACGTAATTCGGCAACCAGACTGAGAAGCCATTACTGCGATGGCACAACGCTTGGGGAAAGGTGGTACGCGCACGTCACATGCTCATTCGACCAATAGGGTGTCATGATTCGCCAAACGTACGCGCGCGTCAAGCTTGAGAACGCGCGGGTGTAGTGCTACAGCAACAATGGCGTCTCCTCAGTCTACATGTACAGGTTAACGCAAAGATGACAGAAATGATGCAGAAATATAGCAAGTGACACATAACACGGGGCATTAAAAAACTATACAACATTCACGAAACATTCATGGTCACATAACACAGAGGATACTCGCATCAGGCAGGCAGTAATGTTTGACCCATTCTTGGCGCGGAAAACCGGCAAACGCTTCCCCAAATCCTACTTCTCTCCGATTTTCAGTTTTTGCTTTTATTCAGAGTGCTTTAGGAATCGGCCAAGATTTGGAAACGGTACAGTAAAAAAAAAATTCCAATGACTCGTAATTTGTACATGTACAAACAGGGCCATTTCTCCCTTTACAGAGTAAACAGTGAATCTGTAAAGTGAATTATCAGTTCGCATTGTGCCTGGTAGGAGCAGCTCAAAATACCTTTCTGCCAGCCTCAAAGGAGTCCTTTAAAATAAAGATTGGGTCTGCCAATACACTTCTCTCAATACCAATCCCATCCCAAAAAAATCCCTTTTGTTTCAATTCCGAGCTTTGTCAATATACACAATGTACAAAATTTTACAGTAAATTTCCAGTATAAAAAAAAAACATATAAATATCGAAGTCTAAAGTTTGGACAACCAATTGTCCCTTTGTAAAATAATTTAGGACGCCGCCGAGGCCTATGTATTTACAAAGTATTTCAAAAGGATATTTGACTGGTACCCATTACTTGGCCCCCCCCCGAGAGAATACACTTAACAAGGGCAGCACAAAGGACGAGGAAAATTACTAGTGTTGGCCTCTAAGAAATTTTTCACATACATTACTCAAGTCATTGATTGAACTTTGCCAGTTAATGAAAAATGATTTTACTGCGTCAGCAGCTGCCTTGCCAACAGAATGTGAGCCAACCTGGCCATCGTTGAGTGGACCTGACAACAAAACGGGTCCACATAATGCAGGTTGTGCAGACCTAAGCCAGGTCCACACATGGTTTCCCCTTGCTCAAAATCAAGTTAAGAGGACATTTTGACGTCAGGGTTATTTGTAGCAAGAGGAAGAGGAACAGTTAAGAAAACCAACCAAAATCCAGCTCAAAATAGAAATTTGCAGTTTGAGACAAAAAAGCAAATTCACTGGGCTTTCTTTACTGGAGAAGAAAGGAATATCCACACTAGGTATGTAATGTAAAGGCGTGTGAAATCCCACAAACAGTCAAAGGTCTACAGTAGCAGACTGAGCCTAAGGTTGTGCCTAAATGTTATGGCTATGGCTTGAAATAAAATACATGCGTATGGAAGCCACTGGAAGTGGCAGCAAGCCCATCCTGCAGACATCTGTCTATCCTCTGGGCCAGTCACAGCAAGTTGATTCCAACAAGGACTCATACCTTGGCTAGAAGCAGATGCACTTGCCAACATTTAGATCAGTTTGACCTTCCTCACACAATGAACCCAACACAACACTACACTGTAAAAACGTCGGGCGTAAGGTGATGTATAGACTTTTTATGCGGAACAACAATTTTTAGGGCAGCAACTACCACTGATGCACCCCTCCATGGTGTGGCCGACTGTGTGACTGCAAGATCCAAGAAAGCGGCCTGCTAGTTTTGTTAGACCCCAACCCCCCCAAAAGGGCTGTGGTTAACCCCTGCTCCCTCCAAAACATAAGAAAGTTTCACATGCAACTCTTACTTGCAAAGCAAAATTGACCTTCATCGGTAAATAAACTTCAAGAGGACAAATTAAGCACTGCAATTCTAAACAAGCAGGTGCCAACTTAAAACCGCAAGGTTTATCGCATTTCAGCGAATATTTTCTTCCAAAGAGGTAACTGTCACCTTAATTCAATTTTCAAAACTTGGTTATGAATATAATATGGATTTGAATTGCAATTAACTTATGTGAGGAAGCAAAATTGGAAATTTAAAAATTTAAACAAATGTCTGGGTGACCAGTTCAAAAAAAAATTGGAAGAAATCAATCAGAAATGCTTAAAAACATTTCTCTGTGCTGACGAAAACATGAACATTTTCACGCAAACAGTATAAAAACAACTTTGGGAGTGGTGATACAAATATTTTGAGACAAATAGATAAGACAAAGAGCAGACAACACATTCAGGTCAGGGGTGAAATTGGATGATGTCAAGGGTCACATGATCAGCCGGCCTCCTTTCTTCAGTTTCAGGATTTTGCTGAGTCGTTGTTTGGCAGTGGCCATTCCTTTCTTGGGTCTTTTCACTGTTGGGATTCCAAAAAAAGAAAAAAAAGAAAAGGGGGTTAAAATTGCCACTTGGTGCCAGCAACAGTTGTGCCGTTGTTACATTCACGAGCTCAGCAGAGGGCGCTACACAGCTGTCAGATAACTGCAAAAATAAATGCAAGACAAAACTGCCATTTCTCAGTGAGATCTCTACCCTATCTGGGCAATGGAACTTCCCAATCAGATTCCATGCACTGCACAGACTTAACCGGTGATCACTCTGAACCGGACATCTAAAGCATCTATCAGATATTTTTCAGCAATGACGCAATGGTGTAAAGTAACTCTGTGAAATATAATTCTCAGAGTACAGAGAAAACTTGTCGGAATACAGCCAGACCTGTGCGACGTCAGGTGAACGTCAACGGCATCATGACTCAATAGTTTGAAGCTTGCTCAAAGAGACAGAAGTGGCACAACGGTGTACTTCAAGCAATTTGTGACTGGTTGCAATAGAAAATGTGCACGTCAAAATCAAGATTTTGCTTAACTTCTGTGGTAACGCACTGCAGCCTATGATGAGTAGTATTGTACAATGGTGCTAAATACTGGAGAGAGAAAAAGGCGTGTCCAATTGAGTGATGTCTTCCCTATTTCAATAAAAGTGCAATGACCCAGAATAAAATGGGCAGTCTTCAAGTTATGTTTCCAAAACTGAGGGCTCAAAGACTGGCAATATTGAGAAGTCCGCTGACTTGATGAAATAAAGCACAAGGAGACCAGACTCTCGCCACTTACGTCCTTTTGCAACACCGTCCATCGCCCGTGGGGAGTTGCTCAGAACTGAGCTGGGCGCGCTCTGGGTCAGATCCAGCCTGAGGTCGGGGCCGCTCATGTGCAGCGGGCCCAGGGACTGCGACAGCAGCGAGCTGCTGGTGGAGGGCTCGTCCTCGCCATCGTCGTCAAAGTCGTAAGGGTCTGGCACCTTAGGCTGGACGGGTGCTGGCGGCTTCCGTCGGATGTACTGCCTCTTGGGCCGTGGCTGTTTGTGGGAATCGAGACACGTTGGAGGATGAGAGCATGGCTAATGGATTTTAAAGAGTTCAATCTTATGTCATATAGAAAGGCACAGAAGGCTGGCTCCAGGCTGATCACGGGCTTCAGGAAAAAAAAAACTTTGATTATTCACATGAGTACCTGGGGACTTCCCACAAGTGCAGTGAGCACTCATGCTTTTAGATAGTAACTCTGGTGCCTCCTTTGCCAACTCACACTTGAGTATTCACAAGCGACTTTGAAATATCATCTCCTCAAGCCCAAGAAGTACCTCAATATTGCTATTGATTCTTGAGTCAAAGATGTTTTGAACAACATCAGTGCCGGTAGAGCGAAAGTCATCCCTATCAAATAAAAACTCAACACTGTGTGTGTTTGCAGTCAGAGCTGCGTCACTGACAAATTTAGCAGACACTAGGCACATCAGAAGTCAAAGTGGTTCTAAATTTGACAGCCACTCCATCTTGAGGCCACTTCTCAAATTTCGGCTTCTTTTCCTTTCCAGCTAGTTTTTAAGCTAGTTAGATCAGAAAGATTGAAGATTTGGGCTTGAGATGTGTCACATTCTGCTTTGGAAGCATTAAAACTATATGATGGGAATCCACAGGTGACTGACTTTCCATTCAGTCAGGACACCAAAAGATTGCGTAACGGCCAGACAGAAAGACAAAGACACAGTTGAGGTTGGGACTAGGTGATGCCAATGTGGCACTCACCTTGGTAGCCAGCCTGGCCGCTGCTTCGGCTAGCCCTGTCTCGATGTGGGGCCTCCTGGCGCTGTCCCTGGACGGCACCCTGGCCCGGGGCGTCAGGCTGCACACTTTGGCCTTGGGGTTCCAGGGGGCATCCTTGGGCACCTTCTTGGGATTCTTGCTGCGGGATTTGAAGAGCGGTCCATCCCCGTCATCATCCAAGGAGGGGTAAACTGTGACCGATTGAAGGAGACGACAGGGGAGACGTGATAAAAACAGCAACAATATCGACAACAAGACAGTTGATGATTATCAGAAGACACTTGTAGAGTTCTAAAGAAAGCCACAACGGGTTGCGACCACAACTCACCGTGGAATGCTGAGTCTTTAACAAGAAAAGTTGTTTCCAGCTATTAATTACCTAATACCAAATCAAAACTATTTCAATATTCTGTTATTTGGGGTCACACAAAAGGAGTAAATAGTTGACACTTGGGGGACTGTTAACTACGTACTGCAAAAAGATATGAACTTGCTCAACCTTTTATAAGCGACAATTTCTTCATCAGATGCGATGCAGTGATACCGCACAACATGGGTGTTTGTATACAATTTATGTTCTCAAGAAAAATAACTCCAGAACTACACAAAGCGATGTATTGTGCATAGACTCTGAGCATAAGGTAGGTCAGTCAGTGGTGTGTACGTTAATACTGAGATAGTTCACTCTGTGGTACAACGGCAGATTTTAGAGAATGTTTTCTCTCCATCATGATTTGCGTGATGTGAGAAAGCACGGCTGCAGTAGACAAATTTTTTAAAGTGGACGAAGTTTCAGCAAACTGTAATTTTTGCTGCCACTTACTTTCTAATGCAGTCCTAAACACAACTTTTTTGGTCAGCACTGATTAGAATTATGAAAAGCCAAGTACTGCAAATATTTGCCATTTGGAGGCAACAGTGAGAGACAGCTGGGACCCAGGAAGGGAGGAGGGCAGTGTTGTTGGAGACCAGACACAAGACCATTTACCTGACCAGCCACAAGCAACAGGGTGAGAAAAGACGGAGGAATGCTTTTGATGCATTTCATTGAAATAGCTTGTGACTTAAATTCAGACGAGGTCTTGTGATGGTCTTGTAGTTGTCTTGACTAACACCACCAGTGAGGGGGGACTCTGGTGATTTACTTCTCCTTACCATATTTGGAATCCTGGAAACAGTTGGGCAGGTCCTCCTCCGTGTCTCCCGCAGACGAGGAGTTCTCCCACTTCCTCTTCTGGCCTGGCAGGAGGAAAGGGCTGCTGTGGGGTGAGGCAGAGGACAAGGAGGAGCCCAGGGAGGACTGGCGGTTAGGGGCAAGACTCGGGGTTGGCATGGCGATGGACAGCATCCCCTGGATGGCATCCTGGGTCCCAGGCGATGCTGGCTGGTGTCTAGGGATGGACAGTAGAGGTTGGGGTCTTTATTCTGTGCATATTCAATGCTAATCCAATGTCAGACTCTCTTGAAAGCTTGACAGTCACAGCATGAAAGACGGCTAAATTTTTGAAAGCTGAGTTCTGGGAGACTGAATTTCAATTTTGAACTCTAACCAGGTGAAAATGCCTTGTTCTTGTATAAAAGGGGCAAAAGCTTTAGGAACAAGGCCATAGCACTCATCTGACATCAGCCATAGAGCACTATACACGAAGTCTCCGTGAGCCAATCAATGGTGCAGGGAAGTTTAAGAGGGCACCTAGGAAAAGGGATGGTGTACCCTTCTCTTGAAGGATGAAACACCGTTGTCATTAATCTCTCCAACACATTCTGGAAGACTGTTCCAGAAATGGACTACAGTGTGAGTGAAGGTTCTGCCAGTGAAAGCAGGTCCTAGATCATAGCAGTCACCAGCTCTCATTTCTGGTCTGGAGTTATTGACATGGTTGAGCACTCTTTTAGGTTTCTTACTTGAGTTCAGCTTCTATGTCGGCCAGGCTGATACTCGGCAACGGTCTGGATTGGTCCCACTGGCTGGCCTGCAATAAGGCATCCACGTTGTTGTATGGTGAGGATTGCTGTTAGAATCAAGTGAAAGATCAGACACCTTTTCAGTAGAACTTTAATGGTTCTTAGAACGATATCCTGGTGCTAGAAAAAAGAAGAGCGTCCATCTTGAGCTCAATGCCCACTACGGACTGTGAACTTGTGTAATCACTGGCTCGTGCAGGTGTAGTCAAACTACTGTTAAATGGCCTACCCTTAAACTACAGTATAAGGGCTGCTTTGCCCAGAAATAGACGGTTAGGTTTTGGCAGACTTATGCCATAAGCAATATAAAAAAAAGGAAATGATCCAACTGGGATTCTACGCAGTTCCGCATGCTTTCTTTATCAAATCAATTACAATAAATAATTACTATTAAGAGGTAACAAGTCATTGATAGGCCACGTCTCCGTGGCTTACCCTTAGCTGTATACTACTGCCTAATGGACCACCACTGCGACATAACAATATCAGCACAATGTAGATACCCACTGGAGCTTCAACCGACAACCACCACGTCCAAAGTCAGTGAGAAAAACGAGAAAGAGTGAGAGAATGATGCAGGCTGTGCTGCACTTGCAAGTGCATCTGGAAAGAATTCTTATGCAAATGATCTGCAGCTTCGGTGGAGTCGCTCCATCAGTGGGGTCTCTACACAGGTAAATGACGTGAGGTACACAAGGCGTATTTGTAATTGATTGGGCACAACCCCGGGGAAGCCTCTGCATGAGGCGAGTGTACCCAAGTCTGAACGGTGAATGGTAATGTTCCAAACAGCAAGAACCAAAATGATCATAATGCAAGTTCTCACTGCAAATGATGCTGTGCTTCTGAAATGAGCCTGTAAGGATTTCCAACAGTGTAAGCTCAAACTGAACTGCACTAGAAGTCATTCAAGAACAGCGATACAAGCCAAGTCGGTCGTATCACTTGCATGCTCTCTGCTTGCATGGTCTGTTTTTCAACGAGCTTGCCTCGTTGGAACTACTAAACTGGTTCACTTTGAGCAGCCATTCCCTCTTTGTCAGGTGGATTTGTCAGTGATGTGAGAGGTTCAACGGTTCAAGTGTATGGTTCAGTTTTTGTTTGGAAATTTCAGTTTTCCTCTACCTCTTGATGTCTGGATTTGTATGAGAAAAAGAAACCAAGAAGCCCACTGCTACTCACTCGAGGACTTCTGTCGGATGGCAGGACATCCCCATCTTCCGAGTCTGAGTCAGAGTCTGACCTGGTGCCTCTACCACTCAGCGATGTATTCAGCCCGCTGGATTCTTGGGAACTATCCTGGGATGACGATGAACCGATGGGCAGCACTGGCTTGCCGTTGACTGTGAAGTGACCCCAAAAAAATTCCTGCCTCACTAGGGAAATGCTGTCTCATTTTACATAGTTCCATTGCCAACGGGCTGGAGTGGCGCAAAGTCCTGTTATGATATGTGCTAATGGATTTCAGCTTGTTTTGGAGAGATACCTAAGAAACATTAGCTTTTCCAAGTGAAAACAGCTGCATTAAACAAAGAGTTCAGCTCAGGAGAATAAGGCATTGTTCCCAATATTCATGGCCTCTGCCCTACCATCTGACTCAAAAATTGGAGAATACAAAAGATCTTTGTACGGATTGATAAAAAGGGAGCATGGGCCAGTGGTTAGGGTTTGTGACTCCTCTCCTGATTAGAGGGCTGGGTTGTAACACGTCACTAAATTTGGTGACTCAAGTCGAGTCAAGTCATTGCGACTCGAGTCGAGTCATTAGGTCAAGAAGTCAAGTCACTGTGTAGTTGAGTTGAGTCAAGTACCAAGCTCGAGTCAATTTGAGTAACACATTTTTGAACCAATATACAATAAATATGATTGATATAAGAGCAGCGCCGTGAGTCCGATTTCAAATATACTTTTTCACCAGAGGTTTGCTTTAAATTGTTTTGAGACTTGAGTCTTACAAGCTTATACTCGAGTCGAGTCTCCATTTGAGTTGAGTCAAGTCATTTGATTTCAGAGACTCCAATCGAGTCATTTACCTGTCGGGACTCGAGTCCAGTCAACAAAAATTGTGACTTGAGTCAGACTTGAATCGAGTCATCGTCTCGAGTCATTACAACTCTGTCAGAGGGTCACAGGTTCGAATCCAGCTACTCACTATAATTTGTATCAACTCACCCCTGCGAGTTTCTCTCCACCCAGGAGTACACATGGGTACTGCCAACTAGCTGGGGGAGTAGCCTGTGATGGATTGGCATCACATCAAAAGGGGATGGTCATAGTCTCACTTGTTTCACACTAAGGAAACTGGAGATAAGCACTGGTCTGATGAGCCAGAGGGCTCAGGACAGATTCTGCTACTGCTGCTATGGTCCAATTTATAACCAGGCCTACCCAATGCCCATCTACAAAAAATCATGGAGTCCCCTATGCATCAGATCCTAACCAGACAACTCCCTGGATCCTAACAATCTTACAGGACAGCTTGAGTTTCAGCGGAGCCTTGGAAGCCAGCATCTCCCTGCTTCTCATCACCAGGCTCTGGGAGGCTCTGCGCTGGCTGTCTCTGGACATTGAAGTGTCATTGTCATCCCCGTCATCGTCCACAATGACATCCTCGCTCTCGCTGGCAGTGTCCTGGCTCGACGAGTGCCTCGGGCCGCTGTTGGTGCTCCCAAAGAGAGGCTGGAAGCCGTCCGACATGTTGCTCTGTTTGACAGGCGATCCTCCCCTACTGTTGGAAGGCAGTGCCAGAAAGTCAGGGTGAGGGAACGGGCTTACGCTCACGGCAGAGGATGGGTAAACACAATCCGGCAATCTCTACTTGTAGAGGTGGCTGACATAGTAAACAGTTGAGTGTTCGCGAGTCCCCCAATCGTTTTGTCCATGCACACACAATGTCTCATAAGTCTACAGAGGTGAACCATGCACTGAACATGAATCCGACTTCCTAGCCTATTGTTGCAACAAATATCGCTCCATGGCAGAGCCTTGAAGAGCTGTAAATTAGCAGTTTGCAGGAGGCAACATTGTACAAACACTGTTTCAATGCGTCTCAAGAAAGTGTTTTTGGTGCTTGGCTATATTCCAAAAGGTGGCAAATATGTATCTTGCCTCTTTTAAAAGTCAGGATTTTTGGCCAAATATGATACCATCAGCAAGTGGTCAATGACACTTTTCAAAGCTTAAGATCAGACTTATGCTAACAGAAAACAGAGCCACAGTAAATATAAATGTACATTTTTCTGATTATCCATTCATTAAAACATGCTTCTTGAATCTTAAGTTTGGTTTCAAGTTGAGCTGTTGCCATAAATTTTCTGGATGTACGTTGTTTGTATCACTTCATTTCATTTAAGTAAAATTAGAGAACAGATTAATTTGACAGTAAGCAGAGCCACGTAAGTGTTTCAGTCACTCACCTGATGATCTTGCCGTTGGACAGAACGAGTTTCAAGCCCTTGGAAACTCCTCTGCTTTTCTCGTCTTCGCTTTCCGTGCCCGACATTTCGCCGGGACCCTTTCTGGGGAACACCATCTTGAGGTTCGGCTTGTGGTTGCTGGCCTCTGCATGGTAGGGCTGCTGAGTGGAAGAACAAGCCATAAAAGGGAGAGTTAGGAATACTTTGCCAATCAAAGAAACAGGTGCCATGCACATTTACAATGACTCCTGTGAGGTGGAGCTGTTAGACGGGAAAGCAAGTCCCAAGAGGTTATTTCTGGAATTTCAAGATTTTTCTGACACCAAATGAAATCAATGACAGGTAAAGCTTGAACATTTGAAGTCTATTGGCTGGTTCATACTTCAGACAAACGCAAAAGCAAAGCAAATTTGACATCACGAAAAATGTGCAGCACAATTTTGCTTGAGTTGAAATATGTTCAACTTTTACAAAGTTGCAATGCAAATATTTTATCTGACGTCACAAATTCGCATTCATTTTCAATTTTTCAATTGAGTATGAACCGGCCATGGTAACTGTTGTAAGACTGAGTCAATGCCAATCACTCTTTAATAACTAAGCAAAATGTAACTGGTAAACGACTTCCGTTTTTTAATGGGGGGGGGAATCCTGATCACGAGTTGAGTTCTAACCTTTTTCAGCAGTGGATGCGTGATCAGATCTGGCAGGCGATGTCCGACTTTGCTCGGGCTTCGCCCCTCCAGCAGGCCCCCTGCCGATTTTCCCCACCCCTCCCCTTCCGCTGAGCCACCGGCATCGCCCCCGTCTTTCTTCTTCTTCTTCTTGGCCTTCTTGGCTTTGCCGTTGGCCTCCTTCTTGGCGCTGGCGGAGGAGCCGGCGGTGCCGCTGACTTTCCTCTTCTTGTCCTTGTCCTTGGTGGATCGGGGGCCACCGGCTCTCTTCCCGGTGGAGTTCTTTTTGGACGTTTTCACATCTTTGCTCTTCTTGCCTTTCTTGTTCTTCTTGTGCTTGCCTTTGTTTTTCAGTTTATTCATGGAGGGTTTCTGGGAAAACAACCGTGGGACAGAAAGTGGAGTCATATAATGTGCGATTTATTAAAATGGAAGGTATTGGTCCTTCTTTGACGTGCTGTTGGTTGACAGCTGTACAAGACATTACCGGGACAGTAAGGTTGGGGGGGCTTGAAAAGGTGCAGAGGTGGCTACTTCAGCCCATGTTGGCGAGTACAAAGGCAACTCCACATTTTCCTTATTAGTGATCTCTCAAAAACTGCCAAAACGCAGACCTCTGCTTAAACCCAATCAGTACAAGTCGATCTCGTGTCTCATGGTCCAGACTAGGCTAGAGCGATTTTCAAGTGGAGTGCCGTTCCGTTGTCACTGTTCGTCCACCGTTACCTCCGATCTTCTTTGTGACTTCCAATGTGGGGAGCTGTGGTTTGGAGCAATGCTGAATCTCTCTTTATATCCACAGAATATGTGTTCCAGTTAACTTCACATTACAAGAATTCTGCAGCTGTGTTCCGATCAGTCACTGGCCCATTTGTGCAGAATCATAAAGCATTTGTACTTTGATCTCTTGCAAACATGAGAAACAAGACTTTCTCTGCACTAAGAAAACAAGGGCAAACAAAAACACTCAAAGAAAAGTAAATGTGACCAGCAGAGCAGGTGGGGTTACAGTGAACAGGACGGCTCACCTCAGCAAGTTTAATCTCCTTGTTGAGGTCCTTCAGGAGCTGCGAGTGCTGTATACTCAACGGTATCTCTTGCTGATGTTGCTTCAGGTTCTGAAACAAGACCAATGAGAACAGACGTCACCTCTTAGTTTCAACAAATGAGGCTGATGGAAATGATCCAGGGAAGGATCACTCACAAATCACAAATACAAACGTACATGCAAAGCTGAATTTTGTTCATGATCAACCGTATTATTTGTTGACAGCATTCAAAGTTGTTGACCTGTATATATGAATTGGCAAATTGAAAATTTAGAGTGATAAATGAAACCATACACGAGGGATTTAACATATCAACTTGACTTCACTGAGGAAAACGAAATTGTTTAACACAAACAACAACATGTGCTAAATGTTGACTTGAGCTGAACAGCCTTGGTAGGGATGTACCGATTCCGAGGACAGCGCCAATGACCGATGTGTACATTGTGGGACATGACAAATGAATAGCGGTGAAGATGACTCTTGCTATAGCAAGGTTCCCAAGTAATAACCAGATTTACCTTGCTTTAACCAGATTTAGGTCTTAAATACTAAAAGAAAATGGATTGGGTAAGCAGGTCCCCCTTTGGAGGTGAACATTTTCTTGTGCCAATGTTGGACACTTCCATCAAACAACCATTCTTAGCTTTATGATAGCTGCGTGATTAAATCAGTCAGCCACACAGGTTGCATCGCCAATCAACCTAAACCGTGCTGATATGCACACAGCAGCTGCTTCATGTGTAAATACAGGTACAACGGGGCACCGGTGAAATGTGGGGTCACGCAGCACCATGTTTTCCGTTCCTACTGAAAATAATATTCTGGTCTACCGAATAGACTGGTTAACTGAGCATAACTGATGGTAAATGTGCAAGGTGCATGGTATGAATGCATGCAGTAAACACACAATGCCAAAGCAAAACTGAACCAGTCCTTCACCAGGCACTTAAAACACCATTTTGGATGGTTCGAACAGAGTCATATTGAGACTGTTGACAGTCCCAACCTTCCCAAAGGCCTTTAAAGTTTGTATCTTTGGCCTTTTTGTTACTGTTGATAAACAGGACGAAAATTCATGCATCTACAACAAAAATAAAAAAACCCCCACTTTTTTCTTTTGCTTATTAAACAGGTCAAAATTCTGCATCAGTGCTCATGATTTTAAAAAGGGGAAGTTTCCTGATTTTTTTTACATGCAACAAAAAAAGTGCAAGTTATAAGTCCACTTGATGTTTACATTTGTTAAAAACAAACTGTAAAAAGGAAACAACAGAAAAAAAAAAATCAAGCACAGATATGTCAAAAATTGGACTTCACCAAACGTACAGCACAGACATACGGCAACCATTAAAACAATGACACTTACAGGAGTCTCAATTTTAATTTTCCGTTGCTTTGAGATCCACAAAGAGGAGAAAAGTGTTTACCATTAGTAAACAGCCCCAAAGGAAAACAACAACAGCTAGAACGGATTGGCCTTTGTGCTGATAACGTCGTACTTTGTTTAAATTGTGCTTTTCTGTAGTGCTCAGTAAGTAGTGGGCCCCTGTTGGCACTGTAGAAAAGTGAACAGAGTACAACGTCATCAGTACAAAGGCCAATCTGCTTTGCTTTGGATCACGCTGTGCTCCCCAGCCCTGCTCAACGCCACGAATTGGCAATGCAAGAGGGACGTTATCAGCAGAGTACCACGCCTGGTGTTCACCCACACCACAGTTCACGCAAGCCAACAATTACATTTTGTTGCATCCACCACGGTTCTGAATGACGGTTTGGAAGGAATGCGACACCAAACTATTTTCAGGTCAAATGAGATCAGCGTTCTTCGCGGACTTGTTCTTCCTTCCCCCCCCACCTCCCCAAAAAGTGACCTCTACCGGAGAAGCTACTGAATCCTGTCTTCTGTTCTGACGATGAAACAAACCACGTGGTACTGCTCTTGTACATCAACTGGGTCTAGTACCAGGATTCTCTCAGATAACTCAACCCTTGCTTTATTTCTTATTGCCAATTGGCTGCTTGTGCCAATGTGCTCTGCACAAGGCATTACTGGAAGCTAAAACGGCTTGTATCAAGACTTCAGATGAAGAGGGTAAGAGCCAGTAACAGGTTGCATCCATCTGCTTATCATAGGACTGCCACTGATATCTAGGCATGGGGGGGTCTAGTGGGGTGTCTCAGCATTTTGGGGTATGCCAAAATTTGGGGGCAAACAAACATTTGGGGGGGTATATAAACAGTTTGGGGTTACTTGGAGATATCATGTTTTGAGGCATCTCAAAATTCGGATATCCTGTTATTCTGCATTTTCGGGGCATACTGGCCTTTCAAAATTATAAAAAAACAGATAATGACGTTCTGTGATTCTTCTTTCAGCATAAATTTTATGGGGGGGGGGTCTGGCAGGGCTAGTAGCGTCAAACAAGTTCACTGTTGAGGCATTAATGTTTGTGTACGTACCTCTCTCTTCCGTGTCCAATTCTTGAGCGCTTCACTCAAAGCTTTAGCACCGAGTATGAGGTAGGGAGGGGGCTTCTTAGAATCCTCATTGTAATCTGGGAGGGGGAGAAACCAATCCGTTCTTTTGATTTTGTGACTCACTTGATCAAATCTGTGAACAACAGTACTGCCGAAACAGTCGGCAAAAACACCGGATGTTGGTTCTGCAGGGAAACAAGCCATGTTCATCACAGTTGTGGTTCATGTCGTGTCACATACGAAATCCTCTTTCTGACGCAAACAGAACTTTGCCACTTTGCCTTCGTGCGGATGCTACTTCCATAGCTGAGAAAGATGTGTTGATATCAGCATTGTATTTGAGTCCGTCACAAGTTCCTACAAGTCTCTGCAAGTCCATCACAAGTCATTCAGACTTAAGCCCATTCACAAGCTATTCAAATGAACTGTGACAAGAGCATTCTTTTGCCTTTTTTCACGCTGTTACTCACGACTGGCCTTGTGAAGGGACTTGTGACAGGCCTTGTGACGGACTCGACTCCAATACTGGTTGTTATGATGGCAAGAGTAAGACATGAAACTGTCAGAAGGTGGTTGTGAAATTCAGAGTTTCAGTGGACTGATAGATACCTCTGAAGACTTCATAGAGGTGTTTTGCACCAAACCACATCGTCGTCTCGAACCAAGGAAACTGGAATCGTGGTGGCGTTTTTAACCTTCTTTCGAGATTATAAATCCTGCACAAAGGAATATTCAAGGACTTATGTTAGTAACAAAGCCTGCATTGCCCCCTTACTTCTCAAAACTTGTTATTACCTTCCTAGATGAAAATTCCTGCACATTACATTAGAGCACAAGGTTTGTTACTATGTATGATGTCTTTGGTTGCCAGCTTTTCTAAATCCTAACACCTTCTCAACTGTGCAGGAACATAATGCAAAATGCTTTCCACTTAAACACTTCAGGGGAATCATGTCCAAGGTAAGGGAATGGTGGCTTCCGTTCTCACTTCTTGTAAAAACTTTGGACAACAACCCCGACGGACTCCAACTGATTCTGAACATTTCTATCAGGGTTTCTATAGCAAAGGTTGATTGTGAAATTGGGACGTACTGAATTTGTACAGGAATATTGAAACTGTGAAGAAAGTTGCCCCCAAATACCAGCGAGTCAACCGGCGTTAATACTGCGTGAATCCAACCTGAGGTAAAGAAGGATAAAGACTGGATTACTCAAGAAGAAATGCAACGGCTAAAGGAAACTGTCCAACGTGATAAGTATACATCACTGATAAAGCACCGTATTTAAGTACAGACTGCAGTCCACGAGCATTAGTATATTCTGGCTTAAATGTGAATAATGGCTATTAGTGAATTATTTCTCTGCTGGGCAACATCATGACTTGAAAAAATCATGACTTGTTCGACAAACCCCTTTAAGGTCAAGAACGTAATGAAATGACAGGATGCCAGCCGAAACAGTCATTGCTAGGCAAAGTCCAGCATTCCTTGTGTAAAGGGAGCAATGATCCCTCCAGGGGGAAGATTGATAAAAAATAAGAGCCCTCAACTCAACTTTGGGGCTTTGGCCAAGCACACTCTGTACCCTATTAGCACTTGAACCACTGTGCCCACACAATGTGTCCTTTCCTGGCTACAGTACATTAGGCCACCCAAATGCGATCTGCAATTTCCTCCAGGCAAGCCACACACCAGTCTTGTAGTTGACAACTCTTGAGACCAACAAAACACCCCCTGGACCAACATAAGACCTCCAGTCCATTCCTTTGTCACTGTCCACCCTGTCTTGTGAATGGTCTGGTGGCTTGCCTTGTGATGAATCGACCGCAACACTGCCCCCAGATGGGGCTCTGCCTTACCTGTGGGTATGAACAGTGTATGCCCCTGCTTGACCACACACTTGTAGCAGTAGTCCACACGGTCCCCGAGGAAGATCTCGCTCTGGTGCGGTGACGAGTTCCACTCTTCGTATCGCTGGAGGTTCTCTGGCGTCGGCCTGATCATGAAGAAGACTTTCTCTCCCTGGACACAAGTCAACATTGCAAACATGTTTTCCTTTATGTTTTGTACTTAACTCTAAATCTGTTTAAAATCAAGGGAAAATGCAATAAAAATGTTAACAAAAATCCAGCTCATCCCTGGCTCCAAGAAGTTCCCTGTGACATTTCTGTGTAAAACATTGAAACCAATGACGCCGGATCATTAGAAAATGCTGATCTCACAACCAGTGTTGAACACAAGACTTCAGACCAAGAGGAAGCGACCGCGCGTGGGAGCAATTCCCAGTCTAAATTTATGCTGAGAACAAAGTAGCATTTGCCAAATTAAGAACAATCAACTCAAGTTTGGGAATAAGCCATCATGACAGGTATTTTGGATCACCAACATGTCAAATATAACATTCGACAGCTGTCAAAGTGCCCTGGCTGCTAAGGGTAACAACTCCAGCAGGTCATCTATTCAACGGCCAAGCTATCTCAGTCAACAGCTGCTGACCACCACATGATCCAGCTGTGATATTGTGCATTGGAACTGCCTCCCATTGCCTCAGAATGGACAGTTTTCCCTTCTGCTAAAGTTCTACCCAATGCAACAGCGGTTTAACAGGTACATATGCCTGTTGCACACCCTTGCGTTTGGCAGGTCACGATTTAAGACAGATAAGGCCCCCCAAAAAAGGCTCCAGTTTCTGGTCAGGGGCTAGCTCCAAAAGTGATGCGGCGACAAGTTTTTTAAAATTTACCCTCAGTTTTTTCCTAAAAATGATGAACGTATAACGCACGCTAATGTCCATCACGACAGCATGCGTACGTACCGCCACTACCAACACTAAAATAGACTGGCCCCCTTACTACTTACTGCTTAAAAGCATTTTCTGTTTCTAGATGTTCAAAGGATATATCCAGCAAGAAATGGGACCGAGGGGTACCCCCCAACATGTCCAGTCGCTATAGACACTCTAGACTATTGTTATTTAACACATCCCCCCCAGATGTCTGAAAAGAATTCCTCAGATTCCAATCAAACTATTACCAACACAAAGCAGGGGGGGCTCTCTCCATCTCATATCTTGCTTCATACGTGAAAAAGAGTTTCTGACTAAATGTATGGGGGCCTAGAAGGACTCCTTTACAGTACATATTACTCATCCGTACCCCATCTAAAACACGTTAAAATTACACAGTCAGTAGCATTATTCCAGTCGACCAAGCAAGTTTGGCAGCTTTTTGGACATTGTATTATATCAGATAAAAACTTTTTGTATTTTGCCGCTGCACAGGGCTACGGCGATGCACGTGCTGGCCAGAAACCTGAGACTTTTTTAGGGGCCTAATCCATCTTTTTCTTTCTAATAAAAGAGTTTGAGGGCCTGACCTTTCGATCCGAGGAGAGCCTTTCTCAAAAGGCATAATGGATTGGTTTCTGCTGTGTACTTACCCTCAATACATGATACCAGACAGACGTTCCCCCGAAGTCCACGTGGAAGTCTGTGTAGCTGTCCTTGACGCCCATCAAGCAGTATTTGGAGACCTCCGGCTTGCCGTAGTGGCAATCTTCGGGCAGCTGGTCCGGCCAGATGTTCTCCACCCAGCTTATCTCACGGACCACCTTCGGGGCCTGGACCAGGTTGGAAAGTCTGGGGGAAGAAATGGGCGATTCCAGTGATAAACCTGTTTCCTCATTTCTTGATGGAATGACAGCATTAACACTGACAGCCTTCAATCCAGTGACATTGCCAATGGTCATTGCTGATGACTGCCAACAACCACTTCCAATAGTCATTATGATACCCTTTGGCCAGCAGGAATGTCAAGTGATAATGTAATCACTCCATTTGGCTACCGCACTGACATTTTCATGTTTGTTTTCAGCATCGAGAAGGGAGAATCTGAGAATTAGGAACTTTTCTATTCCTTTTGGAACCGTCCTTTAGAACATGGATCATGCCCACTTGGCAAACAGCAGTATTCTCAATGAGTTTCAAAGTCCATTATTTGCCCTTGCAAACCCAAGAATTAAACCAGCGTGTGGTAGCTCTTTTCAAATGGTAGATTGCCTGAAGTACAAAAAAACATTACTTGGGGAGCTCTTTCCATTAATACAAAGACTCAGGAGGTAATCTGCACGTTGATCTTACCTAGCCCGATTAACGCCGCTTTGAATAAACTAGGGCTTACTTGGTGCCGGAGAACTCCAGGCTGATGACGTTGAGCACCTTGTCCCTGTTGGGACTGTTGTAGTAGTCCACCCACTGCCGCATGGGCATCTTGCACTCGTTCTGGCGGGGGACGTCGATGGCGTCAATGTCTCTCATTGAACCTGGGGGGGGGAAGGCAGGAAGGAAGGCAGGGCAATGTCTGAGAGTGAGCAATGGGCCCCATGATGTTGTGTAATAGGACCATATGTACCAACCCCTCTCTCTCTGCTTTTACTTCCTCTGATGCACTCCATGTGGGGCAGACAATGAGGCATTGAACCCAAACTCTGTCAGAAGCACCAGAGTGCAACAGGTGTGCCCGTCTGGTGCGCTTTACATCATTGGGAAATCAAGGGCGACAAAATAAGCTGCCCACATTGAGGTAACAGGAGCTGTTCCCATAGAACAATGCCACTGTTGGATGCTATGGTGGTTAGTAACTTCAGATTCTGAGGCCAATTGGCCTTGGGAATAGTTGACCTTGTGGATCCGATTTTGTTGCACTCCGTAGGAAAGTAACTTTGAGTGATGCAGAACAATACATCCAACAGGATTTTCTAGCCAACAGACCCCAGAGGTTTAGGGTAAAGCTGACCGATTGATTCACAGGCCGAGATTTAGAAAACACTTTACCGACATATCTTTCCACGTCAGACACTGTGAATGTCTGCGGGGGCACCTGCAGGCCAAGGCCCTCCTTGCTCTCTACCAGGATGGGCTGGGTGAATCCGTTCCTCTCCAGGTAGGGCACCGTCAGCTCCGAGCCGTTCAGTCGGAGCAGGATGTCATCGCCCTCGCTGAAGGTCCTGTTCTTGAGACTCTTGATGAATACCAGGGTGCCAGACTGCACGGCCTGAACAATACAAGGATAAGGGTGGCTAGAAACTGACAGGAGGGAAGTTTTTTTGAGCACAGAAAAGACTTGCTTAAAAGCTTACCAGCCAAATATAATAGAGTGTTTAACATCGCGGTTGACTAGTTCATTTCTGCAAGATAATTTGAATGAAATGTTTTCTGCCTAAAAGACACTGGATGCTGCGTTAATTGAAGAGGATACTGTTTTAGCTGAACAACCCAGGAAAGCATTTTGCATCTGACAACTAAACTTCATTAAACTAGTGACTGTGTCAAATCCAATACAAGAGTTGACACAGTTCAAAAATAACTGCGAACATCTGGGCGCAAGGCCCAGCTCCACAATGCCAATTCCTTGTCCTTACCTTACTGAAGTTGCTGTCTTCCGTGTAATCATGTCGGTGCCAGTTTCTTCTCTTTTTCACTGAAATCCAATGACAAAAAAACGAATAACAAAACCAACTTGGCTTCACTACAAAAACGAATGCATTAGTGTTTTGCAGGAACCTCAATTTTCTACCAACTTGGGCTTTGATCAAGAAATGATCAAAAAGAAAACTGTGTGGGGATTCTCATAAAATGCAACCAGTGTGTGCAACCGGTGATTCACGCATTTTGTTTGGAGAAGCTGCAAAGCAATGGAGTTGGAAGATCCAACAAAGAAGCGTGTTGAAAAGAAACTGGCCAAGTCACCACACCAACTGGAAATCTGCATTGTTTTTTCTTAACTCCTAGGGGAGTCTAGAATCAATTACAAAGGCCTAATTGCCATGCTGATTTAATTGACTGTGATTGAGAACTAATGAGAAACAGACCGTACATTTGTGTGGGTTCCAGCTGTCAAATGGAAGAGGTTTTATAAACTTATGCTGTTATTCTGAGACATTGAGGGAAAAAACAAAATAAATAAAAGCACTGAACCAAAGACAAAGTGGCTGCAACAATGTGCACGTAACTACAATGTTGGTTATTAGTTTGCCAGTGGAAAATCTGGCTATTGTATCACTTGGAAGGAGGGGCTTGCAGTAGTTTGTAGGGTACCAGATGTCACAGACTCAAGTGACGCAAAAAAATGGTGTGAGTCTGGCCGAATGGGTGCAGTATTTCTTGCATCACTGACAGACTTCATACAGTAGAACGCTTCTACAACGAACACGAAGGAGTCCACGCTAAATGTTCGGTACAGTGGTCGTTCGGTGTAGCGAAATTAACTGCTGAATGTCTCGTTGCCATGTTGAATAGCACCCTCTCTTGTCTAACTGAAGTGCACCCTCTTGTAATACTATGATCTGCTGTTGTGATGTTTTGCCGTCGCATTCACATTTGAGGTTTCTAGAAATGTATCCGTTAGTTATTTTGTTTTTTATTAAATATTCAGTTACAAAATTGGTCTTTAGTTTATCCTAAAAGTCGTGAAGCTACCGCTCAGGATCGATCTCTGATGCATGCTGTGACGAATCTCAATTGATTTGCAACTAGGTGATTCCATAAATATGGGACCCAATGTGTGACACTTTTGGTGTCCCCCTTACACATGAAACAAATTTTGAAGCTCGGTTGACACTACAACAGAGAGACACTTGGAAAAAGGAAAGGGGTAAAAATGACAAGCTTGTGTGCTGCCTAATATACTGTTAACTGGACAAAATATTTCATTAAGTCGTTACAGTATAAGGTGCGAACAAAGCGATTGGTTTCACGCGTGAGGAGGACACCAAAATTGTCACAAGTTGGGTCCCAAATTTATGGAATCACCCAACTGCATAGTGTTCGGTAGGTTTTGTGCACAAAATATTGGGAGCCAAGGACGATGTTCAGTACAGCCGAATGTTCGGTACAGCGGTGTTTGGTACAGCGACGTTCCACTGTATATCCACTCTGAGTAGGACCGAGTTCATGTTATTAGTAAGGCTGAAACAATTCACCGATGCATTGATAATCGCGATTCTGAAATGCCACAATCTGGCATCGTGATACAAAAATGTTAATCGTGACATGGGAGGGGGGTAAATTATGATAATATGTGCTGTAAATTGAAAATAAAGTTATAGGCCTAACAAAACTTTAAAATACACAGCTTTTTATATTTAATGTGGCCTATACTCTTGCAAGAAATAGTTTGCATGGGTTTAGCATCACGGTCAACTCATCACAGACAGTAGGCATGTTTTACACCACATAACCGATGACATCATAGTCTATATGAGGTTTAAGGAGCACAGTAACTGGATGATTGACATGCATAATGCAGTGACAGCGATGTACAAGTACACAATGTACGGTGTACAGTTTGCACATACAGGTGTATGTATCATGATATGTATAGTATCGTGACCAAAGTATTGCGATATGTATCATATCGTGAGAAAGTGGGATCGTTAAACTCCTAGTCCAATGCCCCTTTGGTAGGAACTCACTGTGCGAGTGTACAAGTTCACAAACATTCAGCATGAGTGCCCAATTTCTGTCAGATTGTACCGTCCTATTGCGCCAGGTGCACGTTCAACACCTGTTAAACACTTCCCACCAGCCAATCTTTGGTTGTCCAGTGAGCAAGTGATTCCAGTCACAGCAGGTGAACAAACTACACATGAACAACAACTTACATATAAGTGGGCCTTGCTTCAGTTCACAGTTGGGGCAGTGGTACTCTTCTATGTCAGCTGACTGGTCTTCTCGTATGCCTACACAACTGTAAATGAGTTTGGATAATGAATGTTACATACTAGCTACACTGTTTAACGGTTTATCCGTAACGTGTGAAAATGGAAAGTTTCCTGCTTTTCAATAGCAATGACAGTCCTTTGGTGGGAATTAACCGCAGGTTTAATGCAAGTTTGGTACAGGACGCACTGAGTACATGACCACTTTATATAGGGGTGTATGGTGCTGCTTGGCATGTGCGACTGGCACCCGGATGAAACGATTTCCACCAACCTGCCTTGTCTTACAAGATCTACCGGTATGCATCCAGTCAAAGTGTCATTACCAGCAAACATTACAGGGCAGGGCAGGAATCACTCTTCTGTTCAACGGACATGTGCCGTAGTATACAGCCAAACATGCCGATCGTTTCTTGAAGAGAGGCACGATCTTAAGTAAAAGGTCTGAATTTTTTCCAAAAATAGCACGTAGACAGTCCAGAAAAACCATTGTGGCTATGTGTTAAATGCTTTTCAGCATGGACAGCTTTTCGTGGGAAGATGTGATTGAAGAAGTGCAGTTTTAGACAGAGCAAACGGGCACATTCAGAATCCCATAGCATTACAAAGCAATGAAAACTTGCACCTGCGAGGAACACGGAGGGTGCTTCACAATTCTGGGAGTACATGTTTACGTACAGTGAACTCTTCCTCCTTAGGCTTTGCCAACCCTTCTTGACTAGGCCCAGTATGTATTTGCTTTCTTATATCTAGTATCATTTATCATGTTTAGCTTACCAGGCCTACTGCTTCCAGAACGGTGTAAGGTTTTATACAAAACTTGCCACTAGCCATGTACAAACTTGCATAGGCCTAAACACAGTTTGGCTGCTTTGACTGTGCCAACTTACTCTTTCATCACAAATAATCTGTGTAACAAATTTCACACATGACTTTCTGTGAAGTTAGATGTCTGATGGGGAGGATTATTCACCTTATACATGTTATATCCTCATTAAAATGGTGAAATTCTTCGGCATTTTGCTCATCCACACTACAGAAAATTAGCAGTCTCAATGACTGTAAGAGTGACAGCTTGACCAATCCCAACACAGCTCCTATCTTTTCCTTTTGTTTTCTTGACCCAATCAAAATGAAAGCCGAGTTTGTAAATAGCTACGTATATCTTAGCCCTACACGTAGGGCTGTGGATGTTCTCTTTTGAAATCTGTCTCTTATCTGTCGCCATCACAGCCCTACTTCAAAGCATGTCTTAAATGCCTAAAATCCAAACTGCAGGATTGTCACAAATTTTAAGTCCTAGTATCTTCTGAAGAGAGAATGACTTGACAATTTTACCTTCACCGGTGTATTCCTCAGAGTTTGGACTTTTAAATAAGCACCTTAAAGCTTTCCCAAACCGTGTACTTTCCGATGTATGGTGCCTTGAAAAACCCAACCTGTGATATTCATATGCTAACCATGGGCGTCGCCATTTTGAAAAACAAAGGCAGTGCTCCATGCATCGGAAGTCAACGCACCCGATAGGTGCCGTAGATGCATAATTCATATTGTCACAGTATTGCTTAGAAATAAGTTGCGTGCGCACTTTGCTAGTGCACCCACAGCACGTGTGTGGAGCATGGTACAGTGACTTGCATATTAATGTTATTCAAATCTAGTTTCACTGGTTCCTTGTTTGTCTGCCATGCAAGGGGACGGGGAACGAGTTTTGTATGGTACAACCTATACCGGATCGTCTATCGGTTGTCTTGAAATCTGACGCACAAGGCGCTGCTTTAATTTTTTTAACCCCTCCATACAGGGAGCCGCCCACAGCCACAGCTTTGTTTAAGGATTAGTGCATACCCCACATACAGTCTATTCTGTATTCACCATGCAGCTGCTGGTTCAATGGGGTCTGCTGCTGGATAGAGCTTTGCATACTGGGCATACCACAGCCCAGCAGTCATGGTCAAAAGTATCCCAGCATGAAGGGGTTAAATGGTGATGCATATGGTTAAATGGTCAGCATATGAATATCACAGGCCGGGTTTTTCAAGGTGCCATACATCAGAAAATATATGGTTTTGGAAAGCTTTAGGATCCTCAGATAAAAGTCCAAAATCTGAGGAATACGCCAGTTTAGGTAAATTTGTCGCGTCATTCTTATTTCCGAAGATATAAAGATTCAAAGTTTGTGACAATCCTGCAGACAGTGCAGTTTGGATTTCAGGCATTTAAGACATGCCTTGAACATGTTGAAGCTAGGGCTGTGACGGCAACAGAAAAGAGACAGATTTCAAAAGAGAGCCATCCACAGCCCTATGTCGTTAGGGCCGGGGCTACTGTAACTACGTTTGTATGAACCTTTTCTGGAACTTATGCATGACATGTCTACCAAGTACCAACATGACCAATGAGATAATATTAAATGTAACTAAAGTAATGATGTCCATTGTATATTGTTCTTCAGTTAACCACCATCTGTTTACAGATGATGATTGTCAAACTCCACGATTAACGTCACGCGGTCATGTATGTGTGTTTGGTGTTGAAAATACCGGACATTCTCCAAAGATGAACGAATTGCATATTCGTACGACGTGTGTACTTGAAGTTGTACGATATTATACTGGTGCCCGATTATTTTACACGTACGGTAAATTATAAATTCATATATCTCGGGAACGAAAGATTTTAAAGACTGACATCTGGTAACAAGGAAATCTAATGTTCCTCACCTCCCATGGAACCAGTCTTGACACGTGTCACATTCTATCATAAACTGTGAAGCGTCGTAAGGTTGTCGACAAATACAGTACACTGGAGCTTTGATTGTCGACGCCATTTTTCTAAATAAAAAGCTTTAACCACGCACGGCATGCTGGGAAGGTATTTCTGCTAAACTACGGTAGTCTGTAACGTACATATTCAACAACATTTTAGTTTTCTGTCAGTGGATGGTACGGTACGGGTCGATTGATTCAAAAAGGAAAACAGAAATCAAAACCTTTGGAGGAACAATCCTTGACAAGCATTGGTTTTCATCTCAGAAACTGCCGAGTGAAAGATTCTATGGTCACGTTTGAAGAAAGTTTCCCAACCTCACCATACCCCCAACAGTTCCATTCTGAAGCGATCCAATTTCAAAACTAGTTTATAAAAAAACAGCCACAGATTTGTAGCAAAAAATTGAGAAACCAAAAGATGGACATAACAGGGAATGAAAAAAAAGGACATAGCTCATACCCAGCTTCCGAGTGTCAACAATTGTTAATTTCATAGGGCATGGTGCTTCTACAGAGACATCCAAGTTCTCAAAGTTTAGCAATAACATGAATCTCATCTGTGCTCATCTGTTTATAAACTTCACAATGACCCAGAAACAGAATGCGACAAATGTTTCAAAGGGTGAGAGCAATTACCAGAGTTATTTAAAAAAAAAAAAAACCTACAAAAATTTAAGACAAAAAAAGGGAACAAAATATGGTTCAAATACTTTGTGGAATTAGCTAAAAATATGGCTTCATTTTGCCACTCAAGCTTGGTGTTACAGGAGATACAAATGACAAATATACGTCAAAATGTTCTCAATTAATTTGCTCTCCTTTTTATTTCATTTACATACCATTTCCGTACTGAATGTGCCAATACTGCAGAATGTTATTATCATCATATCAGAGGAAGACATTACTCAATCTGAGTCCTATACTAAACGAATGTGCTTGGCCCGTCTTAAATGTTGCTGAGCACATATTTATTCCCGTTCATAAATATCTTTATAGTCAGAGAGAGTCAAAAGAAGTCACCATATGATGGATTTCCAATGATTTTATTCTGGAATTTTACTTTCATTTTCCTTAACATGCCCCATCCATTTTATGGAATATTCCTTGTGCAAGTTGTCCAAAAGAATCTCCTTATATGAACTTGGTGTGCGCGTGGCGAGTTGTGTGCACACAGACTCCATGACCAATCAGAATCGATTAAACTGTCTCATATCCAGGTGCTAGTGCCAGATTTATGCAGCAGGCATTATCACTTCTCATCAGTGGGCATTATCACTTCTCAGCGGACATTATCAAATGTTAATGTACGGTCAAGTTGCACACTGTTGAATAAGGAGACTGAGTTATTTATGAATATATATTTATGAATGTACAGTGTCTTTAGTTTTTCATATGATCGTGTCAGATGGCAGCCCCTTCAAAGTGATCCATGCAATTTAGCTGCAGCACAAAGCTTCCCTGTTTATAATTTTGAAAAAAAAACCTCATAAAACAAAACAAAAAAATTAACAAAACAATGTCCCCAAAACAAAAAATAAACTAAAACACAAGGTACTTATTTTCATATAACAAATACATCTCCATCACTGACCATGTAGTATGTTTTGAATGATTACTCTCTATGGGGCAACATCCTTGAAAGTTTCCAGACTTATCATAGATCACATGGCACTGAGATTGTGTGGAATTCCACATAATATAAAAATGTTTCCATAACTACAGTAAAAATCAAATAAAATTTCTGTTTCTTAATAGTGACAAAGAATTCAATATAAGGTTTATTTTGCCATATTGAATATGTTGAATTACATCGACTTGATCCGAAATACACAGAATCTTTCTCTGTACCTTACCACCAAAAAGTGAATCGGATTTAATTCTAGTTATCTCAGTCTTGCCATCTATTTACTGGACAACAGGGGAACATGCCCCTTCCCTTTTTAAGATTCAGTATCCCCTACCCCTGAGAAATACGTAAACCTGAGGCAATGCCCTCCTTCCTGTTTGTTCCCATTATTTGAAAACAATTTCTTAATCATTTCTTGTGCGTCATCTGCAAAATTTGGGTCTCAACACTGTTACAGTAAAAGAAGGAAGTGGGAGACCAAGTAAACAAAAATTCTCTCGTCCAGGTTTCTTTTAACAAGGAGGTGGCATCTCCCATTTTTAAGATCGGTGTTTTTTCAAGATGGTGGATGGACCATTTTGCTTTAACATTCCGTACTTCTGTGACTAACAGAGCTTTTACACAATCTAACAGGTTTAAGGCTTACAAGTGTGCACATGATCTATGCACAAATGCACCATTCTGCCGGTTTGGTTAATCCCAAAGGGTAATCAACACTAAAATAAAAAAAAAACTGAGGAAAAAGGAGGCAGTTCAGTGTGTCCAATCCTGGGCTCTCTCTGTCACTAATGAGATCGCATCTGGGTGCAGAGTCCACGACAGAGTGAAATCAAGACAAGGACAGAAACACAGACCAGATGGAATTCTCATCAAAGATGTACTTGCTAAACTGGCTGGAGTTGTCTGAGGGAATACCTGATGGGACAAATGGGAAAAAAATTCATTCTACAGAAAATGCACTTTTAATAGTTTTCATCTTAAGATATTTAGAAATAACTTCATAAAAAGGAAACAAAATTTGACAACACTTAATTATCTGTGCAACGACTGTGAAAATATTTTCCATTTTGAGGCCCATTTCCTAAATGGGTCACAAGCCTAAAAGTCAAGTAACTATCTAAGTTAAAAGCCTGAGGCTAATGATGCCAGTAGGTCCTTGGACTGAAAGTTTTCACAGACAAACTCGCTTGAAGCATCAAACCTCATTGGAAAATGACAAACATAAGAGATGGAAATAAACAAAGACAAAATAAGGAGACATAAAGAGTTTTAGAACGATATTTTTTACATGAAGTATTTGTGACGACTTAAAGTCCACCTGCAGAGGATGCTCGCAGCTTTAAAGAAACTATTTAATGCAGAACAACTGAAGTGAAGGCAGTACAAACCTTCTGGGCCATCCAGCTTAAAGCAGTGTGCAAGGCTGTAGAATGCACCTGAAAGTATTGGAACAGAGTCTACAGACTCACTGGGACTGCTTGGCACACCTCTCCTCAGCAAACTCGATACGAGATGCCTTGGAACCCAGTACAGGTCCTGGGAGGTATCCATACTGACAATCTTAGACGTGACCATCGACCCAAGCCATTCTCTTACGTACCTGCAAAAAGGATCAGTATCTTGGTGTAAGCTCTCTCTGACATGTCTAAAGGATTAAAGCACTCAACACTTGGCAAGGTTCAACATAGGTGAGGCAAAAATTTTGATTTAAAATGAAAGGAAGCAAAATGCAGATGAAATGGAGTCATGCTTAAGTTTCTGAAATCAACGTCACTTTTTCACTGACTCTTCAAATTTATTTCAGTGTTATAAAACACCCTCCTTAATGTCCGTGGCAGCACCAGACTCTACATTTTATTTTTTTTTGGAGGGGGAGAGTTGGAGAGGTGAAGAAATATTTTTTTTTGGGGGGGGGGAGGAAGAAATAAATCAGTGGCATGGCCATGTGCTTGAAGTATCGTTACATTCCAGACCCATGCTTCTTTGTACACTGCATGCCCACTGCATGCTTCGGGCGGACGTCTACGATGTACATTCAGTGCTCGTATGGAATCGACATCGAAGCTGGTACTCGTTGCAAAGTCTATGTGTTTATTGTGCAAGATTTTAAGACAGCCAATCGGGGTGGCGTGACATCGAAATACACTTCAATGGGTTTGGAAGCAACTGAAAACAAGGATTTTTGTGTTTTTAATAGGCTTATGGATGTTTGTGGAAAAAGGCCTGACGACCAAGGTCAATTTAGGGCAAGAAAAAAAATGGCCGTGAGGACAGAGATTTTTTGTAGGGCACCTCTGCCAGTGAGAAGGGCAACGACGGCACCGGCTGTTGTGGCCGTCATTCAATTCAAGCCTGGTGAGGGGAACTAAGGGAAGAGGGGAAGTGGGACATACCCAATCCATACCCCCACCGCTCGTAGTGTGGCAACTGCCTGATGTACCTTCTATTTAGAGGCATTCAGTTATGGTAACTGTACCTTTCTTTGAATTTGCCAGCAGCGGCTATTTCTTGGCACGACATTGGTCGGTTGTGGGAGACCATGATGTCAAACAGGCCTACTTCCACCCCGAGGGCAAGGGCAAGGGAAACCAAACCCCATTTGACTTTTTCTCCAAGAATGGATGAAAAGGGCTTGGCCTTGTATGGCCCATCTTCACTGGTTTCAACTGAAGAGGTGGTGCCCTGACTCAGCAGAGTTTTGGCCTGTGAATTATGAAGAAAGGAAGTCCCCACAGCTGAAGCCAGATCAGTTGACTATTTTCAATTGCAATCATTGATGTGGCACATTATACTATGTACCACCAATCGTCATTCTTTCCATAAACGTCACAGCTCCCCAACCAATGATGCCGGTTGCTTCTTGGTATAAATCAACAAAATGGATCCTTCAAAATTAAAATGTGCATACCACATTGGTGTGTATTCTCTGTGTGGCACAAAGTGTTAAAATGTTGCTGTTCAGCGTGTGCCTGTCTCCCATGCAAGGTTTATGCACACTCCAATGAAAATTATGTATAAGTGTGCCTAACACAGGAGCCAAGATACCTGCTATCTACTGTTCACAAAGAGTGTTGCACATTAAACTCGGAGCATCCTACATGTATGTATTTTTTACCTTTATCTTCTGGCAGCACAAATGCATGCTGATATCGCCCAGGACATCAGTCACCGATGTGACCTTGAAGCCGCATTCCTCCAGCATGGCTGTGGCGGCCTCCTGGCCCCACACGGCCCCAAGACCATCGCTTCCGTCCACGCTGAGTGACACTGGCATGCAATTCATCAGACTGAATGCATAGAGGTTGGGCCCCGAAGCCACGTCCAGGTTGGCGGCGAGGCTTGAGTGACACGACGGCTCAAGTGCAGACATGATGCCCTCGTCAGACAAGACTCGGTTGAGCTCGGCCAGGCCGGGCCGAGGGTGAGGCAGGTCATGGAGGCCCGACCGGCTGAAGATGTACTGGAACTTTCCCGTCCATTCTGATGGTAGGTGGGTGATGTCATGACAGACCACGCGAGCGTTGGTCAGCTGCGCCTCGGCCACTTTTTCCTGCGCAGTGCATACTGCAGCTTGCGAGATGTCAAAGCCGTAGAACTGGGACTTTGGGAAAGCTTTGGCCATTGCGGCTGTAGCAGAGCCTTCGCCGCAAGCGACATCCAAGACACATATCCCTTCCTCTGAAATTGAAAATGACTGCGTGTTTAATTAATTCTTAGATTTAAAAACCAATGATTCTTCAAAGAGATATATAGTTCAACCACTTCTTCACAGCGACACACAGAAACCAGAACTTTCAGATCAAAACAAAGGAGTACCTTGGAAAAACCCAAATGGGTCATTTTAAATATGTTTGATATCCACAAGCTGATTATCATGAAGCAAAACATGATAAAGCACAATGCATTCTTCAAGTATCTGATAAAAGAAAACAACAAGACAACAGGTATCGGATTCCAGAATTGTGACGAGGAAATTTAAGCAAAAACGTCATGAGAATTGATCCTCCTCAGCGCACCATGTTGGATAATTTGAACTGAACAATTAACTCTTGGAAAGATTTCTGAGGTAAAGCAGAACAGTATCAAAAGCCAACAAGTTTGTCCTCGTGGTAGAGGATGGCATAAGAAAGACCAATTGATGAAAGGCCAATTAAAGTATGTCATTACAGCGCACTTATACATTCCATGGTTTGGCTATAGGTACATTATTTATGGTCATTCATTTCTTGTAAACCCGGGGCCGTAACAAGTCAGGTGATCTTTTAAGGTTTTGATTGCTGAAATACGCCTACTCATTTTCACCAAACTGCAAATTAAGTCACTCTAGCTCTGGACCGTTCTCTACTCACCAAGTCTTTTCATCAACCCTGGCACAGTCGCTAAAAAGGACTGCACCAGATAGTGGTTGAACCAAACCGAGTTACGACCAGAAATGTATCGGTCAAAACGGCTGTACTGCTCGGGTGGGACCCCTAACGGCAGAGAGAGAGAAAAAAAAAACACAAACCAAACTCAGAGGCTTCATTCTGAAAGAAGAAATTGAAGAAGTTTATAAGGCACTTTGTTCAGCTGTCTTTAAGTCTTCCATTTTTATTATTTGGTGTTGTGATGAGGATGATAGCCACACAACATTGTGAACACTTCATGAGTTACTCTTTTGCTGTTGTAATCGATGGTGGGCAATATTCTTTACTGCCATTGGTAGGTGAAAATACAACTGTGATGTAGCAGTAGATCTCCATACACACCTTTAGGGCCGTCCAACTTGACGCACTCTTTCACGCTGTGAAATGCCTCAGACAGCATGGGAATGGCCAGTGTTGACATGATCGATTGGCCCTGTTTACTGTCCTTCCGCAGGCTGGGCCAGAGGTCCTTTGGCACCCAGTAAGTCCCCTGAGATGGGTTCACGCTGACCACCTGAGCTGTCACCATTTCATCAAGCCATGCCTCCACATATCTGTAATGGAATTCAGAATGAATAGACATTCTGGGTAAGTCACTATCAGTGTTTTCACAATTACAAGCTAATATTTTAGCAAAACATTAAATTTCACGCAGCATTCACAAAGCAGCTAGGCTCTGGGTCTAAAATAGCCTTTGATCAAGGCGCTGGTGGCAAAATGGATAGTCGCTCAAGGGCGAGGAGCTGGAGGAGACTAGTTTAAGCACCAAACAAGCATTTTTTGGTGACTCAACTCAAGTTCCAACAGGGTTACCACTCGAGTAACTGTGCGTAAAGGACTCAACTTACTCGAGTCACAAAGTCAGTGACTTTTTAAGTCACAAAATTCAGTGACTTTTCAACTCTGTGTACAGGTACATGTCTATGTTGCTGCAGAAGGAGGAGATTTATTACAGGATCATTTATTCTTTTCAGCGAAATCTGAATATTAACAGGAAAGGAAAACAAAAACAACAAAGAAAGAAAATTACAGAAAACATCCAGCTTCAATCACCGCATACTAACATCAGGTACGTCCTTTTATATTAAAATCTTATCGTAACACATTTTATATGACCTTTCCTTATATTTGCCTGCATTTGCTATCTCCTGGCACGTCTTGGGCTGGCCAAGTGACATCATGACATCAAACAGTCCAGTTTCCATCCCCAGACCAATGGACAGGCAGTACAGGCCACTCGCAACAATGGCACGAATATGTGCTGAGAAATCCCCTGCTGCTATTTCATGTTGCATTTCATAGTGATGATCTGTCATGTTTATCTGTGCTTGCAAATGAGAAAGAAATGGAGCAGATGGCAAAGTTTGCAAGAAGTCAGAGTCTTCATACCTGTCCAACATTTCGGAAGTAAATTATGATACTGTTTTTTAAGTTCACAAGTTTTAAAGTTTAATTCTAATCACTGGTTATTCTTGAGTTTTGCACAATCTACATGATCGCTCTCGGCACGACTGGGCCAATGCGGTATGAAAACTCCGACTTAACTTCCCCGTTTTGAAACAACACGTTTCAACATTCCTCAATCAGAAAGAAAAGGTGATTTTACCACTGCACAAAGACCAAATGATTCCGCCCCACATAAACACAAGAAATTTTAACAAGCACGACTCAAATGTGAAAAACAACCTTTTCTCAGACAGTTCTCCTCAGCAGAACAGATGTCCATCATAAATCATAGCCTTCACCTTTAACAAGGTGACGTGGCAAGTACACAGTGGTCAGATATGGAACAGTTCATACCGAAACGAAAACCATGCTCGGCTGCTCAGACTACATGTACGTCCCAAGATACATAATACATGTATATACAGATATTAAAATTCTGACACAGAAGTGGTTAAAAGTATTTTCCCATTGTCTACACAAGCTTGTTGTCCGCCGCGCTCCGATGACAAACCATAGTTTTGGGGGCACTACAGGGGCAGATCCCTGAGGGGGGAACCTCGTTCTGAGCAAAAACAAAAAAATGTAAAAAAAATGGGGGAAAAAATGGGGAAAATAATTTTAAAAATTGGCCTATATAGGTCTTAATCAAGTAAGTGTAACAATTTACGATACCATTCTGCCATGTACCGGTACATGACCAGTGTAGGCTTAATAATGTTTCATCATCGCTTCAACTTGTCGGCAAAAATGAGACATGATCATTACAATAAATATCTGGCCTGACCACCCTCCCTCGGAAAATTACAGGATCCGCCCCTAGGCCGGGGAAGAGTTCAATATCCATTTACAGACGCCAGTAATTTATTCCCTACACGACCTGTTAGCCATCAGAAAGCTAAAACATGTCCAGAAAAGTTCAATTTAGGAGAGAAAAACCAAGTCGTTTACTTAGAAAACACAAGTTTTCAGACCATTCCCATCCCGGCCATAGGGTTTGTGCACAGTGTCAAGTGGCACCTGAACGCTTTCCTGGACCCCGCTGTTGTACTGTTTATCACCATCTTGTCATATCATCGCTTCACTTAGCAATACAAACCACTCTCTGCTTTTGATCTGTAGAGCAGTATAGTTTGAGATCAGTGAGCTGGAGACTGCCTCGCCTCCCTGATGTAGCTGGGGGGACATGATGTGATATCGAGGGTAGTCAAGGATTGTATACCGCGACATGTAGTTCATAGTGCACGCAATTTAAAGCTAAATGGGGATCATGGACTACTCGGGCAGTGTGTACAAGCCCCGGCCGTACGCGTTGCGGACTGCAACCTTTGAACCAGACATCAAGCAGCGTGCACAATCGGCGTGAGGCTGATGATCGTCACGAGGAGAAAATACGGATTTGTTTATAACGTTTATCAGGCCAACTGCAGGATGTGGGAGAACAGACAGTGCTCCTGAAGAGAACATTGACAAGACGAGCTTCAGGTAAGCCAAATACGTGAATGAGTCCAAAGGGGTCCATTGTTAGGCCTACTTGATTACACTTGAACATGATTCAACAAGATATCGGAAGTACGTGAGCCCAGACTGGAGCATGCACGGGGGTAAGCCCTCACTATTGGCCTCCAGCGTAGCCTACATGTGGCCTGGCCATGCGGAACTCTTTATGTGAAAAGCGCTTCGCGCGAAGAAAAAACGCTCAGAGATACTCAGAAGCATTCTGTTTTTAAAGTCTTGAAATCATTTTAAAGCCGACAGGTTAGCTTAAACCACTGTTGGAACAAACCTGGCTTGTCTGGAAAGATGACTGTTGATCATATCATATTCATTACCACAATATCACAATCGTCATGATTGTAATCAGTCATCTAGTCTGGTCATTCCAGTCCAACATGTCCAGTTTCCTAGCATGCTTCTAAAGAACAGTCTTTCCTACCTGAAACCTAGTGATGTAGCGTGTTGATGACCATATTACCCCGAGAACTGTGGGGTTACACATTTGCAGCACCCCCATGACGGAGTGCGGCAGACGCCCACAGTTCTGGTGGAAAGCACATTCATGATACATGTACAACAGAGTTTATCAGTACATTTACATGTAAATACCCTTAATAACAATATTTTTCATCCATGCTTTTTTCAGGATCCTGAACTATGCAATACATTATAACATAGCTTTTTTTGTGATGCAAACAAATTCAAAAGTTAGTAAACAGGTGATAAATATTCTAGATCTTTGGAAAAGCTTCATCATAAAGTTTCCTTTGAAAACACAGCGTGAATACCTGAATAAAAAACAAAGCATGATGGCTTGACAAAGAGTTGATTAATAAATACTGACTGTGTTGTGCTTTCTCTTTGCAGCTGATCACTAACCCAGTGGCATAGCTAGGATTTTACTAGTGGGGGGCACCAGCATTTTCTGGGGGGGACACCAGCTTTCAGGTGTAGTTTTTTGGGGGGCAAGTTTTTGAATAGCCTTGTTCAATATCCATTTATCCCTTTTTTGTTTTTTTTGTTGGGGGGGACACCTGTGGGGATCCCCTCCCCCGGCTATGCCACTGCAGTGTGCACTACCCTGACAAGTTTAGCAGCTGTGTTAAGATGTGTCCGCAGCTGTAATTGTAGAACAATAGTAGAATGCTGTATTGTACAATTCCAAGGAAGCATACATGTAATGTATTTAAGCACATCTGCACGAGGCAAACCTGTTAAAAATCTTTTTTCTTTCTAAATAAAAAGCATCAGCTTTTGATTTAAATGATCTCTGTATGAGCTGTCCAGAAGGCTTTTAATCCTGAAGGTCAAAGCATGAAACACCGTGTGTGATGACTAAAGGACCCACTGCTGACTGCTGAGGCTACTTTGTCACATGTTCAACTGTTTATTTCTAATCAAACAAAGTTTGCTGAGTACAGTACCTGTATCCTGCAATGTATGCACAAACTCTTGGTGCCCATAATGAACTGTTTATGCAATTTTCAATAATCAAACAAGGTTAAGGATAAGTGACTTTACTTCTTCAATTGGATGAAACTCTTGTTTAACACAGGTACATGCCTTATGTAACAATTTGAGAGACTTTATTGAATAAGTACTGTACACAGGTCTTTCCTGATATGGCAACACTACTACCAGTATGTCCTTTATCTAAAATGCATGTAAATGGAATGGCTATTTCATAAACTGTTTCTCTCAACGGAAAACTCAAATGACTGGACTTTCTATCGTATTGTTAAAACCGTTTATAAGGGAAGCGGTAATATGCATTCAAAATTTTAAATTACCAGCATGACAAGCTCCAAACAAAATTGTCTTCATTTTTTGGGCCAAACAAAAAAATAGTTGTGTTTCTGGTTACCCGACCCAACCTAGAAAATCAAGTGGAACCTGTATCTTTTTATTTGACAAATCAATAAAATATAAAAATTCATGGTGCCTTGCCCTGAGCTTAATTTTGTGTGCCTCGTTGTGTACATTGTATTGTGTAAATTTTTTTTTGCATGAGATGGACATACAATAATATTTGGCTTGTTAATTCTTGGCACATGTACGGTATTAATCTGACACCAACTTGATACTTGTTACAAATATACCAGCCCCCCCCCAAAATGCAGACATCATCCAACTGTAATTTTGTTGGCTATAAAAATTTAGAGTAAAAAAATTATTTTACTCAACCAACCACCCTAATTTAGTTCTCAGTGTAATAGGAAACACAACTAATTTTTCCTTTGGCCTTATCCTAAAATGAATATTCTAAGTAAAAATATATGTAAATGTGTAAATGCTTTAAAAGCATCAGTACATTGTATATTAAAATCAGCCATTTCTTCCTTTCAAATTCCCTAAAGAAAATATTTTGAACGTGATATCTTTAAATGACTTTGATTTTATTTGGTCATTTAAATCATGATTTAAATCAGTGATATAAATAAAATGATTTCAAACATCCTTGCAAATACACAATGGCTGACAGAAAAGACACTCTCTCTCTTTCTCCATTATTTCCTAATCAGCAAGATGGTCAAGGTTTGCTGAAGCTGGCAAGATTGGCGATTCTCACCATGTCTGACTTCCATTCCGAACCAGGGCCAGGGGAGGACCCTTTTTCGATTTTCTTTAAGGGGTTCCCCAACACTGTTAAGGCATCGGAAGTAAGGTATGTACATTTAAATGTTGGCGGAGGGGGGGATGGAGGAATTTTGGATTATAAATACTAAAATAATAGTATTCACATCCCAGATCTTATGGAATCCAATAGATGGTTTTGATTGATTTTGATTAAACAACCAAATATGAAAACTGGGTTGTGAGACACAAAGGTAAAAATAACATTTGCAGAACAGAATTGGGTGGAATACTGCTGTGAATGTTGCATTCTCAAAAATAAATGCCCATCCTTTTCCTTTCACAGTTTTTTCCTCAAAAGCTTACATGCAAATGGAATCTAAATTCTGAAAATTGTACCCTGCCACCTGTGCCAATTTTATTTTACACGAAAGAAATAGTGTTTATTGATGTTTAGACCCAAAAGGCTATTCAGTTTCTTCATGCACAACAGCAACAGGACCAATTCAGGGTGTCACAGTTTTCACTCCCAGTTGGCAAATGTATAACAACAGCCAAAGCTGCAGCCGAACACCGCCACAAATCTTTGAGCCATGCTAAAAACATTTTTTTTCTGGCCAGTTGCTCAGGATTATAGGCAATGTTTGCATTCAGTATATTGTATAGTCCTACAATGGCAACTTGGCCTGCTGCCAGAACCCTAAATTAGTCTTTAGAGAAAAGAGGAAGCAGGGGAGTTAATATGTTTACATTTTACGTTTTGTGTACATGAGTAATTCCAGAAATTAAGGGTCCAAAAGTGTGACATTTTTGTGTCCCAGTTACATCTGACCTTTGTTATTTGACATGGAAATATCACCAGAATTGTTTTCAAACTATTACTATTTGTTTGGCAGGTAATTTGCATTAATTCATCACTCTTGGAAATTAGAAAATTTGTTCAGAACTTACAAAATCATATATCAGATGTGAGAGGGACACGGAAAAAATAGACCCCTTATTTCTGGAATTACCCACATGTAACCTGTGCATGGTTTGTTGTGATTGGTGTTTTCAATAAGCCTTTTGCGAGTTAAATTTTGAATAAAATCTGGTACACTGAGCTACATGTATCTGATTACACACAAACATACATGTAACAGTTTGAATTCCCCAGACTAAAGACACTGTTTCTATACCTGGTGATTCAGACATTCCATCTCTGGAATGGACTGGTTCCTTAGTGCTCCTCTTATCCTTTGAAAAAACAGTGTATTGTTGCTAGGCATCTCTAATGTAACTAAGCAAAAGCTTGCCCCCAATCACGAGGTGTAGCAGCAATGTCTTAGTATGGCAAATTCCAATTGTTACATGTATGTTCATGAATGTGAATTTAAAGACCTCGGTGTACCAGATTTTATTCAAATTTAATTTGCAAAAGACTTATTCACCACCTGGCAAAGATCTTTGTTCACTGTATATCCTGGGTGGGACCAAAGTGATGGCCAAATATTTAGGGCTGAGTCAATTCGAATAATTCACTATTCGAATATTCGACCTTCAATTTGGTCGAATATCCAAATATCTGGTTGTACCGACCGGCAGACGTTGATGGACAAACCATATATACAAAATCAGTTGTAATAATGCACACAATTATACATTGATTTAGCATGATATTAGAGATGAACAATATTTCTTGCCCTTTTAAAAATTTCCATTCGCTTCAAATTTTTTAATGAATAATTTACTTTTTGAATCATTGTGAGATTTGTCGCTTTTCATTTGAATCGACTTGAAACAAGCCTCCATAGTGCAAGTTTTTTCATTTAAAACAAAAGGAAATTCTCCCTTCCTTTTCATGAATTTTGCAGTCGAATATTCAAATTCAGAAATTGTTATTCAATAATCAATCAAATGTTTGGATATTCGGGACAGCCTTACAAATATTTAAATTATTGTTTATCAAGGGTTTAACTTTTGTCTGCATACCAGTAATACTTTATTGTGTTTGAATTGACCAATGTACCGTATTCGGGAGGTTTGCCCCCCAAAAAAGGCCAACCAGGTTATCCCGTGAAGTGTGTAATGGAAAATCCACATATTTCATTTCATCTTGAGTAATATACCGGTACCATACATATATGTGTGTCCATCCTGCAGGCGTTGCTGACACGATTTTCCATTTTGCCAGATGGACATGTATACATACTGTACATGACAGTGTCAGTGTGGAACTGATAATTTGAGCCTGGGAGCGGCATCAAAATTCATTTATGATTTCTCTGATTGTACCAGTGATTACTTCTACAACAAAGGCTACCACAACCACATCGCCTACCAAAAGGTCTACAATCAGCATTTTCGCCTCTTCATGGCCCTGAGGTTCCAGGACACCGAATCGGCAAAAGAAGTACGAGAAAAGTAAGCTACATGTATTTCAATTTTTTTCTGTGGTAAAAGTACATGTATGTATTTGAACCTTTTGTCAACCCTCCCAAAGCAGGACCTTTTGCTGTGAGATCTTCTGTTGTGGATTGTTGACACACTGTGAACTTTAAAAGACACATGCAGGTGGATTCAAGTTAATTTGTAGTGCCTGAATGCCTGGCTGAAGTAACAAAGAGCCTTCAGGTTGTGGCCAGTCATATCTGTCTGAAAGTCAATTCTTACCGGAATTGACTGGCAGTGGCTGAGATAATGTACATGTCTGTTGGAAGTGGCTACAGCCACAAGGCTTCCTAAGGGGGTACATACATGCTGTTTTCAATTGCAGCATAACTTTTGTGGCCGCGGCTTGAATTTTCTAATCACAGGAAATACTAGTACATATACTGTATTTACTAAGAGGAGATAGTGAAATCAGGTTACCAGCCAAAATACCATACAAGTACATACATGAAGGACTGCTACCCTGCTGGCACAGCTCGTGGTTTTGCTTAGGGTAAGAACTGCATCTATTGATCATGTTGACCATTTCCAAATTACAGAAGAACGAAATTTCTGTTACAGTTTGTTTTCAGAAAGCTGGGCACAGTAAAGAGGTCAATGGGGATATTGTCCTTGTTTCTGCAAGGCAAATAACATTGTAATTTTACCAAATATGGACATGACTTACTTTTTAGCAGCTTTGAAAAAAAAATTACGAATTCCTCTTTAAACATAAAAGACGAATATACTAGTATGTTTTAAATGAGACATCGTGATTATGTGATTTGATCTGACCAGCTTAATTTACAGCTTAATTTAAGAGTGCATGAGAGTAAAATGTATTTGTCATGTGTACAAAATTGATGTTTGACATTATCACAATGCCTGAAAAATTTCCTGCATATAAGTTTAATAGAAATTGATATTCCAAATATTGATGGCGCTTCTGTGGACTGGCTCTGAATGTATTGGACAGATGTTAGCTGCAGGTTTTTCTGTTAGAGACTGTACATGATGTATGTACTCACAGTACATGTACACGTTCATACTGGGCAGGAGAGGTGGGGGGGGGACAGGTCCACCTGTGGCCCCCTCAATTTTTTTTGTATGGGAGGGCATGGCCCCTAACTTCTGGCAGGTGCATGAGCATGTACTACAGAGGGGTGGGGCTTAATTGATTGGTCTATTAATGGCCGATGCCTGAGGGTCTCACAACTGTCCCCCCCCTTTGAAATGTGTTCCACCGCACTGTCCCCCTGGTTGTTGGAAATACAGACATGTTGAATGATACCGCAGTTACATGTCCCTGTACATGTGTTACATGTACCACAACTTTGTTTGCAAATGACCTGTCGAGTTTAGAAATGGTCCTCTCAGTACCGAGCCTGTTGTGTATCATTCACACTGTCTGTGCACAACAGCACAAGAACTTGTACATGTACATGTAACGGTACAGTACCTGTATGTACATGTACTAGGTTGGGCAATGAGCTTTATGCCAAGTGTGGGCTCAAATGTGTCAATTGCTGAAGTTGACCAAATTTAATTTGGATATTCCTCGTTACGCATTAGTTTTCTAGCATGCATCACCTGAAACCTTGTCATGGATAAACTCATGCACATGTAGCAAAATTGCAGCCACTCTTTTTTTACCAATTCTCTGAGAGCTGATCGATTGCCTCCATTTAATATGGTCTTTATCTTTGTGCTGGTTCTTTGGTTGGTTCTTAGAACATTCTGCTAATTTTATGAAGCCATGTCAGATCCTGCATATGATCCAGACTTTTACTCAGCTTATAAAGAATTTGTAATGCTCCCATCCATCAGTTTTAGAGATAAAGAATTGTATATTCAGGGATAGTGTGAGACTCTTGTTTGATTTTCAACTTTCATCTTAAATAGAAGAAAGAAACAGTGTATTGGGCCTTTTATGTTACTGTTATCTTTTCTAATTGATGGGCCATTTGTGACTTCCCTTTATTCAAGTGCAACTTGTACAGTTTTTGATTGCCTCTTTGTCTTTTCCCAATGGAGTATGTGTTTTTCATAATAATTTATGGTTATTACAAGCTATATATCACTTTCAAAGCAGAAAGAAGTGCTCTATATGGTTGACAGTCTAATTTCTTGAAGGGTTTTTGTCGTTAAGGTGATGATGCACCATGGTTTTTGTTTGCACATCACAAATTATGCATGATTATAACAATGGGATTGCTGTTAATAGATTTTTCCATTGTCACGATTGTTGCCGCGCGAGGCAGACACAATTGCTTGCGATTGACAAATTGCTTGTCGGGCCATATATGGAGTTGTGCAGTCAGGTGTAAAAGAGCAAATTATGGTCTGCCAGGGGATGGTGTCGTCGCTGACTTGTGGGTTGGTTGCCATGGTGATAGAAACAGAAAAACAAGGAATTAGGAGGAGGGGAGGTCGTGTCGTTGGAAGGGAGTCAGTTGGTCTGCCAATGAGCACGTGCGACGTGGCCATGACTACACTCGACAGCACACAGCACAGCCCGACGACTGCAGAGTGGTAACAAATCATCTACATGAAGCAATATCAGTTGGACAAGGAGATAGCTGCCGACGAGTTTGCATTCAGAAATGCCATCAGTAAGCATAATGCAGCCTTGTCTGTATGCCACCATGACAGCCGTCCTGTGGACTCTCGCTGGGATGCCACTCTGGAGACATCTTTAGTCAGTGTTTGTATTCAGCCCGGGTAAAGTGAGACACTCAAGAATGTGCACATGTCTGACTTGGTTTCTGGTTCAAATAAAGTTGATGAGGGCACTGACTACTGGGTACCCTCGTATTTCTGTTGTAGAAAATAGATGCCCGTCGATTGAATGAAAGCATAAATTTTGCAAAGAATGAAATTGTGTGCTTTTTTAATAGGAGATGTACATGTACACGTGGGTACATGTGCTGGTAGATGTATGTATCCAGATTATTCAGTCTACAGGTTCTGCATTATACATGTACATGTTCATGTACATTTACATGTACCGGTACATGTACATGCCTCTGTATGCTGTATAACATGCATTAGGTGTAGATCTTTTTACTCGTATCGTTTGAAATGTGTGAAAACTCTGTCATGCGTGTTGATTTATATTATTGCTTTGAGTATTTGCATGCACACTTTATACATGTACTGCAATGATTGTGTACAGTGGTGCACATAAAAATGTAATCACGTTTCACACAACTGTAGTGGGTGAGCGCTGCTCTCAATGTGCCGTGCAAGGTACGTGTACGTGTACTGTACGTTTGAACGAGGTTTGACCTCACTGTTTCAGATTGCACGTGTACCAATGAGCAGCGATGTACAGTGTACACATCATTCATTTACATTTTTGTGAATAGGTAATGTTTTCTCTTATGTTTTGGAGGGAGATCTGGACATGATTAAAAATAGGATTAGTGTAATTGTTTTCATTGCTTTAGCAATGAACTTGAACCGACAAGTTTTTGGATAAACATCACGTACATACGTATTCATGTATGTATACATGTATTGGTCTGTGCATTTTTTCTGCAAATGCTACTTTATTCGGGTTTGTGGGTTTTTACTGGTGCGGGATTTCTTTTTTTTTTTTTGTAAGACTTGCCCTCATTAAAGTGTATAATGCTTGAATAACATTTTTAAAAATCTCACTTAACCTTATATCCCCTGCGGTTGAAATTGAGAGAGAAACCATTTACTGTTCCATGGTGGAGTTTTGTATACATTCAGTAACAACTGCATGTAAGCAAATAGACACATATTGTACATGTTTGACAGCATCCTCGTTTTGACAGCTTATTCGTCAGATACCCAACATGAATTTTTGAAAGCACGACAGACACTGATGTGTTACACTAATGTACTGAAAGCACCGCCTGTATCATGACATGACCACAGATCAAGGACAGCTGTATCTTGAGTGATCTTTTTTCCTCTTTGCTCTGACCTTATCAAGGTACACGAACACCATTCTCTTTGGATACAAGGTTCACCTGTCCTTCTTTAAGAAACATTTTGCAAGGATACACGCTCCCACGATAAACAGTAAGTAGCCCTTTCCAACTTTTGTTCCCAGTAATATATGTGGCCAGTTACAGTTTTCTGGTGTGCCTCAGCATATTTGGTTGTGGTTTCATAATTTTCCAGTTGAAAGTTTCAGATTTTGCAGACATTTCTTTCCATTTTTCAAAGGGTCAAGGCAATCTGTCTTCTCGGATTCACTTTTTGTGCGTCTTTATAACTGTATGTACTCTTCTTCAGCCATTGAAAATCATTTTCTGTATTGAAAAGTGCACTTTTAAAACATGTAAAGTTGTTCGCTGGCTAACGATGAACCACCAAAGAAATAATTTAAAGCAGCAGAGTATAAATTAATTCCAGCATATTTCGTTTACAAATTATTGCGACTGTGAGCTGTACTCCCTGAACTGACATGACAGTTTTCCTCATGAAATATGGAAATTCACATCGGCATAAAAAACCAGAAAGCGCCAAAATACCTTTAAAATAGCAAAAAAATGCACATGTGCATATATACATGTACATGTGTGTTTCCAGTAAGCGATTTGGTAGCCTGTTTAATCGGTCCAGAGTTGCTTGTGTCATTTGCTACCTCTGTGGTTATATCCAAGCGCTGTCCTTCATTCTCGGCATGTTAATATACCTACTATGTACACGTACATGTACAGTAGTGTAATCATTTCCTTGTAATTTTGTATTTTGCGGACCACTTGGCAGAAAGAATGATAGTTTATATGTATGTGCATATTGCTCAGGCCAACATGAAACCAATATTAATACAATGTATATTCAAAACAGAAACTGGCCAGAATTCCTGTTTACATTCCAAGTGGAGGGCTGAGCAGAGATTTAGGAAATAAACAGCCTTCAGTACAGCCTGCCCCAAAAAAGGACAAAGTGATTTGTAACTGACTAAAGAAAGATGGACTTTTCTGTGATGTGTTTTCCCAGATCCATCAGAATTCTTCAAGTTTTGTCGGATTGTGGTAGATTAAAAAGGGTACATTTACAGTAATATGAACATGTGTAGCACAGCGATGTGTATATACCAGTTGTGCATGTATGGCTTTCCTTGAAAAATATAATGCACACAACATGGCAAAAGAATGTTTCATTGGCTTTCTACAAAAGGGGTTTGAATGTTTGTTTTGTTTTGGATGAGTAAGGTATGAGGGACTGGATTTGAATGCATCACTTTTTGGTAGTCCCTCAATTTGCTTCATGTACATGTATGGTCATAATTGGCGACATGTATTGTATATGTTTTAATTGAAGTATTGATGTACATATACAATATGAAGGCACCTGTTAAGTGCAGCGTAAGCTCTTGTTTAGACAAATCAGTGGAACTGCGTTTTGCCAGCTCTGTTTCTGGTGAACAAACAAGTTTGACTTATTGCTTGTGTTTCTTATGCTGCTTGTGTGCAGGAAAAAGCTGTTACGACCACTTTCCACTTTTTAGACTAGAGGGGAGATGTTTGTTTCTCACTTCAAATACAATCAGCTACACCTTTCTTATGGCTCATCCGTCGAGTGTGGGTTTTTATGTTTCAGATATCTTCATGCAAGATAAGCTTCGAAAGTTGCGGGCCCAAGCAACACGTAGACCTCTTTTCTACAGGACTCGGGTAAGTCTGGATGAATTCTTTCATCGCAGCAAGTCCTCTGCCCAGTTGGATTGTGTTGAAGGCAACAGTTCAGTGAGGGAGGACTTTGTTCCCTTTGCTGCGTTTGAATTATGTTGTCGAAGATTTGAGTACATAGAAGACTCTTATGTTTTCATGCAATAAACGTAGAGTCCATTCAGGCAATTGCGAGTCAAAGTGCAAGTCTAATTAGAAGTCCAAATAGCAAGTCAATCATAGTTCCCACAGGGCAGTCGCAAGTCATCACAGAGTTCACGAGGCAATCACAAGTCATTCCCAAGTCATCACTAAGCAATTACAAGTCTTATCAAAATCTGTAAAAAGATTTTTGTATATGAATGGTTTTGTTGCATTTGATTTTCGTACTGTTGGTTTTACTTTTTTGATTGAGTGGCATGCGGTAGACTTGACTACAATGCCAAATCACACCCTCATTAATGCATGCATGTACAAAGTTGGCATCATCAATCCATGAAGCTTTTACCAAATATCTGTCCCTACCTAATTCCAATCTAGCCTCTTAGTACGTACACGCTTGTACATGTACCGGTATGTTAACAGGCTTTGACTTCTTTAAGATGGTAAAAACACATCGAGCCTGTAAGATAAATGTTGAAGTACATGTATTTAGATTTGAATATGACATCAGTGTAGCAGTGTACTGTCACTTGTCAGCAGTTCCATGGCCACTACTCACCTGTACGTGTCTTCAGACCCAGAACGAGGCGGCGAAGTCGTTCATCATCGAGTGGTTCAGACTGCAGCATCAGCCCAGACCGAAAGGTAGAAATAACTCCCCCCTTTGCCATTTCAGCACCGCATGTACTGTTACTTATTCCGAGCTGTAGGAAAATGTTTGATTTTGTGGTTACCGTAATGACAGCACGCTGTCACATAGAAGCAGTAGTACTTTGGTGGGAACTCACTACTTGTGGGCACAGGTTTGTGCAAGTTTGACATGGGATGCATTAAATGGCAAATGTGACCAATTTTTGTCGGAATATACAAATGCAAGGATTCCCACTTAAAGCCATTTAGATCTCCTCTTTGCCAGTGAGGTGGGGATTTACATTGGGGCAGATTGGCTTACATGCAATTACACCGTCAGAAATTCCAGAATTCATGCGCATACGGTCAATCAAAAGAAGTCAAAGTACATGTACATGTACCGCGTGATCGCATAGTTCTCCCCAAGAACAGCCACCATTGTAGTAGGCAAGCATTTGGTTGGCGCAAAGTGCTGTTGTCTATTGTAAACTGTGCTGTGTATGGTTGCCATTTTAATTTGGTAGCGCTGAGTGCTGGCTCTGTGTTTTTTCTTGTACCTCTTGTCATTTATCGAAGGTAGTTTTTGCCCGTGACAATGGCTGGTGTACATCGGGTTACTTGGGTCTGTGAGAGTGTGCTGTTGAGTACTAGAAGTGTGATGTATCTAAGCCCCAAAGGATTACCCTGCATCAACCAGACAGGGATCTTTTCTAAAATTTCTATCTGTTTTGTTTGTTTTTACAGCGTCGTGACAGGAGCAGGGACGGCGCTGAAACCAAGAGGCGCAGAGTGAGTTTTATCGGCGGGCAGTTTTTTACGGTAGTGGTTCTTTTTGATACCTGATTATGCCTGTTTGCTGGCACGCATTGTCACCTCCATGGGACTGGACAGGGAAAGTGGCAGAGCACACCTCCACAGCCCAAACCGCTGTCCCCCTTGAGCTTCACAACTCGTCACAGATGCCCACATTTTTCAGCAATGTGCACCCCATGGGAGAACAACCTTCAGCGTAGTAGTACATGTAGTTGGCACAGTGGATTAATACATCATGCAGGCTGGGACTACATGTAATTATCCAAATGGGCACTGTGCCAAGGACCTCCCTGTATGAAAACTTCGGGGGCCTACCAAAACTTGAGGGCCCATGAAAATACCACATTGTTCTGTGAAACAATCATGCATATACACACAACGAAAAGCACTTATGCATAATTTATATTAGGTAATTCACCAAGAGATATAGTTTGTAAACGTCACTCCCAGTATTATGTTTGCATATTTTAAGTGCTCTGTTTATTAAAATCAGCTTTGAACAGTTCAAGAAAGAAAAACACACACCATATTTTTGTAATCAGAAAAGATTACTTGTGTTACGCAAGAATAGCATGCAGTGAACTGCATGGTGACAACCACCTTTCAACCACTGGCCAATTTTTCCCAGTACCCTGCTGGATATAAATTTGTGCATGGGTTACAAATGGCTGTCGCTCGACCTTGCCGGTATTACGTACCTGATGGTCACCTCCATTTTTCACCAGGATGCATTTCTCCAGTTTGCACTACTGTAATAAAGAGCAACTCCACCTGTCATGATGCATAATCATTTCATCACACTGGATCAGTTCATACTGAAACAGACATTAAATTTTTCACCACACCGACATAGCCGGACATACTGGCACAGTGTAAAACACGACAGCTTAGTTCACCTTGTCACAGAACCTCACACGGCAATGAATTTCCAACCTAAATTTATTTCAAAAGCGAACCATTAGTGCTTATGTGTTATATCATTCAGTCATTATATAGAAATGCATACAGAAATTAATAAAAACCATAAATAAATAGGTTCAAACTGATGTTGCCAATTACAAACGCTGTTGCGAAATAGATTTTCAAGACAAGGAAACAAGGAATTACAAAACTGAATGACAGTTATCTACATTTGTACTTCACCTTTTTCTTCTAGAGAGACTTAAATTTTCTTGACAAATGTTTAAATGCTGACATTCTGTCCTTGATTAAGTTTACTTCATAGATTTTTGGTGAAGCTTTAGAGTTTTTTGGCTTTCTCCAACAGCGGTCTCATTCCCGTTCTCGGTCATCAAGGTCCACATCCAGATCAGAAACACCAACCCGATTTTCTCCAAACTCGAGCCACTCAAAGAGATCGTCCTCCAATGACAAGACGAGCAGCTACCCTAATCATGTGCGAAAATTGTGTTCAAAGGTGACCGTAGTTGAAAACAACCAGCCAAAGAAATTCAGTGACAGCTCGCAATCTTCAAAGGAACGCTCACAAGAGCACAGATCTCCGACCAGGGGAAAGCCTAGGACACAGTCGCCGAGCAAGGATCCGTTTCTGTCAAATTTCTCACCGGTGTCGTTTGGGAGTGATGACGATGCGATGCTGATGACCCCCACCCCGGAGCCCACAACTGACGGGGACCCCCAGGGTGGGGCAATGTCACAGAAGGACCAATTGGCCACCTCGTACTTTGCCATCAAGAAGGCTGGACAGCTCACCGAGGCCTGGATTCAATCGGAGGGGGACTCAACACCTGATGGTGGAGGCACCCCCTCACCCAGGGGGTCCTCCCTGGCACCCAAGCAGGCTGACAAGGAACGCCACAGCGTTTCCAGCAAGGTGGGCCCCTTCACCGAGATCCGAGCCATGGACCGGCCCTGGCAGCTGAAACCACTGACAGTGCAGGATGAGTGCTCGTCAGGCAGTGCCAGCAGCAAGCACACCGATTCATCATACGTCATCAAGTCTCCGTCCAGCGGAAACGGCTCTGCAACGTCCCTCAGCAGCGAGGGCACCATTGCGGGAAATCAGATAGTCATGCAGACCAACCGGACCGAGGCTGGCTTCGTGGGCTCCCTCAGTGGCACGGCCCAAATCCGACAACCGAGCCTTTCCTCCCCGCCCAGACCTCAACTTCATCCTATTCCCCATGAGGGGACGTGGTCACCCGGAAGCAGCCGCCTCCAGAGCCCCTCATCAAGTCTTGGGGCCACCCCACCCAAGGTCAACGGTGTCAGGAAGGGAGAAGTGATTCAAACCAAACTAGAGAGATTGCAAGCCAAAAAGGAGGAGATCATACGGGTATGGCAACCTGCTATAAAGACACACTAACATGTCTGTGGTGTACCCACAGTATAGTACATGTACATGCACCTTTCCAATGAACACACAAACATTATCTGCTTTGAGCAGAAGCGCCCTCTCATTGGTTAAAAGAACCATGTTGACGGGGAGTGTTCAGTTTGTCCAAACTACCGCATCAGAAATATAATTTGGAATCACACATTGTATAGTTTCTAAGTGTTTGAAGTGTTTCATGGAGTGTTTCTCATGCCAAGTATTTTCTTTATTCAGGCGTACAAGCAAGATTGTGATACTTTTGCAACAGTTGTCAGGATGCTGATCAGGTAAGAATGGGTGAAATGTCGCTGTGAAGGATTAGGGTGAGAGTTGAAAGCAACACAGCAAGTGGAATAACTTGGTAAATGCATCAGAAGGCAACAAATTCAACGACGCTTGTTGTGTGTTGCTTAACTCTGCCGCCAATGCAAGCACCAAGGAACAGTGCAGATGCAGAGCACCAAGGCTACAATCCTGGCCCAAATTGTGGGCACACCTGGCAACACCTAGCACCTTCCCCAGGGCCCCCAAGTCCCCCCGGTCAATGTTTTCATCTTGAACTGGGGCACAGATCGTGCGGGGGCCCCCCCAACCAGATTTGGCTAGGACTATAGTATTCATCTTTGGCAATTCCGAATGCCACAAAAAATCCTGTTGCATTTGGTTTCTGTATGAGAACTGTCTACTGAAACTCTTGCTTCTGGCTGTTTGTTTTTTTGGCAGGAAGGACCCAGAGTTAGAGCAGCGTCTTCAGCAAGCCTTGAGAGAGAATCTCACAGAGATAGGACAGCGTTGCGTCCAGGAATTGCAGGAGATGGTGGAACAGATCAAAGATTGAAGGGGCACTGCTCAAAGTTAAGAGCAAACTATACTTCGGTTTTCAGTTTTTTGTACTATGGCCGCATCCGAATCTCTTGTCTAGAGCTAGGCTAGGTCTTTGCTCCATTGGAAATGTGTGGAGAAACGTAGACAATAGACCTAGCCATAGCTCTGGAAGCCCGTTTCGGACACGGCCTATGTCTCAAAAATGATCTACCCAAGTTCAGATGGTGCCCAAGTCTAGATCAGGCCCAACTTCAGATAGGCATGAGCTGGTCACTTCCCATTAGGAAATGGGACAAATATGAGGCCTGCCACCAAAATGTAACCAGACTATCGCATAGTTTTATCCACACAATGGCCAATTGGAGTCTTGATTTAAATCCAGGTAATTTTGGTTTTTTTTAATGGGGGGGTGTCACGGTTGTTAGTTGCCATTGTTCATGGCCTTGTGTTGTCCAGTACTGCTGTAGATAGCCACATCTTGTTGAATTACTTGTAATCACGGTCTCACTTGAGTCAAAGACAATGACTGAGACGGATGACAACATCTGAGGACCTTATCCAATGTGTTTGTGCCTGCAAGGGATAGTGGAGGGTTCCATGTTTGCTGATGAATTCTTTGGTTCAGTGCTTTGCCCTTGAGAGTAATGAGCCCACAACAGATTAAACAAAAGGGCCGTTGACACCACTTTAGAAAAACTAACTTGTGAAATCCAAATCTGCTGCAAAATACAGTGCACATGAACTTTATTTTGAATTATTTTCCCATTTGAAATTTGAATTCTTTTATTTTGAAGTAGAATGTTTCCCCAAGTTTGAATTAGTTGCCCTTTTCACCCCGGAGCATATAAATGGGTTCCAGAGAAGGCAGAGATAGTTTGGTTTCATTTAACACAAGCCATTTGCGTTAGGCAGCATCGAGCTCTGTGCTTCTCTGGGAATACTTATGACCATGGGTGGTAAGCAGTGTCTCAATCCAATGTCCAGGACTTGCGTGTTTTATAAATACTCAGTCGCACTAACGGATGACCTGATCTTGTAATTCGTTTACCAGACGTCAGTTGACTGCTTTAACTTAAAAAACTAAAACCCTGGAAGGCTCTAGTTTTTACCAACATGTTACGATGGTCAGTGAAAATGCACAGTTTTTCATGATCTGATCAACTGCTTTTGCCCTGATGGCACTGCAGTAGTAATGTAGCCTGACCTACATCAGGAAACGCTGTAATCAATGATGCATATTGAAGTGAATGAAATGCCCCATGTTGGGTTAGCCGTCTCTTCACAACTCATTTTGAGTAACAACTCATTGCGAGAAGCAGAGTGAATACTCACGGGTGCGTTTCCTTCTGCTAAAATTGGGGCCTCATGTGTAAAGTAATACTTGGGCCACATAATCCTGTATTCGACAAAATGCTTGAACACCGTGTGATTTATATTGGAGGACTTTGCCAAATTGTAAGTACTTTTCTTAAACCTAAATCTACTCAAGATTTTTATGGATGAATTGTTTTATGCATACGTAAGTAGAGCAATAATTTTTTTTTACTCCTTGCCAGTTAGATTTGTTCTGTTTCTTACTTTGTCTTCAACATCTATAAACCCTCAAGTTCTAATTAATGCAAATTCTTTAGTGCAGTAGGTTATTTTAGCAGCTGAGATTTGTAACCTTGTAAAGAAAAAGAGATTGGTAAAAAGGCTCCAGTAAAAAAATGGAATAGGCTCTTAGGTGTTGCCAGGATGAGGGAATAGCTTTGGGGGAGGGGAGGGGGTGAACTACCAGGATGAGGGAATAGCTTTGGGGGAGGGGAGGGGGTGAACTAACAGTAGTAAACTGACAAAATGTCGGTGGTTGGGTCAGTTCTGAGGCATGTTTGTGATAATTGATTTCTGTTCTTTTGTTTCCTCGTCTCTCTCTCGTTTTTCAAATTTTCCTGAGTGATCCCCCCCCCAGTCTTATGAATACGCACCGCGTAGTTAACCCAGAATGCTGCTCTGAAATAGTCAAATCTGCAGCCAAGTAGTTAAAAGCAGACTCCCTCTTGCAAATGGCCTGTAAGAATCATTTTCTCCTAACACAAAATCTGCCAAGGAGAACTTGTCTACATGTACACTAATGGAAATATCAATGTTGTATCAAGCACTCAGTCTTACAGTGCAAGGTTCAGACAAATGGCCACAGGAACCAAACAGTTCCTGCCTTCCCCACCTCCCCTGACCATGAAGAACCATGGCATATTTGAACCTTTGGTCCAACATTTTATAGTGAAAAAAAAAGTAAATTCAATTCATGTACATAAATTGAGGTGTTACATATGTGTATATATTTTTGTCTTTTATACATGTCACAACGTTTGATTTTTTAAAATATTGCTGAGTGGAGTCTCCTATGAAAGGTTATCATGGACTGCGAGGCTTTCAAAAACAAAAGAAAAACAGTACTATAGGTAAATTGCTTTATTTGTTTTTATTAAGTTCTGAAATAGTGGACACAGTAATGATGCAGTGTGTCGGTAGAGCTTGGTGCTGAAATCAGATCAGTGTATCAATCCACAATTTGAATATTAGCCTGCTCATGGATATGCAATATGGGACTGGCACTGAATGAATACTAAATTCCGATAACTTGGTCAGAGCAGAGAGGAAGGACACAGGAGTTTGAACTGTCTGGGCTGTAAAAGCTGGCCCATTACCGCTTTCTAGCATGCCCGTTATGTCCAGAGCACGGTGAGCGCTAGCTACGCACCATCTGTTTCACAACCACAAAACCCCTTTGTACCCTATGATCGCCGCCGCAATTTGTCGCTGGTAGTCTGGTAAACTTTGTGCACTAAGGTATAGGAAATTGAATGTTTATGCATTTGTCGGTGCTTGGTATGATCTCATGACAACATCAAATTTAATGCTTACGCAGTGGCTTCCATTACGCTGTGTGCCCTAAATCTATATGTGCAGTCTTTGCCCTTATTGAGCACTTTCTTCTGGAGTAATTTCTGGAATAAATAGCCCAGTTGTTTACAAGATGATGTTTTGTTTGAATCATTTTTATATGTCATTTGTACAAAAGCGTATTTTATGAGATTTCATGACCACTCCCTGTGATGAAATAGCACATTTTGTTCCTTATGAACTTAGCTTTCCAGTAGTAGTCGACATTTTGTTGGCCAGTCTCGGCCAAATTCGTACCAAGACTTTAAAAACTGATGTATTGGAGAGAGGAGAATAAAATTACCAACTTAATAATGGTGCAGTGCATCAAAATTCAAAAAGTTTATGACAAAAGTAGGTCCAATATCAGGGATTAATCTCGATTTCCTGGTCACAGGAATAAGTTTCATTTAATTGCAAGCAAAAAAACTACAAGTATTGCTAGGATATTACTGGCCCTGCTTCCTGGGCTAAGATGCAGGCAGTAATCAGGCATATTTGGAATGTTTTCTATTATTTCTCTGACCTGGCAGCGACCGTCATTGAACACTTTCAAGTGCCAGAGTTGCAACTCCTTCTGTGTCCTTCCTCGATGGTCAGAGGAACAAGAGTACTAAATGTTAAAATGGTGCTTATAAAAATGAGGGAGTATTTGATTTAAATTTATTTCGGTTGTGCATTGTGTCGCAAAAGAAGCATAAGAAACAAAGAAAACCAATTTTAACGCAGAAACTTGTAGCTGTTAAGGTTTCTAACCTTTTAAACCAGCGCGACCTCCCTCTCAAACTATTGGGCAAGGCTCAGGCTCAGCTACATATGTATTCTATTGTGCAGGGTGTTTGTGAATGAGAAAAGGAATTGCACTACAGTTTGAAACATGTTCAAAGTACCTTTGGTGATTCAAATCAATTCAATGTGACTGTTCCATAAAGAGCAAAGCAAAAACTAGTTTCTCGCTGGAGAGGTCATTCTTTCCTATACACTATATATACATTTTCCTATATGCACAGTATAAACCCGTGCTCTTTGGGGCTGTTGACCTAGCCTCTGTAAATTCATGTATTGTTTTCCATCTGAAATAACACCTTGATGTGAGACGTCTTCTGTCAAAATCGGACACTGGTCAAAGATGGATGTTCAGTACATTTATAGTCTACAGGTGAAAACCATTCTCTGCAAGTCTAGGCTTATATGAACAGTTCCGTTCATTGCACTTGTCATTCTGCGTACTGTGAGTTGATCTGTGTGCATGTATTATTGTCTACAGAGTTTAAGACTAAATGTTGCTGTTGGAATTGGAAGGGATAACGTTCGATAAGGGACTGTATTTGGGAAAAAATGTCCACTTGCAGTAGAAGTGGTTCATTGCAGTCATTTTTCATTAAATGTGACCGGCTCTGCAAAAAAGGGTATTAAGGGGCGCCGTGTTATTTCAAGCGCAGGGCTTTTTAATGCAGACAGGGTGATTTTTTACTTCTTGGTTTATTGACTTCTATTAGATCAATACTTTCACAATTCATACAAGAAACCTAACTGTTGCAATGGGTTTTAAGGGACTTTCTTCGTGGCTGATTTCTTTTTCTACCTCCTGTGTTTAAAGGGCTTTATCTCTGAAAGCATTTCTGTTAATGTGTATAATATGATTACGCAAAAATCAATATATCTCCAGATTGCAAAATGCCACAGGGTTCAAACCTACACCAAATTACAGTGTAGCCAACTCAAATATGTATGTTTGAAAAAAATGTCCCGTAACGCCCATTTTCGGGTTGTGCCCGAGTTTGACGAAAGTGGTCACATTTCAAGTGCTCTGAGAGTACAATATGTATATGACAGTCTGCAAGAAAAATGATTACGTGTTTTAATAAAACAGAACTGAGTAAAATCACTAGATGTTTCATGGAGTGGTTGTTTTAATAGCTGAAGATCGCAAAAGGAAAAACCCCGACCAAAATTCCCAGCACTGTTTGAAAATCAATAAGTCCAATACAGGCAGTTCACAACAGTGCGCCTCCAAGAATTCGCAGCGCACTGGCCAATCACGATGCGTGAAATCAGTTGACCCAATGCGCAGTTAACAAGGGTTGACAGATTTCACATGTTGTGATTGGCCAAAGAGTTGAAAACTGTGAATCGCCCGTATCGTTATACCTTCCTCTCTTTCCTACCCTTGGCAAGAATCCATTTTAAATTGTAGAGCCATGGCGTGTTGATTTTCGACAGCACATCCTTGTGTTAATGTGCATTTGGATTGTGGCGATCCTTCCTCTTAAAAGCATAGACTGACTTTGATTTTGTAACAAAAGAGGCAACAAAACTGAATGAGAGCCTTCTCATCAAATCCCCCCATTTGTAATTGATCGCTTGCTCTTTCTACAGGGAGCCCTCACTTCTTGAGTTTCTTTTTCTTCTTTTTCTTTGGTGGGGTTTCTTCAGGATTTGCTGGACTTTGGTTTGCAGCGGCATTATCCTGCAGGTGGGAATGAACAGATGTTTTAGAGTCAAAAACAGCAGTAAGAGGGGGGATTTTAGACCAATTATTCACAGATCGGAGAGTGTGTCGCATGATCAAGCATGTGCCAACTAAAGGTGGTTTTCCGATATTTTTCGTCGTTGCTCGGGCGGCAACTCTGATATCAACACCACTTGTTCATGCCTGTAGGCCTATAATGTCGGGAACTAAATAAGACACTTTGATCTTTTGATCAACAGTGGGAAGTTTGGTGTTTCAGCAGTAACAGGGTAATTTAAAAATTGAGCTGCACACCCTCAGGAAGGAGGGCAGGTTTAAACGTGCTTTTCAATTTTTTTTTGAAGAAAAGGAAATACATTTGCAAATGGGAGGTGGGGTTAATACAGTGACTAATAAATTACCACAGTAATATCGCTAATTAATGCTTGTCCTCATTCAAAGCGCAGCTAAGCAACTTGTCTTCAAATATCCTTCACCTGATGGGAACTTGTACGTACCTGCTCAGGATCTTGCTGTTTCCTCTTCTTGCTCTTGCGGTGGGCCTTTGTGGTCACCAAGTCATCCTGAGCCTCATCCCCTGCGCTTCCATCATCCCCGCCCCCAGCCAGCCTCTCGTCCCCTCCCACTGCAGCACCAGGTCTGGTCGCCGTTCTGCTCCCTGGGTCTTTGTGTCCCTTGTCCTTGTGTGACTTCTTCTGTCCCCTCTGGGTGGTGTTAGTGTCTGTCAAGTTGGCCGACTCTTCCCTTCTGATCATTGGTATCTTCGGCTCCTCTGCATGTCAGGAAAGAGTAAATTTATGCATGAACATACATGTACACACATTACATGCAGTTGACTCTTGGTAAATACGAGCTTGGATAAGACGAGATTCCAGTTAAGATGAGAACATGTCACCAGTCCTAACCAAAGTGCCTACATCCCTATGAGGATAAATATCTTTGTCCACTTCCTTCTGGTTGGAATTTGCATATGCAGGACGAGTTCCTGGGTAATTTTCAAGATTTTCTGTTTTCAAAATTTTTCAAAAATTCATAACTTCATTTACTGGATGTTTACACCCAAATAAATGACTGTCTGGTCACTACTCTAATCTGACAGGCAACTTACATTGACACCCGGGTATTGAAGCCAGGCCTGCCGCCCGGTAAAGAGAGCCCAGAATTGTGAGGTGTTGCATAATTTCCTTTGTTCCCAAAATTGGCCCAGTGCGGACATTGCTGAATAGCTGTGGCGTCTTTACAAATGCAGCCAGATTAGCATGCAGCGGTATTATACTGCTCATCATTGGAGTGCTGGAGCGCTTTTGTCCCCGCTGATAATCCGCAGGGCATTGAATGCTGCAAATACTGGTATACTGTTTCAAAACAATGACAGATTACCTCTGCTACTGCCAACTGAAAATGCTGGCAATTCCCAGCAGCTCAGTCTTTTCTTCCAAGTACGTGGTCTTTTGTTACAAGGCCCAGCTCCTTTGTCAGATTTTGGTTACCCCGGCTATGTGTACAAACCCAAGGTACCCAGTGCTGGGAACCCCAGAGGCAAGTGGTTAATACAAGCTTGGATGAGACAAGATTTCGGTTAAGATGAGCACTTTTTTTAGTCTGGTCAAATGCAGATGTATTGTTATATCTCTATTTAGCATGAGCATTTTGAAAACAACTCGTCAATCAACGAACCCATTCAATACAAGCGCTGTTGTACTAGGCGCGGTGATAATGCTCACTAATCCACGACTGTGGTTTGGGGGCATTTTAGATTCCCTAGCGATCAAAGGGTTTCCTTTGTGGGCACTTTCATGCCGCCCAATCAGAACAAACATGACGGACAGTGGTCGTTTGCGATGTCCAGGCCACCAGAGGGCCCAATCAGAACAAACTCTTTACATACTCCCCACCAAAACATGAAAAAGAAAAAGGAACAATGCCCCTGCCAGACCTACAAACTAATGTCAAATTCAATTTTCATTCACATCCCTTCTCTTACCCATAAATGTCCTTTTTTTAAGTGAAATTTACAAGTTCTAAATCCCAAAAGTAAAAAAAACACCTTTGTTTCTCTCTAAAAACATATTACCCCGGCCCCGACCTATGCCCTCTATTGTCCACCCAAAAACTTCACTGGTTTCCTTCACTCTGTACATGTACTTTTGCATAAGGACATGTTTGAACTGTTTTGAAAGCAAATTCATTACCCAACAACAGTAGAACAAACAACACATACGAGTGGGCAAATACTTTTCGCTTAAGCCAAGGTTCTGGATAATATGAGATATTTAAGTATTACATGGTGTGAAGTAGTTTCTGCAGTTTCTCAATTGTTCATGCACAGGTGGGTGGGGACAATATTACACACAAATTAATTATAACAATATCCTCGCATTCCAAGTTTGTTTCATTTTCATATACATGTATATGCATGAATCACTAACACTGGACACTATCGGGTACAGAGTATTTCTACAAGAAAAATCTATACAAAATATGAACCGAGAGGAAAAAAGACAAAGGAGGCTATAAAAAGAGAGCTTACAACAAGTGAAAGCTATCTGATACACTGAGAAACAGGGCTCTTAATAAAGACTGAACATAACAAATATTGAGAATCTTAAGCACGATGGTAAAACCAGGTTTGTTTTACTGAGCAACAAGTATACATGTATGTATGTAAAGGTAAAACGTGCATGTACAAACATTAAAACTGTCCATAGTTTCACAGTATCCCATACATGGTTTCTGCAGAGTTTTAGAGATATGTTTACTAGTCAACTATGAATCCGTAACCACTACAAATGTCAATATGAAATTAATTATAAAGTTTCTACAAAATGTGCCCACACAAATATTCAGAGCCCACTCCATGTATCAGTGCATATTGAGAAGAAAAAACATGCAATCGCAATCTACATTCAGAATTTGCATCGTGGCATAAACGGAAAAAAGCCCGTTTTAGCTTGTTATAGTTGAGCTCTGAAGACAAATGACACTGCGTTCGATTTGGATGCTTCCATATTTATTTAAACAGATAAAATCTGAGAAAACATGTTTTCCTTTGAGTCGCTCTTAAAATAGGATAGAACATCAAGAGCACTGCGGAAATAGCTTTGAAAAAGTGGACACACACATGACACGCTCATGGCATGTCAAAAGACAGAATTCATATATGAATTGCTATCATATGCATATAAAAAAGAGAAGATTTTCAACAACAATTTTTAAACTACAGAAATTTTTGACCAAATATCCTGGACCAGTTACGTCAGAGATACCGGCAAGAACAAATACACGTACTGCATTGAGGTCCTTGAGTTGGAGCTGTGATGGTCCTTGAGTTGGAGCTGTGATGGTCCTCGAGTT